CTCCGACAGCGGCAAATCAACTCACGCCTCGGAAAAGCCAGCGCGTCGACCAGCTGTTCCAGTGAACAATTGGTATGCTGGCACGCGCCATCTAGCTCAGCTCTATCCATAACAAGCAAATCCGCACAGTTTCCGCAGGACAATTTAACGGGACAGCCATAGTAAGTTAAACCAAAGTAGAATTTCCCATTGGGCGAGCTGGCGATATGAAGGCTGGGGCCCGTGGGTACAAAGCCTCGTTCATCCTTTGAAGTTTGCTTGCTTTAGGCGCATTGCCGGCGAGGCGCGAACCTGACGCGCACTTGACGAGAAATAAATCTGTTACGCACTGGGAGACATACTCGAAAAATAACTTGAACTAAGTTGTAAAGTATCATTATTCGACAGAATAATAAATAATAAAAAAATTTCTCAAATAATAAATAAATTTCTCAAATAATAAATAAATTTCTCGAAGGCTTCATCCTATGAATGTGACTTACTTACTTAATTCAGGTGCATGCTTCGAATTTCGAATAAATATAATATGCGTACTGTTGGCGGTGAAGCTTATTTGTTCAACGTAGTCCCGCTATTTTAAGAATGTTTCCCTACCACAAGGTGCATTTAAGATTTTAGATTTTTGCGTTTGTTGAAAATCATTTTGTTCAATTTAACTTTATGTTTCAGGATTTGCTGTTAAAAATTTACGTGGCAACGCTAGCGCTAACAAATTTTTAGTCACTGAAATGAAAAATTCTTCTCCAAAGTTTTGTAGGTAAATATCATCAATACCGAAGCCGGCGAATCGACTGTGATCAAATTTCATCTAATTCAAAGGGTTTTGTGCCTGTATATATAGAGCTCCCCAAAATAAATAAGAAATGATTCAGGATACGTAACTTCAAATTTTTTGGTACATACAGATTACTTTTGTTGAGTAATGTTTCCGTCGGTATGAATGTTCTTTTACATTTTAAATATAAAATTTGAAAATTCTTTCCTACATCAACATAATCAGGCAATTTTTCACATCGGTCGACATTTCCTAAGTAACTCGTCGAATTGAGACTCCATCAACCGACAACTTGGCGACTGCGCAGTTTTGTATCGTGGTAAGAGGATCATTACAGCGCAAGTGATAGCAAGCCAATACATCCACCACGATCGTCAATCAATGAGAATAAGTGGAGCAATCTTGTGGTGGCTTCGCGTTACCATCGTTTGACGTCAATATATGGCGCCATATCAGAGGAGCCTTAGCGTACACGATGCCATTAACTCCTTGTCTTTACTAATGGCTTACAGTCGTACGTCACGCAAAATGACGCGATTCTGAGTGCTCCAAGCAAAATATGGAACCCTTGCTCCAAGTTCCCCAGGGCGGCGCAGACTTAGGAGCGCCAGGGCCTCTGGAGTCGGAATGAGAAAGGCAAAGGCCTTTGTCTACGGGTACCTCAGGAGGTTAGTTACGAACTTAAGTGTTATGCGATGCCATCACTTGCGAATGAGTCTCTAACTGCTCGGCTGAGGGCCTGCTATTCTTAGGCCAGGGCAAAGCTTCCGTGAAATTTGCTTCTGAGGATTTTTGCTGGAATTTGATAGGGATTTCGCATAATTTAATATCAATTTTCTTTTTCTGTATTCGGAGCTCATATGCTGCGATTTTCGACCGAAGGACTGCAAATGAACTGGTCATAAAATATTATTAATTATTATTATTATTATAATTTTATTATTGCTTTTTTAGTAATGACTTTTTAATAAGAACTGATTCTGGATTATCCAATTTTTTTATTAGTAATTTTTTCATATTAACTAACTTCTGGCATCAGCTAAAAGTTAGTAATAATTTAATTCCGAAATGGAAGACATAATAACACTTTGATTCCCGGGTTAGATTAAGATGTTATTATGAGAAAAAATATAGATTATATGAAGATTATATGAAAAATCATGATTCCTTAATTTCTCTGTGAATTAGCTTCATTGAAGCGACAAAACCTGTTAATTTTAGGGCCCAAGTACTATTATTTATTCGCAACTAAGTATTATATTTATTTTTTCTTAAAACTTCTAACATTTTTCGATGTACTGGATCCAGTAAATTTGCCGTTTCAATATACAGAAATATTGAAAGTCTTGTCCTCCACTTCCACACACATGCTATAGCCCCATATGGTGTGGCAGCTCAAACTAACCGAATGGGCCGGGTCGAAACCAAATTCCGGTTTTATTCCTTCTGCTTACGATGCGTTCAGCAATTTCAAATGCCATGATGGGCCCGTTTGGGATGAGATGCAGATTGTTTGGTTAGAACGCCATTAGTATTACTACTGAGCCTCCCATGCATCTACGTGACTTGAACGTGAGGCTGAAGCATAAATGCGATTTGGAACGGAAAATCAGAAATGCGTGAGATATTTGCAGACGTTGTGTAGAAATTCGAAGATATTCAATCCTAAGACTCCAGTTTGTGGAATCTTAAAGATTAATACAAAAATATTACACATACTGCAGATGGAAAGAATAAACCATATATTTTCTGTGATATAGTTTACTACACTTACCGAGCCATATTTGGCATGAAATAAAATTAAATCCGTTGTACCTGAAACACTTCATAGTAGAAGTGAGTTTTTCAGCAGCTCGCAGAATTTATTTTTATCCATGGTATCCTGCCAATTCTTTTATTTAGGAGAAATTCCTTCACCACCAGATGTAGTTCCCATCGCAGGAGCTCAAGAGTCCCTCTTAAAAAAGTAACTTTTCCAATTCAGGAACTCCCTCCCAAAAGGGCAAGATGTTTCGAGAGTTTGCGAATCGTGTTTGGTTGACTCAAAAGTATCGCTTGGACACCTTCCAATTCTGTGCAGAAGTTTTTAAAGAAATCGATCCCCTTCGTTCTTTAAAGCGATATCGAAACTGATGCTGCTTCGAAACTTTTATCTCCTGTGAAAAGTTCACTTCAGTTGCTGGTCGCATTTCATATTTATACATGCACGAGGAACGCTACATTGGGTATCAATGTTTCTTTTCGTCAATGCATGGGTCAGGTTCAATGGATCGAAAAGTTTAATGCAAAATGGAAATGCTCGGTCATCGTTAAAAAGTAGTGGTGCAAAAATTAAATAATACGATTCAAGTTTTTGATTCAGATGCTTTAATCTGAACTTAATTTAATGCATTTATTTTGAGATAAGTCTTGTCATTTCATGCCCAATTTCTTGCCAGCTAGCATGCTTTGTATACGGTGCATTATGATCAAGACTATTCAGATGATTAGCTAATTTACAATCTTTTTCCTGATGGGCACTAATCATTATCTCAGCCACCAATTTCCACGTCAGAGTAATCAAGAACTATTAACCCCTTTAATTATTTCGTGTCAATATATTATAAATATATCACCAATAGAAAGTTTGTCAATAAATAGTTTGCTAATCTTGAGTTGAAACGCTTACAGCATCAGAAAGCCTCAAGAGGGCCACTCTAATTAAGAAAGCCAGCTGCAAGTTCCTCCATAGCGGTCAGCGGGGGGCCGTATCGGCAAATTAGTTCATTACTACTTAAGCAACAGTTCCAGTCTCTTTTTAAATCTAAAAAAATTCACCCGTGGTTAGTCTATGCAAATTACAAGACGATAATCGGCGTGAAAGTTATGTGCTTACATTAGAGGTTTGTGGTATCGAGACCTGATTGCTGTGAGGGTTGGGGGCTTAGCGATACGGTAAATAGCAGCAGGTCGTTTTATTTTTGAAACTTTATTGGGTGCAAGTCGCAAAGTTTCAATTTTATTTACACTGATAATAATTCATGTTTAAGAGCTATCATTTAGATTATGTGTGCTCAACCAACACAATTGGTTCAGAAGTTCTGCAGCTTAAAATTTTGTCAAAAAAAAAAAAAAACACGCTGAATTCTTTAAAAAAAATAGGGTTTCGTGATAATACATCTTCAGCCCAACTGTCTAGCATTTCATTCTTCGAATTGAAAATACGTCATCAAATTTCAAACAATAATTATTTTCTTGTTGTAAATTTTCCACTTTGCGAGCATTTTAAAAACTTTTTTAGAATGATATTTTTTTTATTGAAGTGCAATCTGATTCATTTTTATTTCAGATAGTGTGATGTGTTGAGTTTTATATCTGGTGTATAGGAAGTGCCGTCACTGATATATTATCCATAATGTAGTCTACTTATTGATCTAGCTGAGTGAACTCCCTCACTCCTCTTCCACTTGAGTGATTTTATCTTCAAATGCAATATTGTGAATTATCGAATTACAAGGAGAGCAACATAAAAGACATAAGAATAAGTATTCTATGCTGGAATTAATATTGAATCTAATACATAAGTAACATGTAATTCAAACGCAGAGTAGATTGACGCAGAAAAATCAGCGTAATATCTAAACATTGGTCAGGATATTATAATAATATTTTATAAATCATCTGATTTTATTGTCAATGAAATCTTTATAGATGCATTGACTCATTTTCACAAAACTAGCCATTATTGTTTCAAATTTAGTTACATTTGAATTAATTTACCGTCGGAATATTGAGGAGAAGGCTTAGAAATGTGAGAATATTTTCTAACACCTCGAAGAAAATGAAAAATTTGGCATTTTTCGATATTTCTTATTCTGATTTTTTTGCAATAAGTTACGTCATTTCTTCTTCTAATTTTGGATAAATGTCTATACTATTTTTATTTAAGTTATTTCTTGACAGCTTTACTGTTTTTATTATAACCGGAAGGCCACCAGTAAAGAAGATCTTATTTTTTTAAACCAAATTTCGAGTTTACTTTCTAGTTCCCTCGCTAACGGTCTAATAGAGAAGTATAAATCTCAACATATATTCTTTTCAATTATTTCTTTTTTGTGTGGTATATGAAGCTTTTAAGAAACGGATGCAGAGTAAGAAAATTGGAATAGATGTGAATTTAACATGTAATAAATTATATAAATAACTAAATTCAAGGACAATTAAAATGAATTTCTGCTTGCTCATAAGTGTACTTAAAATTATTATAAATCAATAAAATTAATTTAGTTCATATACTCATTACTGTTCGACTTACCCTAATCGTATCAAAAGTGTATTAATGTAGCCTATCGAAGAGTAAATTCGCCATGAATATTTCTATTCACCGCACCTGTTCACCCAAAATTGTGTAGTCACCCATAACATTGTTTCGTCCCCCACTAGTTCTGCGAGCTAAGAACTCTGCGTCTTTGTTAGGCAGACGCACATAATGTTAGTAAAATAACAACAAAATAATAGTAAAAAAATGCCCATTATTTTAATTAATATTTTTTGACCAATTTATAGTAAACCAATGGATAATTGCTAAAATTTTCTAAGAAAACTGTTACCTCAATTCAAATAGTTAGCATGAATGAAAAATGCATGAGTGAAGAGTACACAAAGCAAAAAATATTTAATCGCTAATTAAATGATCCTGATATTGTTCACTTAAACTACTCGAACGTAGAAACCTTTTCTTTTGTAGTAATTGTAGTACAAAACCTTCTTTTTGTAGTAAGTAATTTTGTCTGTGTTGCATGACTTTATCTGGGCTGCGCTGTTTTAAAAATACCTGGGCCGCTGATCTTCTTTATTATGGTTAACCAAGCTGACAGGAGCGGGTGTATTCATCCACGCACGGTCCTGTCTGAAATAAGGATAGGAATCTAGGTACTTATCAGCACTGTGTGCGTTCTCTTGGATATATTTCTTTGAGGCTGCATTCTTCAACCAACTTTCAAACGACGTGTCACTTTCACTAGGATATGTTGACGAGAGCTGAGCATGAGGTGGCCCTTCTTCCAGTATTGACTCATGTTCTCCTTCATATCGCTTAGGATGCTGCAGGTCAGTTGCCGAATAAAGTGCTTTCAGTGCGTCAACTTTAGCTGTTGTTTCTGTGTTGCGATTTGTTCTGGGGATGTTAATTGTTGCATCTGAGATGTTCGCTCTGTTGGCCGCTGGAAAGGGTGGAGTCTGCACGGGTTGGCCGGCTGCGTCCGCTCCTGCGGGAGAAGATTGGCGAAATTGAAATGCAATACTTTTTATTTCATTTATTAATTATCGCTCGCAGTAGGTAAAATAATTTTCAAAAATCGAGAGAGGCTATGGAAGCAGGCAGCAATTTATGAACTCCTACATATTCAAATATTATCCAGTTTTAAAATCTTCGATTTATTGAATTCTCGATAAGATGATCAAACACAGTAACAACAATAAGATTTTAAATGAATTAATAAAGCAACCAATGGAGTAATCAGCAACAAATGCATGCGTCTTCATCGTATAAACTGATTATTATTGAGTAAAAGTCGCATTTAATTTTACAAACACTCGCGTACGTTGAGCAACAAATTATTCTGATTGCGAAGAATCCCAGGTAATTATTTGTTCCAAGCAAGCAAAGTTTTGCCTGCTTCTCCAAAGCAACAGACTATTTTTGAATATAAATCAGATTTCATGTACATAATTTTACTTACTTATCATCTATCCGAAACGTTGCAGACAATTCGACCAAAAACATCCCTGCTATGAAAAAATCCCCCATCATCAGACGTGTACAGCAAAAGAAAATGAACAGGAAACAGGAAGAAAAGCCACAGCAAAGCCGGCCACGGGAGGCAAAGAAGTACTCGTTCTCTACTAATGAGATGTTCTCCACACTGAAAACATCACATTCTTGGTCTGAATATTGTCAGGAGAAGCTTGAGCTTATGCAAACAACTTGGAAATTTTGGCATTAATTCTTGTAAACTTGCTTGCATTATGCATTACAAATTTTATTCTTAATGAGAAGAGACTCGGGAAGAATTTTAGTGCAAATTAACAAAGGAACATTTTGATTTCCAATTTACAATTGAACATTATCTTTATTAAGTAAAAATTGAAAATGGCTGCACTACGTGGTCAAATTAACGACTGGCTCGTTTCAACGTTACTTTCACAAGAATTAACCAAAGGCAATTCCTCGTACGCAAGTAAATTCTTAAAGATTTTATTTTGTTCACGAAGGACTGGGATTCGTTTTTTGTCGAGCTCTCCAGCACGTTGCAGCTCCTAGAATGACTCTTCACTCGCGTGCTTGCGTTTGCAGGCTCTAGGAACACTCGAGGTGGAGTGCTAAAGTGCTGTTGGTATTGAGGCAGCTATAGCACTACGGAAATAAAACCTTCAGCGTTGCAAGTAATTCACTGCAAGAGTTGACGACATATCAGACTCCTGTTTTATGCTCATGACGTCGCTGTGTGAGAAGGTATATAGGGTCAGATTTCTAGCTAACGGAAGATGTCGGTACTAAGTTTAGTTTCCTGTTAGACTCTGTCTAAATTTGATTTTAGCGAACCTTATTAATAAATTTGACGTGGTTATAAGTTCTCCTGCACTAAGAAAATTATTGTTAGAAGAATCGAACACATGAATCCTTCTTTCAAACGGAGGTGAGAATTTCAATTTGAGGTTTGTTTCTCTCGAGCAACAGAAGTATGAGTTATCAGTTAAATATTAGGCATTAATAATTTGAATTTTCCAAGTTATGCAGTACTTGAATTATGTATCAGTATAAATTGATAGATTAAAAAAGCTTCATCAGTAAATAATAAAGTATATTCATATAATACTATTAAAAAGTAGATGCTCATGAAAATGAAGCTATATATAGCATTAAAAATATTAAAGCAATGAATTCACTTAATTGTTTGGTAAGTTGCAGTAAAGCTTCTATTCCGGGACCATTAAAACGTCACTTATATTTTTCACCCAGCAAATTTTATTGGGCTGTATTGTCAGAATAGTGACGCATTTTTACTCGTAGCGTTGATACACCCTTTTTACAGGACAGACTGCGTCAGAATTTTGGTCGTTGGGTCAGAACGATAGCTATATGAATCACTTCACTATGTGGACCAAGTCCCACTCATTTTTCTGAACGTACAGGCTGTATAGTACGTTCAGATATATATTCGTAACAGTACTGTATATATTGGTAACAGTAACAGCCTATACAGTAACAGTACGTTACTGTATAGGCTGACCGCTACCAACAGCCCCCGATCTTCTTCCTTCAAGACAACAAGAAAAGAAAAATATATTCGGTGAATCTTGCTTTGTTTCCAAGCCGGCGTGCGACCAAGCAGTGTAGTAATTTTCTCCGCAGCTATAATTCAGGTGATTGGAAAACTCGGAATTTGTGAAGGCTGACCCCGCATTTCTCTGCTATGTAGGCTTGGGAAATTCAATAAATAGTGAACGAATGACGGTGCTGGACTGGACACTAGACTGGAAATACAGTAGCAGAAAATTATCACGAAAATTTTCAACCATATTTTATATCTTAGTTTTTGAGAATTGCATGAAACTTCTTATTAGAAATGAAACTTCAGAAATATCAATAATTTCTTCTCTTATTATGTGACTTTGTAATTTCCCAGACTTTTTGCGATAAGTATTTTATTATTTTGAGGTCCTTTAGGCTAGAAAATTTTTCGTGTCTGTATATATTTATATTTAACTGAAGGAGTAACTGTCATACGGTGCATCAAACCCTTTATAAAATTATAATAATTTTCCAATGTTCCCATTTACAATCTCAACTAAATTCCAGTCTCCTCTGATCCCAAAATTTTGCACAAAATTTTCCGGTTTCCAAATCAATTTCATTTCACAGGAATGAAATGCTTTGCCATTCCAGGAACTGGAAGCTAATCATCGCCCAAAATATATCAGCATCTCGGTTGCTAGGATCGAATTACCCTAAATGGGCTCTATCATGACGCCAAATTCGCGCCAGAATGCCTGCCCAAACGACTTGTATTTGAAGGCAGTCTATGAGACAGAGAAATCTCCACTATATTCTTATTTGATGCAGTTCAGTTGTCACAACTGGAGTTGCATGGACTTTTGATGGCACGACCTCGTGTGTGAGAAACTTAAAGTTTCCCGCTAGATGACGGAGTTTCGCTGCAACGGCAGTGAAACAATTTCGCCAGAGACCATCAAGCCCGCGGATAAATTCTTACAAGGCCTATAAAAATAATTGAATGGGCAAAATGTATTGTACATGCAAGACGGGGGCGGTGCGGAGGCAGGGATAACGGGGTATCCGAGACGTCATTGCTGGGCAAGGCATAACCTCTTAGCTTAATATTAAGCGTGCATATGCCATGTTAGCGTTAATATTAAGCGTGCATTTGCCAGGTTAGCGTTAATATTAAGCGTGCATTTGCCATGTTAGCGTTAATATTAAGCGTGCATATGCCATGTTAGCGTTAATATTAAGCGTGCATTTGCCAGGTTAGCGTTAATATTAAGCGTGCATTTGCCATGTTAGCTACTGCAAAATCTGACTATTCAGTTATTTATTCTTGCAATTGATTATATTTTTATTTTTTAAGCTTTCCTCTTCCATCTTTCCTGATAAAAATTATCCAAAGACTTTCAACGCACCATTATCAAAATAACAACCGCGGTTGAGTACTTAACAAGACTCAAAACCTCGTTAATTATAACTTATTAACATAACTGAAGCAATTGTGTTTTGGACAACTTATTACATAACATGAGGACCAACAAAATTAAAAAATTATTTTTTGTTCAAATTAATGATATCTATAACATTATTTTATAATAATATTTATAAAATTATTTATAATATTTTTTGTTGTCACTATTTATAACAACAATACGGAGTTCATAGTCTTGTATTATATTGAAAAGTTCTATCAAGATTGACCGTTGATATGCGATTAGGAATAATTAATTAAATTTGAGCTTTTCTTCGCTGTAGACATCACACAGAACAAGCAAAGTCAATTTGCATTCCACATCTTCTATCCTGAACCTGGTCATTCTCATGCAAGCATCTCCAAGTCACGTTTATAATTACAGTTCTAGTGTCTGCATGTCACGGTTTAGAATATTTTCTCGTCGGCGTTTGATTTACAACCAAATTATGCAGACTTCTATGCGATGAATTTATAGAGCGCAGCGCTGCATAGCAGACGCAAGCATCCTGTATGCAGAAGATGAATGATATTCATCTGTATGCGGCGCAAATGAATGATATTCGCACGCTTTTTATCCGCGTAGGATTTAATTTACTAATAGGAAAGTTAAATTTCATATAATAATAATGCAATGAAGAGCTAGCAGTAGTAATGGCATATTTAGTCACTTGTGTTTTTATAGGAAAAATAACCAAACAATTAGGATGAATTAACAACCAGAATTCTTATAGCCAATAGTTGACAATTATATATCTGAAGCTGTTCACAGTTACTTATCATACAAGTGAAGAAATAATTTCAATTTCCCTTCTCGTAATTAAATGAACTGTTGAGTTTTGAAGGGTTGCAGATTTTATCCTGAACACTAAAAATTATTCATTATTTTTAATCATTAGTAAATCATGTGCTGCGGACATTGAGCGGATGGATAATATCTTCAACCTGGGATGACTGAAGAGAAGCGCTTACGAACAATCTGTGCTGTGAGGTAATGAGGTGGAATGCCATATGCGCCTTCGTGCTTTTCTTATGTACATTAAATTTCAACAAAAAACGCATGAATGAGACTAATTGCTATTTCATTTGATTATGTATAATAAAACTAATCGTAAAATGCAACGCATTAGAGCGGCATGTCAATGAAACTCACACGTTCAGCGATGCTACTTCAAATTTAATTTACCTTATTAGAAAAAACACTAATGCGTTGTGTCTTATTACGAGGTTCGAAGGACCAAATTATTAAAAAATATTCAACAAAAAAATTCAACGTCAATCAGCATAATATTTATCAAGCCATCAGATGTAGGCAATTGTTGTTGGAGCGTCGCGGAGTTGATGAGTCTCATCCATCATCGCATGCACGACTTCTTGGTCACGTTATGTCAACAGGAAAATCTAGGATTTCGAGGTATCAAGACCGGCAGCGTAAACTCCAGCGGGTCGCATTCAAGATCTCTTGAAGTTTTCAGCAGCTACCTTAGCAAAATTTAGAGTCGCCCCAGCTTCTGGTACTCCAAATCAGAAGCTGACGCGTCTGTAAATTTTCACTGGGACGTAGGAACTCGGGACAAGATCCCTGGGCAAGTTCCATTCACGACAACCACCGATATTTGTCAGAAAAGGTCAACATTTCGGGAGTAACCATTAATCAAAGGCCTTGGCAGCGTTTGTCAGGACACAAACATTGCCTTGAAAACACGCAGCTTTCACCCCCGAAAGGAACTCGGCAAACAAGAAAGGCGGTGCGAGCGTCGAGGTCTTAGAAGTGATTGTCGCTCAGATGGCATCTCGGAAGTGAGGGAAAGACGGCATCTTGGACAGGTGAGGAGAGATGAGAACAAATAAGGAAGTGAAATTAGAGACATACCAGCAATGAAGAAAAGCCGAAAGGAAAATGAGAGAAATTAAAAAAAAATGAATGAATCATATGGGAAAGGAAGACCTCAAAGTGCAACCACAATAAACGCCGGATGAAACAGATGAAAGAGTAGCTTGAAAGAAAGCGTAAGAAAGAGAAGAAGAAGGGGAAAAGTATGAAGAATTCGAGTGCGAACGTGGATAGGTAGGGAAGAGAATAAACTCTTCGAATAATAAAGAGAATAAGGAAAATCTAAAATAATGCTGAAATGTTGAGTAAATAAATTTCCTTAGGAAATGAAACCAAAAAGGAACAACTTTGGGATGATAGTAGCAAATGAGCTTGTGTGCATAAATGAATATTGAGGAACAATGGAAAGAGACAACATTAATAACCATAAAATATAAAGGACAAGAAATACATCAATGAAACTGGAAGTTCATATGGATAAAAAAAATTGAGTGTTGAGACAAGTCTCTTGTAAAAAGAAGGTATTAATTAACATGAAGTGTTGACGGGAAATCTAGCATGTAGGATTTAAAATACATTTCAACTACCAGATACCTCCAAAATTTCGTCCCAGTTCAACGCATAGTTATAATCTTTTCCTAAGTTATTCTACGAGTTCCATTTAAAAGATTTTATCTACGGACCATCTTTAATTAGAGTATATCAACATATTTTTCGGTAATTTGCATCAATGTCTTGTAATTTTTATGCATTGTAATTATTTGCCAAGGTTCTGATCTAATGTTGCAAAGGCCTTCATATTGTAGCTGCGCTATACGTCTGTCTTTTGTTTGTCCAGGTTCACGCTGGCAACGAGTAGGATGCGTTGCATTCGCCCTGTCTCTTTTTAATGATCAGCGTGGGGTGGTGATTGCAACCTCGTGTCGCGTGAATCTTTGGCAATTATTCCGTAATTTTATTAAGATTCAATACCGAAAATTGTTCCTATTGTTATTAGAATACAGCAGAGGTGACATTCATGATCTCTTTAAGTGGCGGGTAAGCCTATGCATCTTGTGAATATATGGTACACGACCTAACGATTACCTTGGTTTAAAGTTCTACACTGTTTATTTGCACATTTCTAACATGTGGAGATGCACAGGATAAATACTGGCAAACATCCCCCGATCGACTGTAATTTTGTGGAACAGCTTAGTTTGACTATTATATTAAACCTATTTTGTGTATTTGATGGATGTTCCAGGTGGACGTGGGCACCGGATTTACCTTCTGGCTCGAGGTTCAGAGAACTTAAGTGAAGTTCCTTGGAATTCCCACTGTAATGGAAAACCTGAAACGAATAAACTTCACTGGAGGAGGAACCCTATAGTTCGTGTAGTCGGGAGTTCCCGCTTGCCGCGAATTGACGTACAGACCAATTCTTCAACAATGGTTTTGGTCTTCGTAACTGAAATGGTTATTTTTGCTTGTCGTGTAATTATTTCGCAGTGCGTCATCCTAGCATCTATGTATTTTTTGAGTTGGGTCTTTTTTTTGTCGTATACACCTTTTAGCATGTCTTGTATATAGGGACTAATGTATGATACTCTAGGCCAGCTAAGGTTTAGCTTTTTTGTAAGTTCTCAATAAAGCTATGTAGCTTTAGTAATTGAAGTTTCCCCTTTTCACTATCACGTCCACAATATTGACGGGTAGCATATATATGTTGTAAGCTCTCCCACAACAATATGCTTAACCAAAAAGATTAATCGTGGGCCTAGGGCGATTGAATGTTCATTTGTTGACCGTATTCCAAATAATTACACAATTATGCGTGATGCTCGCTACAAGTAACCTGATGCATTCCCTTCACCAACATGCCCTTCCACCAGCAAGCCTCTTCACCAAAAAGCCCTTCACCAACAAGCCCTTCACCAACAAGCCCCTTCACCAACAAGCCCCTTCACCAACAAACCCTTCACCAACAAGCCCCTTCACCAACAAGCTCTTTCACCAACAACAAACAAGCCCTTTCACCAACAAGCTCTTTCACCAACAACAAACAAGCCCTTTCACCAACAAGCTCCTTCAACAACAAGCCCCTGCACCAAAAAGCCCCTGCACCAAAAAGCCCCTTCACCAACAAGCCCCTTCACCAACAAGCCCCTTCACCAACAAGATCCTTCACCAACAAACCACTTCACCAACAAACCCCTTCACTAACCAGCCCTTTCATCAACAAGCCCCTTCACCAACAAACCCCTTCACCAACAAGCCGCTTCACCAATAAACCCCTTCACCAACAAAACCCTTCACCAACAAACCCCTTCACCAACAAACCCTTCACCAACAAACCCTTCACCAACAAACCCCTTCACCAACAAGCCCCTTCACCAACAAACCCCTTCACCAACAAACCCCTTCACCAACAAACCCCTTCACCAACAAACCCCTTCACCAACTAGCCCTTTCACAAACAAAACCCTTCACCAACAAGCCACCTTCACCAACAAGCCCCCTTCACCAACAAACTTCACCAACAAGCCCCTTCACCAACAAGCCCCTTCACCAACAAGCCCTTCACCAACAAGCTCTTTCACCAACAAGCCCTTCACCAACAAGCCCCTTCACCAACAAGCCCCTTCACCAACAAGCCCCTTTCATCCACAAGCCCCTTCACCAGTTTCTTCACAACATAACAGTTTCTGGCCTAACTTCAATACAGGTTTGAATAGAGGGAAAATTTTCACTTACCCCTCAGGGCCCTGGACCAAGCGGACTCATCTTCCTTCAGGAATTTTTCCATCAAGTTAACATCTGCAAAAAATGTAAACAATGATGAGAAGCTTCCTACACGCGAGTCATAATTCTAGAGCGAACGGAAATTTTGATTTTTTCTCCGAAGGTCTTTGAAAGATGATAGAAAAAAAGGCTGTTGTGTTGAGGAGGACAAAATAGAAGGTTCGAGAATTTTATAGAGAGAGGCAATTTGATATTTGAGGGCGTGTGAAACTTATCAAAATTGAAGAGTTGTAGAAAGTTCGTGACCTCAAGAAGTGTAAAGTGTTTGTGAACTCATGCAGCGTGAAGAGTTATTAAATTGAGGGAGTTTGAAGTGCTCCTAAATTCATGCAGCATGTAGTGTTAGTAAATTAGGGGAGTGTGAAGTGTTCATAAATTCATGTGGTATGAAGGGTTATTTATTGGAGGAGTGTGAAGGGTACGTAACACAACAATTTGTGAAGAGTTTGTTAGCTCATGGAGTGTGAAGTGTTTAAAAACTTAGGGAGGGTAAATTATTTAATAATAATTCAGCCTAATCTTTATTAATATTTTATTATTTAAATAATTTAATAAATATTATTTATTAATAATTTTGTGCATTGAAGTAATGTGAAATATTCGTAAATGGGAAAAAACGGTCGATTCGTGCAGTTGAAGTGTTTTTAAACTTAAAGAACGCAAAGTGCTAATCAACTTTTGGAGTGTTGATTGTTCGAGGAGAACAATAGTGAAGATATTCATGGAAATAGAAGATTGACGTATATGATAATTGAAAAAGGATAATAGGCTCAGGGTTCACGGATAAAAAAACAGTGTGTCCATTGTCCATTCATCGAGCAGATACTCATGCTAGTGAAAGAAGTTGTATATATAAATTAGATTGAGTGCAATTCATTATAAAAAATTATTATCAATATAAACGAGTAATAAAATTAAATTTATAACAAATAATTTTAAATTAAACACAAAGAAATGGATGCACTCATATTTACAAATTAGAAGGAAAAAATATATAAAATTCACGATTCATGTTTCGCCGCGTTAGTCGTACATCAATCGAATGAAGTTACTCACTAAAAATCGTTCAGTTACCTCCGTATTATCCGTCAGTAATCGTGAAGTTACCATCGTAATACTTATAAATAATCATGAAGTTAACATCATAATATTAGTCAATAATCATCAAGTTAACCACGTTGTATTAATCAATTACCGTTAATTTAACTTCGTAATATACATCAATAATCGTGAAATTAACTTCGTAATATCCATCAGTAATCGTCAAGTTAACCTCGTAATATTAATCAATTATCGTGAATTTAACTTCGTAATATCCATCAATAACGGTGAAGTTAACTTCGTAATATCCATCAATAATCGTGAAGTTGTCTTCGCAATATCTATCAATAATCGTGAAGTTATCTTCGCAATATTAATCAATAATCGTAAAGTTATCTTCGCAATATTAATCAATAATCGTAAAGTTACCTCCATAATACCCTCCAAACGCGTTAAAAGACCTCCGCAATACTTACCATGAGTCTTGGGTCTGCCGAAATTCTCCTGCAGTGACGACGTGTAGAAAGCTTGGAAAGTTCGATCGCCAATGTCTGCCACACACAATACATCGTTAGCACTCAGCCATTGTTAAGATTTAAATAGTCTGAAATTTGCGACCTACATGCTAACAAAATGCAAAGCCACAAAAAATTATATTGGAAAAAATGGAACCAAGGTACTTAAAACTGAAAATCGTAAATCTTGTTTCATTTATCGTTGATTGACTTATTTCGTTCAAAAGTTCCTTGAAACCGTTGTAATATTTTGTTGTATTCCATTTGATTTCCATTTATTGATCTAATATTTGTCTTTTTTTGAAGCAAAATCTTCATCCGACGAGATTTCATATTTAATTCAAGATATAGTAGATAGTAGATTAATCCAAGATAGTAGAATTTCAGATATTTATTTAAAAATTATATATTTTTAACCATTTTTACCTGTTTCGAAATTCCCAACACATTCGCTCTTCATGGTGACCACTCCTTCTAAGCTCACGGCCACGGCACACCAGGCAGTGTCTTCTTTAACAGCATGGCGGCCGGAATTGATTCCCGATAATCTTGCCACTTCAGCTTGCGAGATAGCCGCAAAATCTTTATGTCCTCCGTCAAGCATGGAGCGAGGAAAGCGTTCAGTGTCGCGTAAAACGCCCGGGGCAAATTTATTGCCATCCCCATGAGGTGGAGTGAACGTGAAGTGGCCGGGGGTCGAAGAAAGTTTTGCTGGATCAAAGCTGCTAAATACATTGGATTTGATCAAGTCCAAACGGTTGGTGGAGTAGTATGTGCATGCTGAAAAGTGGTGTTGATCGTAATAAAATGGGAAGATGCATGGAAAACCGCTTCGGGTCATCACTACTGCCGCTCGGTTTGAAGAATCTGAAAGTTATTGCAGTTAGCAAATAAGCAAGGAAAATGTATAACTTAGGTTATTGACATGACCAAGCATAGAAAGAGAAATAGATGTATTTTGAATTGCCATCGAGTACTATAATTAAATCTTGTACATCTTGTCAATTGTCAACCTGACAATTGATTTTAGTAACGATAGAATAAAAATTAGGATTATGTTAAAGATGTTAATTATGTGACAAATATGAATTGACATTAACACAAATATGAATTCCAAAAATACCAAGTCAGTAAAATGAAATTGGTCAACTTGAAAAAAAAATAATAATGAAACGGACTCGGAGTTACTTGTTTAAGCTGCTAATTGAAACTTATTTCAGTAATCGCCTCTTACTGTTCACACATTGATACCCATAAGCTCTGTAAAACTCTTTTAATGAAAATACAATTCCCAAATATTGAGCTAACGCACCATCACTCGTGATACAGTCATCAATAGACGTAGGTGCGCCGAACACGTCCACCTCTGTAGCGCACCACAGGCGGCCGCCTCCTACAGACGCGCATGTCTCGTACGTGACGCCTTCGTAGACGAAGGGAAACACGCACCGTAGGCCTTTCACCGTGAACGTGTGCGCGGCTGATAGTAAGATTAATTTTTGTTGAATAAATGTAGTTTATTTATGTTTGAAATATATATTTTTAATATGGTCATTATTTTATTATGTATTTGATATTTTATTAATAATTCATATTCATTTAATAAATCATTCATTGATTTTTTTACGGGCTTAGATTACACCATATTCGACAATTCTGATGAAATCCTGAATCAATACCAGCGATATTATTAGAAACATATCATCAATACTAATTCAGGCACAACATTCTGGCACTCCTGCAATGCACTGACATTAACACAGTATTATTGAACATATCTTCCGTCATTACCAGTATTTGTCCATCTCTGAAATGCATTAATCTCACACATGCACTGGGGCACACACCTTGCAATGGGGCGGGGGGTAACCCATCTGTTCTCCCTCGGGTAGCATTAGACAGCGATTCTGGAAATGGCCCGATTAAATTCCGATAAATTTAACGTTGCTTCGAAAGCAAGTACGTGCAATTTGTGAAACGCGAGGCCATTGTACTGAAATATGGACATTGAATGGAGGGTCTCAGTGGATTAAGAAAAGATTGTGTGGATTGCAAAAAAGCAAAAAGATTGCAAAAAATGGATCTATGCTGGATATCGTTATTTAATACTACTTGCTATTAATAAATTTATATTATATTTCATTATTTTAGATCACATTTAATTCCAAAAAATATGTGTTTTTAACTTTTTACACTCTAAATGGAAGATGAATCACTGAAAATTCGATGGTAAACGCTACATTACAGTCAGCTTTCTGCTACCAAAATCTACTTACCTCTGTAGCGAAACTTTCATAATATATAAAAAATTCCACGGCAAATGTTCCACATTTTAACATCATTTCTGAAGAAAATCCACGGACTTTAGTTTGAATATTTAAGTTACTTTTCCTCTAGCACAAAGTAATAAGTCCGATATATTCTAAGAAATGTTTTAAAAATCGCACCAATATGAGGAGTGCATTAAAACCTTCACATAATTATTAAATGTTATTGTGATGGGACAAATGCTCTACATTATCATCATTCTCAGTTTCTGCCTGCTGGCCCTAGTAAACGAAGATGACCATGAACTACGTCCAGTATTGAAAAGTGCACAAATATATTCCAATACACGTCAGAATAAAGTACAGATTTAAGGAAAACTTCGCGAACATCAATTAAGTGATTACATACAAGCAAATATATGTGTTTATACTAATTGAAAAGAGCACAAATATATTTCAATACACGTCAGAATAAAGTACAGATTCAAGGAAAACTTCGCGAACATCAATTAAGTGATTACATACAAGCAAATCTATGTGTTTATACTAATTAGCGCACAGATTTTAAGTTATACAGCAGATTTAGCTTATGCAGAAATGTCAGATACTGTCACAAAAAGGAATCAACTATCATTTATAGTTCAGGAAGGAATGGGCTACTCATAAGCTACCAGCTTCTTCCCAAGAAAATATTCATTCAATTTTTCTTTCTTGTCTTGCTTAGAGAAGTGCGGCGATTTTAAAACCAGAGCACGGACATAAAATGGCCCGCTACACTATAAATCCAAACCATAGCAATGTTACACGGGAATAGTGTTTGGTGTTATGTATACATTAATTAAAGTGATAATTGCATTAAAGTAAATATATATTAAAGTGAAGTGAAAAGAAGATGAAAGCATATGAACCAATGATTTCGAGTCAGCAGAACTACAGCCTATAATGAAATGAGACGTTGTTAATACCAACATACCTGGACAATAATCCCAAGCTAAAGGAGCCCCAGTTGCATCAAGCTGCGTCGGACACCAGGGTTTCGTATCACCGATACATGAACTGTGGACGAGTCCTTGGTAGAGGAATGGGATGATGCAAGGGACTCCGCTGGCTGTGATGATGGTGTCCGTTGTTTGACGGAGTGACGATGAAGGAGAAGCGTCTGTAAAGTTGAAAAAATATATATATATAACTCAGTACTCACTGCAGTGAGTGACAGAGAGCGCATTTTCTCGTAGACGAAAACATGAAGTCACGGACGGACAGACAGACAGACGGACATGGCGAGCACAATAGTGCATTTTTTATATAAAGAGAAAATGCGCTAAATATAGAAAATTATCTTCGTAAAACTTATGAGCTCATAAGATTGATGCACGGTTGTGGTAACAGACGTGCTTGCCAATTTCAATGAAACGAGTGCTTTCAATTACGACGATTAATTTATGTATCAATCATGCGATAATAATGAGATGCATGTCATTAACCAGTGCAGCCGGACGTCTAGCCATTAGCTTTTTCTAATAAAATTTAACGTAGAAAATTTATACGGAGAAATGCACGAAATACTTAATGCAGAAAAAAACGAGGCGTGAAAATTTACTGTAAAAATTAATTAATGACAAAGTTTCTGTGTTTTCGAAATACTTTTAGTATTCACAAGGGATTTAGAGAGTAGAGTTGAGATGGTGAATATTTTCCTTCGCGTGATTTACTGATAAAATATTTTGATATTCTGAGAAAAAATCCACTAAAAAACATGATTTTTCGAAGCTGATATTTTTTCCTCGTAAAGGAAGAATTGCCACTTTACACATGAGCCGGAGTACGACAGCAAATCGGAAAATATTTTGAATGAATGCTGAAATTGATTAATGCTTCCTATCTCCTCGATTTTATAGCACCCATTTCGAAGTAACACAACACCCAAGCTTAATTTCACTCATAAATTTGCAGTTGTTATAACAAACTTTTTTCATAAAAAGATGAGACAGAATTAAAACTCGAAATAAGGCGAAATTGAGCCGAATAATCACCTCGTGGAAGAACTGGCAGTGGCTTTAGAGCTGAAGCAGGATAGTTCAAATCTGAAAACGAAAAAGTAACGACAAAAGATAAATGAATTTTACAGCGTTGAAAAACCAAATATATCGAATTTAAAATTAAAACCATTTGAATATTATTACGTAAAGTGGTGCATTGCCACGCATTTGTGCATTATTTATAAACATGCATTTGAATCTGTTTGTTGGCAAAAAATACTTGAATTAAAATATATTCGTTATCCCAAATAAGAGCGCCACAAACTATTCATTCTGACTTAATTATTACCGACTTAATTACTCACCCCAGTTAGGTACACATTCATCAGTGAGAATAGGAGAGCCCTTTGTTGTGACTGAGATCGCACACCAAGGGCGTACAGACTTGCCAGCTTCCACTGTGACACATCCGTAATACTGCAAGCCTTGGTACACAAACGGTACGCTGCAGAAGTGGCCTTTTTTCGTCTCGATTTTCACGAGTATGTCTGTTAAAAAAACAACTTAACATCTTAAAAAATATAACTCAGTATTCAATGCAGTGAGTGACAGAGAGCGCATTTTCTCGTCAACGAAAACGTGAAGTTACGGACAGACAGACAGACGGACGGACATGACTAGCACAATAGTGCATTTTTTCCATAAATGAAAAAATGCGCCAAAAAGTAATATTTAAATTTTCAACATACAAATCTTGGTAGATGGAATCCGAAGACGCATGAGTAATTTCATGCGTGGAGAATATCATAAAAGTTAGCTGGTCAATGGCATAGATCTAAATTATGAGCATCTATCAATTTAATAAGACCATTTTCAGAGAACAGCGTGAAATGATAATGTTATATGTTTTCATTTCCATTTTAACCAGAGTTAGTGAAACCATTTAATATGAAAGGGATTGGAGGCTGCCGTAATAATGGTACCGTAAAAATAAACGGCGAAAGGAACTTTGGAAAAACAAACGGCATCCCCTTAGTTAAAGTAGCATATTTCCATTAAAATTTCATTACACTTTTGCATTGAATAAAAGAGTCATGGACAGCTCGCTAACGAACTGGCGACCGTCTGTTCAACTGGGAGTGCCGACTCTGAAATCAAATAATTTCACATTTTTATTACGATCTTCAAAGTCGACCTTTTATTAATAAAATTTCTGAATAGAAACCTATTAGTGTCTCAAGTTTTAGTTTTATGCAGGGTCTCAAGTGAATTGAAGATAATATTCGGCACGTGTGCTTTGATTCTGAAGATTAATCTCACCATGTACAACTGATTTTACGCTGGAAACTAACGATTTCACTTCTCAGTTATGCTTGAAGTGCAATGCGAATTTTATCTCAACAATTTGCACTTGTACGTTGTACGTTTTTAGAAACCGATTTCAATAATAAAGCAGAATAGAAATCGCCGAGTTAAATCCATTGAAAACGAATATACGTGAAAAAAATTTATTTAATGTTGCAGGTATGTAGACTTACATGCTACAAATTCAACTCAGAGGGATGCGCAATGTAAAGGTGACGCTACATTTTCATCTAAAAATTCCAGAAAGTTAGAAATGCACGAATGAAAAATGTGACGGCCGGATTCGATGAGGCACTCTGAGGACGTCCCATTTCCGGACCAGAAAATATCGAGCATGGCTATTATGAAGCGTCAATTTCCAGAGGAGAGACTATGTGGAAAACTCTAGCAAAAATAAGCCACGAAAAAGAGTACACTGCGCCTTATCTCCGGACAAAAGAAAATAATAAACATGTCACTCTATTGAACAAAAATCAGGAGTTTTTGGGAGCGTAGGGCTTTTGGATCGATGGCCGAGACTTTCCTACCATTTCCATGTAAATAAACATCCAGAGGAAGGTTTTGAGCCTCGCTATCATTCTCCTGATACTCGCCAGGCCCACAACAGCCGAAACATCGGCTACGCTCGGCGCTGAATGCAAAGTTGCGTCTGGTGTTGGCAGAGGCACCGAAAAGAAATAAGTAAATTCCAGGTCTTCATTGTTTTTCTATTGCGAAGTGTTTCTACAAACACATCGAAGTGAAAAGGCATAGCTTTCTGAAACAAAACAAAAGCTTTCCGATGTTCAGGCTCGTGTACAAAGAAACACCAGCGACCAATCGAATCTATTGCAATTCTGCTGTCAGAGGTTATGATAATTGTAATAAAGTTTAAATTGACTAGCACACAAGAAGAATGGAGGATTTTTACATTCAAAATCATCTAAGGAAAGAAATAAAATCTTTACTAATAGGGAGATGGAAGTTTGAGGGTAAAATGTTGCTCAAGTACCTAACGTTCGTTGAAAATCCACAAACTTATTCATATATTTAATAATAGTTCAAATTGTATTCGTAAATGCGTCATAAGCACACATTGTACGTGCCGTAAGTGTTAGTTAAAATTATTTTTATGACGTATTTCAAAATTCTAAACATTTTTACACGATTTTTGCAACTGTTAACGTCTGCTGTCAAAGGACTGTGGCCACCTGCGAGATCTTTGTAAACACGTCTTCCAATCGCCCCTAAGGACCACAAGGGAACGAAGCGGTCCCCCAGAGGAGATTATCTCAAGAGGCGTTAAAGTTACCGTTGTTTGGCGAGGGATTACAATGCAAGCTCTTCCTCACTGCCAGGTAACGAGAGAGTTTCTTTTATTCTAAATTTCACCGCCAAATCGAAACTCAACGAAGTCTTGACTAAAAATTCGAGATTTTCGTGGTGATGATACAATGATGCGTCCAAAGTGGGATTGATAATTTTGATTGAAGCCACCAAGTCCGCGGACAAAAAAAGCCTATAATTCAATATTTACGAGTAAATTTCTAGGTTACGGTGCATATATTAAATTATTATTGTTTCGTACTTTTTAAATTTTAATAAGGAAGTGCCGACATCATAAATTTTTGACGGACAACACAATAAAAAAAACGAAAACGCGGACTTTGTCCGGAAAAAACTACCTGCAACTCACCGGTGGGTCGCGCCGCACTTAACGTGTTATTAACCGAAGTTGATTTTATTTATTTTATTTGTTATTTACCGAAGTTGATTTTATTTATTTTATTTGTTATTAACCGAAGTTGAGTTGAGTTGATTAACTGAACAGATCCGTATTAATATTTGTTAGTGAATATCGTTATATTAATGCAGCTTTAGCTGAATCTTTTGTTTGAAAAGTTATTGAACCCTGAAAAACCAGTATGAATATTTTAGGTAAGTTGGCACGTCAACTAGAGTGTGAATAGCAAAAGAAAAAAACTCACCTTTTTCGAGCTGATTTAAGTTCGTTTTATACCGTAGACTTCGAGTAAAGTTTTTATAAACGGCCTCTGTGGACAATAATTGTGATTAAATTTCAGTAAGAAGCATAAATCATCAATAAGCAGAAATCAGATTGGCTATATGTCTTTAAAATGATCATGTAATCAGCATGTTCTTGTAACCACGTAATCAGCATGATCATGTAATCAGCATGTTCTTGTAACCAATTTGTATGATAAAAAGTGGAATTGAGATAATTCTTCTGATTCTTTTTTATGCGGCCATAAGTATATCATTATCGCCCGAATTTTTTATATTCATTCGATTCATCATAACTTCTTCCGACTAAACCTAACTCCTGCAGAATATTAACCTTTCCCGATTCATGTTAATTTCCCTAGATACATCTTAATTATTCCAGATGTCGACTTTCCTCAATTACTCTTAACTTCACAAAGTACCTTCGAAGTTCTCCTCATTCATCCAAACATCTCAAAACATATCACAGTATCTCAAGATGCATCCTAACTTCTCCTAAAGAGTTATAACTTCATTTAATATATCATAACATCTTATAAATCTAAAAGTTTCAGCCGCATCCTAATTCTTCACATAAACAGTTTTGCTGTCGACTATAATAAACTAGATGTACTATATGTGTCGGGTTTAGTAAGCTATACGTTGTATATACAGTATGTGTCAGCTACAATAAACTATACGTAATTTGTGTCAGCTACAATAAACTGTACGTAGTATATGTGTCAGCTATAATAAACTATACTTAGTATACGTGTCAGTTATATTAAACTGTCCTTAGTGTTTGCGTCAGCTATAATAAACTGTACGTACGTATACTCACGCCAGTTCGGGTCACAAATGTCGTACTCTATAGGGCTGCCGTCGAGAGCCAGCGAGGTGGCGCACCAGTAATGGCCGCGGTGACTGTCAGTATTTTGGTCAAAATATGCTTGCATTGAGCCGCCAATCATTGAGCCTGGGATGATTGGTGCTTGGGTGCAGGTAGTGTACAGTTTTTTGTTATACGAGAACGGGAACACGCACCAACGGTTGCCCAGCGTTTGGATGCTCGGGAAAATCACTGAAAAAATACAGTTATAAATTAATAATGAACTTATTTGTAAGTAAATCTGTCATTTTAAAAATAGCGAAGATATCTGAGTTTTATAATTATTATATCCCATCAATACTCTGAATTTGGCAGCTTTAATTCAAGTTATTGACAAAATCCTTCTGCGCTGCATTTTACCAGGCCGAAAAAACGCGATTATTCGAAAAAATATGTTGGGAAAGAATTTTTTACTACAAGAAACACAAATTGAAAAAATGTGCCCTTGGCCTCCTTCAGTTGGATGATTTTGACGATTTTCGGACTGCTTTTTTAATTCAGTCAATTTCATTCCGTTCAGTGAAGGAACAAAAATTTCTTTATTTTCGTGTTTGCCTTGTTTAAAAAATTTCTTCACAGTTCGTCTTTGATATTGGAAAAAATAGTGTAATTTTAACTTGAAGCAGGCTGTTGTCGACTAGTGTATATGATAAACTTCAAGCGCTCATGAATAATCAGCAAAATTTAAACTTAAAAATATGAAGCACATGCACAACCAAGTAATGCCTAATTAAACTCGTTCGATTCTAAATGTGTTTGACTCTCATCACTTTTACTTTAACACGAAATGAATAAAATTTAAAACATTTTGTCAGTGTGCTAATTAATTGGCCCTTGCATACTGCGCAACTTGCGTCGCGGAAGGTCATTCCTGCAAAGAAATGACCGCTTGTACATAATGCAGCGATGCACAGCTTGTGCTCGCATGCACTTGAGCTTGTCAAGGCAATAATGAACTTTGTAGTGTAGGTGACAGTTACGACGGCTCTAATTCACAACGGTCGAAGGGCCAAAGAAAGAAAGGCTCCTCACAGAGCGGAGAATTCTCTTCCATTCTTTCGAAAGGATTTCGAAAACACGAGTTCTATAGTAGAGCCAAAATCCAACCTTATGTAGAGCTCGTTAAAAAGTCCACGCAGGAATATCGTGATATTTTTGGCCACTCGTTGACAGACGGTTGGCCGCCGATGTTCAAAGCATGAATTGTCAACAGGGTGAAAGAAACGTATTTATATTTATTTAAGTCAAGACAATGTCAGTTGAATGGAATTTTCTAAATAAGATGCAAGGGATTTTATCTTCTCTAATGCATGATGACAGCATTAAAAATTTTATGCAGTATTCAATTTCATCGCAAGAAAAGCTGGAATCGAGCATGACTTTCTTCCGTTCTATGAAGCCATGCGTTAGAAGTTATGTGAAGAAAATACTTCCCATAACTATTTTAAAATTAAGTAAAGGTAATGAAAATTCATAGTAGGAATTATATCTCACCGATTTTTTATTCTTTATTCTCTACATTCGGTAAACAAACGTTTATGCAGTGAAATAATTATTGCAGTAAAATATTACTTTTTCGTTTATGTACGAGCTAATTTTGAGCTAAGAATAGTAGAATTTTGTTAAAAATTTGTTAGGAAAGTTTATAGATGAAACCATAAGAAAATGAAAACTTACGGTTTAGATGCGGATACACTTCTACGAGAAGAGTACTCGACAGTCGAGGAGTATCTGCATGAGAGACACTAAATAATATATAATAATAATGAAAACACTAAATTATTATAATTTGTTAATCAACTCCATGTGTTTAAGCATTTGCGCCGGCACAAAGTTTAAATCATAGTTATTGGCCTAATTTTTTATGCACGAGTATTGCACGTCAGTTTATAACATTTACCATTATGATGCAACGATTTTGTTACAAATTTCATGCCGGACGAAAACTAAATTCAGGGAACACAACAAATAACGTTGTTGCAATTCGCAATTTAAACTTGAGACTACCCAAGTCTTAAAACTTGAAAAAGAAAATAAAATGGTTATTAATACCAAAGTTTGAACATTTTGTAGAGTGAAAGTAAAAATAACAATGAAATAACTCAAATCACCATTTTCCTCGAAGCAGATCCCGGACTTGACTACATGTCCAGACGGCGTCACCTCAGTTGCGCACCACAGACGGAAGCCTGAAGTATTTTAAATTTAGTCTTTTAAGTATTGAAAAACGAGGAAAATTTTTGTAGATTCGTTAAGTGCAAACTAATAAGTATTAAAAAACAAGGAAAATTTGTGTAGATTCGTTAAGTGCAACTTAATTAGTATTGAAAAACGAGGAAAATTTGTGTAGATTCGTTAAGTGCAACCTAATTAGTATTGAAAAACGAGGAAAATTTGTGTAGATTCGTTAAGTGCAACTTAATTAGTATTGAAAAACGATTAAAATTTGTGTAGATTCGTTAAGTGCAACTAAATTAGTATTGAAAAACGAGTAAAATTTGTGTAGATTCGTTAAGTGCAACTTAATTAGTATTGAAAAACGAGTAAAATTTGTGTAGATTCGTTAAGTGCAACCTAATAATATTATGAGAGCATGATATTATTGTTTTCCACGATCAATTGTATAGATATAGCCGGTCTAAAATATTGGCAAGTGGGAAAAACTAAATTTCGTTATTGGAGTGAAAATAACTCTTTGGACTACTCTAAAATCACTATTAAATTATCTCAATTTTACGCTCAAATTACTGAATAAATTTTCGAATGATTATCAATTGCTTCAAGTGCTTGCGTTATTGCTAAGGGTTTCCTCTCTTTACCTGACCTACATCTTATTATTTACTGCTGAACTGCACAACATTATTCAAATATTATTTCATTTAACTACTTAATTAAAACTTCCTGCTCATTACTCAACATAATGATCTTTTTTAATGCCGAAGGAAATGTTAACGAAAACCCTTAACGGTTCATACTTGTTTGGTCTTATTTTAAATTGTAAATATTTTTGTAACTGCTTATATAGAGCATGACACATAATATTGACAAAATGAACGCCGCTCACCAGGGGGAGCTGAAGAATTATAAACACAGGTGGAGTGCATGCGGTCCTCGAATTCAAAAGGAAACGTGCACAAGTGACCTTGTCTCGTAACTTGAACTTTCTTGTGACCTGCACAATGACTATAATTAGATACGAGGTGCGTATTTATAACAAAAAGTATTCATTTCTTTTAACTTACTTCGGTTTCACAATATCTTAATTTTACAAGCATTTAAGATTTATTAGGATCGTGCTAATTTTTAAAGTTTATCTTACAATGAACTTTAATTTTAATTCCAAGCAAGAGTCTCACTGATTGAAATAACATTTATTGATCGGGAATACCTTCATACCAGCAGATTTGAAGCAGAATTCAAACTGATATCACTTTGAGCCGCCGATTTGCATCGTGATTTTCATTTATTTTATTTAAATGCCTCAAAAAAGAACATGTCTGCCGAAAGCCTGCTTTCCCACTGCTAGCCTTCCCTGCGCGGCGCCGGCTCGGTTCAAATACTGCTTCGAATTTTGACTGGGGGGCTATGACTTACCCTATGGGTTATGACTTACCCCATGACTTACCCTCCTACCATGGGTTATGACTAACCCTATGAGTAGAAACTTACCCCAGTGAGCGAGACAGACTCCGTAGACGATTTCTGTCTGGGGAGAAGTCACGTAGCTGCCATCACGCAACAAGGAGGTCGACACGGAATGTTTCTCTCCCACCACGCACCACGGAGAACGCGTGTCGTCCACGCAGGAAAGGTATGCTTGATTACCATATTGGAATGGCAGTTGGCAAGGGATGCCTTCGCTTGTCAGAGCCACGAGTTTTCCGCCTGTTGCAGAAAAGCAAGTCAAAAATGTTTACTAAAAGTAGTCGCGTTGTTATTCAAAACCAGTATTTTTCATACCTTAACACCCAATTTGTTCCTGTAGTGGTAAGCAATAGTGTACTTTTTAATAAGCGATTCGTTTCGCTAGAGTCTTCACAAAATTTTTTTGCAAAGTCTTATCGTAAGTATCATTTCTTTTATTTATTTAATCAAACTTACGCGCCCCTGCAATTAGGTTTGACTTGTATGACGTAGTTTGCCACGAAATTATCCTCGTGATGCAATGCCTTTATTCGTGAATATTTTTAAATGCCGATCCACCCTAAAACTATTCCTAGTGGCTTTTGATTGCATCACTTTTGATTTTGAATTGCATGAATTCTATTTCAGCATCGCGCCAGTCATCAACGATAATTATCGCATCATTTTGGATACAAATTTAATTTTTCATAATATTTAGCTGAAATAAAATTTAACAGATTAAAATGCTTTATATTTGCTACATGTTTTTATGCACAAAGCTATAGTTTTAAGAAGAACCACTATAATTATTGACCCCTTTCTCGAAATGAAAATTTGAAAACATTATAACTGAGGATAATATTTATATCAGATTTATTTTAAACTCATCTTTAACGCGAGCTTCTGTAGTCATTGTAAATCCATCAAATATTTAGACATTTCCTAGCAACGTTCTGCAGCGCAATCAAACATGCCAGTAGCGCAGTAAAAGCACACACGACAGGCTCCGACCCAAAGCCATTTGCATCGACAACTGCTTTAGTTATGCTCAACATGAAAAAGAAATTCTGCTGGCTCGAAAAAAATCCTGAACTCTTTTCAAAAGTTCGGATAATTTCGTACACAAATCAGATTTTAAATGTGACGTTTCTTGAATGGGACGTTGTTTTTTGTTTTATGGATACATGGCATATATGAATGTTTAAATAATGATTTCGCCTGTTTCCATTTTACTCGAGTTTTGAGAGTCTACTATTACATTCATATATCAATGTATAATAATTTAAACAAGTAGCAGTCTCAATTTTATTAAATCCGCTTGAATATTTAATTTTATTCAAAATAATTAAATATTGAACAATGATTGGTATTGTGGAATATGTTTTTGCAAAAGACAGCCCTTGATCGACAGCGCAATACATATAATAATGATTGGTATTACAGACTATTTAGTTGTTAAAAACAGACCTTGATCAAGAGAACAATATATATAATAATGATTGGTATTACAGACCATTTAGTTGTTAAAAACAGATCTTGATCGACAGCACAATATATATAATAATGTTGCTGTTATAGACTATATATAGTTGTAAAAACTGACCTTGATCAGCAGCACAATAGCTCCACTTGACCATAACTTTTTGATGAACTTGAGTTGCGCACCATCCCCTGCCACGCTCAGTGGTAGTACAGCGATGGTACTCAGTACCTCGGTACACGAACGGGAACACGCACTGCTTGTGGTCCTCCGTGAGTACCACTTTCTTCATGCCTGTGGTAATGAAACAAGAAATTATTTATCTAACACAGGTAATTCATGAGTAGGTGAACAATATAATAATTTTTATTTTATTATGAAATAAACTTTAAAATCCAAAGATGAAACACAAATGGCCCCAATGGAAAAAAACGATCTGTATGAACAAGTTGGAAACTGTGGACATGAAATTTTAAAATGACAATTTGAAATAAATAATGGAATGCACGTATAATATAAATGAATAAAAATAATTTATTCAAACTGAAAATAAATCAATTACAGAGAAAACCCGACACACTTTCATTATTTATTAGAACTACATAGTGGATACAAAATTTAAACGACTGAATAATTGAAACTTAAATTTGCATAGCATAAATTCGGGAAAGGATCGAAATTCAGGAAAGGATCGAAAAAAAAAAAACAGAAAAAAATTAATACAAATTCCAATGATGAATTCTAATGACTGAACGATAAATGAATTGATAAAGAAACTTAGATTTTAGAAGCAAAATAGTGTGTTTTTCACCGAGGTCAGCGACACAGACGTCCCAGGCGACGACCTCCTCCGTGTCGGTGACGGCCGTGGCACACCACGGGACGCTGTGGCCGGCGCCCGTACAGCCGAAGTGACGCGTGCCACGAAACACGAACGGGAACACGCATGAGCTGCCGTTGACGGTGCGAGAATATCCTGCACGATGAAGTGTCTTGAAGAAAACACTTTATCTAACTGGTATTATACGGAAAATTCATGAAGGAAACACTTTACCTAACTGGTATTATACGGAAAATTCATGAAGCAGGGGCAATACTTCGTGTGCCACGGAACACGAACGGGAACACGCATGAGCTGCCGTTGACGGTGCGAGAATATCCTGCACGATGAAGTGTCGTGAAGGAAACACTTGATCTAACTGGTATTATACGGAAATTCATGCAGCAGGGGCAATACTTCGTGTGCCGCGGAAGACAAAAGGGAAAGACGCAAGAGCTGCCGTTGACGGTGCGAGAATATCCTGCACGATGAAGTGTCTAGAAGAAAACACTTGATCTAACTATAATATTTATTAAAATCACTCGTTTGCTTGAATCGCAAGTTAACAAGGAATTTAAAAGCAAAGAAAATACCACAAAAATTCACCATATCTTTATAAGAGAAAACGTTTCGGAGTAAGTAATATTATATGGAAAATTCATGAAGCAGGGGTCATACTTTTACAACTCGCTAAGTGAACGTAAGAACACACGCTCTATTCCTTGTCTGTGAATGGTTGATTTTGCTTGAAAGGCCGTCAATTATTGGCTGATGAACTTACGATCTCTTAATTTTTTTTTAAAGTATAGGCCCTGAACTATAAAAATTGTTGATAACTCCGCTAGTCAATAATTGCCGGACTTTCAAGCTGAGACGAGAACTCACACAGTCACAGACGAGAAATCAGCCGCTACGTGTACATAAGCATGTTTTGATCGTCTGGCACCAAGAATCAAGTGATGAAAATACCAGATTGATATTTTCAACATAATGGTCGGTCTCGGAACTCGGTGAATCCGAGACAAACATTGCCGCATTAGCAATGAATATTTGGAACAGAGCAATATAACTAATAAAAAAAATAATATAATCACTTATAAGTACCTAACAAAACAACATAATAAAATCACTTATAAATACCTACAAGAAATATAACAATATATTACAATCACTTATAAATACATACGAGCAATATAACAATATAATAAAATCACTTATAAATACCTACAAGCAATATAACAACCTAATATAATCTTTTATAAATGCCTATATACAGGAATGCGGACTGTCAGATTAACGACTCAAGCAACTTATAAATACCTACAAATAATATAACATATAATATAATAAAATCACTTATAAATACCTATCTACAGACTATCTATCTATATGACTGTCATATTGATGACTCACGCAACTTATAAATACCAATCTACAGACTATCTATCTATATGACTGTCATATTGATGACTCACGCAAGTTGCACATGTCGCCGTAGAAGCCTTCCGTACACGTACAGGTGCCGGGGGCAGCGCACCAGCCCCCGTTGAGGCAGGGGGGTGAACACACGGGCAGGCAGGAGGGGTAGGGGGCGGAGGTGGAGCTCGTCAAGTCTAGGAAAAATATCAAGAAGCGAATTTTTTCTTCATTTTTACATTGTATAATAACAAGGGTAAAAATAAGGAATTATAGTGAATTATTATTGAATTGAAGAGTTATTGAGAATTATTATTGAAGAATTATTATTCATTATTGAGAATTATTGATCGATTTGAAATAAAGCATCAAATGATGTTGTGTGTAAAACATATATTATATTAGAGCGTACATTAAAAAAGAAACAATTTGATGAAGATAAAAGTTTATTATGATTTATGGTCAAAATAAACCTCAGTATTGCGTCGAAGTCATGGTATGAGTACATCAATGATGTCAATGTTACTAATATGATCATAGTTCATCTGTTGAATATTAGATATTATGTGTGCATTACAATCGCATTCAAGTGCAATACAATTAATTGTATTGTTGATACTGACCCCTTATTTCATATCAGCGAAAGAATCTGAACTCAATTATGAATTTTCAGATCGAGTATCGTTTTAAATGTTGAAAGTTTACGGTATAAAATTAACTGCATGCTTTTCAATAGGGAATAAGTGAGTAAAAATAATATAAATAATTACTGGTATAAGAAGACTTTTCGGATGAGGATCTAGAGGCGTTGTCCGCATCCACGGGAATTTCCTGGAAGCAGTGAAAATTGCTTAACAAACAATAATAAGTTTGAACATCATCATGAATTATTAGAACTAACTTATTAATCTCTAAGCTTTTCGGCCATTTCAACCAAAACTAAACAAGGGAGACATCGGATTAGAGTATAACCGTAAGAAAATATTTAAGTTTAAGTAATATAAGAAAAATCATTGATATCTTCGAACTCTTTTGCTCTATTTAAAAAAGATAAAAATGTTTATGGGATTCATATATTTAATTTTATTTATTTTTTTTTAATTAATACGCCTAGGTTGTCTAAATTTTGCCTCTCGATAGTTTACATTTGCATTGCAATTGATTTCCCGTTTAGTTTGTCTAATTCGAAAGTTAGCCGCATGCACTTTAAGGATAATGCAGAAAAATGTTTAAAGTGACAAGATCATAAGGGTCATTCATCGAATACGGTCCTCTCTTACTGTGCACTAAAGAGTTTATAAAAATTTTAAATGGTTTATCCATACCTGCTAGTATCCATACCTGCTGGTATCCATACCTGCTGGTATCCATACCTGCTGGTATCCATACCTGCTGATATCCATACCTCCTGGTATCCATACCTGCTGGTATCCATACCTCCAGGTAACCATACCTGCTGGTATCCATACCTCCAGGTAACCATACCTGCTGGTATCCATACCTCCTGGTATATCCACATTCCATCGACGCAGTCAAACCCGGCAGCGATGTCCCCGTTGGGCAATTTGTATCCTGAACGGCAGCGGGAAACTCCATTCAAGAAGTCGTCACTGTTGATAACCATTTATTACTAGACTGTAAAGACGTCTATTTTATCTGAATTAGCAGTTTTCCTTCATATAAGCTTTCATTAAACGGAATATCCTGGTAGATTTATAGTGGTTCGTTCTTTGATAAGTAAACTTAGAATATGATAAATTTTTACACAATTAAGTGTGTTACTGGGGAAAATAAAGCAATTCATTTCATTATTCTAAAAGGAAACTTTAACGACAAATAGAAATAATGACTCGTATAATGCTAAACAAGCATTAACTGCACAAAAAAATCATTGGATTCCGTTTGGTATCATCGTAATATAAATATCAATGCTCAGTTTTTTCTGAATCTGTTCCTTCAGCGCGTTTAGCTTCTAGAAAAACAAGCATATTATGCCTTCCTTTAAATCAATATGAGCACAAAGACCTTCTTATATGCAAATCATTTGCAAACTGAAGCCGCAGATATTGGATGCTCCGAAGTGCATCGTAGATAAGATGCAAAAAAACGTCAAACAAGAACCGGCTTCTCATCCGTCCAGAACGCATTCAATCTAAAAATAAGTCTCGAGAAGGTGTGTGCCAAGTTTCAACGTATCATGAATAATGCAAAACTTACCTGAAGATCATCATAGAATTTTGTATTTTCTCAGGGGCCCCTGAGCACTTTTTGACTTGGCAATGATCTCCGGCAAAACCATCGGGGCATTTGCACTTCTCCGGAGCAACACACACTCCATTATTCAGACAGGGTTTTTGACAAACTGCGGAGCAAGCAAGTGATCCCACCGGATACAGGGCCTGCTCCGCGTATTTTGAACCCGGACTTCTTGGACCGTAAATGATCTTTGCAGTTTCATACGCAATGCTTCTTTGCGCCCATACATTGTTTCCGGGATACGAGGCACTTCGAGGTGAAGTTGTAGGTGTTGAGTTTATGATTTTGGATTCGTTTTGCGGCGTTAAAATCGTGAACCAAGAACCGTTCGAGCAAACCAGGCTCGTGCGCGTTATTCCTTTTTTGATCGCGTAGCCGGGTAGGCACTGGACAACAACTTCGTTCTCAGGGTACCTGTAAAAACATACTATGTGCTTCTTAGACATTAAAAGCACCTGTACACCGAAATATATGTAATAATACAAAAAATGTTAGTCGATTATGTTTAACTTCAGCTGAAGCATGTTATTTAACATGCATTAGGTTATCTCTGATATCACAGATAATAAAAAATATCATTACTTTAGTATAATTTACATATGAGGCTATCCTCATTAGCTAAGGTTATCTGTAGGATATCAGTGTATTGAAATTGCAATTAAATTTTTCAGTCCTCGAAAAGGATTACAACTTTTATGCTTCGTACAAACCTGTAACTCAAATATGCCCTGGGTACCACAGGCGGGAGGTCAGTGCAATTTTTTGGCTGCGTTGTGCCGCAATTCTGACCGCTGTATCCTGGCGGGCATTCGCACCGGTTGGGCTCCACGCACACACCGCCATTCAGGCAGAATCTTTCACAAATTGCAGTACAGTTACGTTGCAGAATCGGAGAAGCATCGGGGAGGTTTGTTGGTCGCGGGTCAGCGTCTGAAGTTGATAATCGAGAAGGAAATTGTCGTTGATCGTCTTTCCATTTCCCAGCTTCGCAGGTTTGGTTCCAAATAGGAGGCTCCGCAACGACGTTGTCAATAGTGCTGATGTAACCGTCAGCACAACGCGACGTCATCTGCGTTGAACTGTGGGAGTCACATAAAAATATGAAACATTAAAGTCATTTTCCTACGGGTAGGACACTATTGTGATCAAAACGTTTCCTTGCCATGAATAATAGGAATGAGCGCACATAAGCTTTCTTTTACCCTGATTATGACACGTGCGAGCTTATCGCCGATCAGTGTATAAATCATACGTACATAACGAATGAACTCAAACAACAGCCAGTTGTCATGGACCAAATGTATTAAAGACGTTGCAAATTTAAATCCAAAATATTAAGAAAAGACAAGACGAATTTAGGTTCAAACATTTCAGTTCTTGTCAGCTTGAACCGCATTAAAACCATTGGTCGAGTCGACGCCGCGTCCACTACAGGACTTTGCCTTTAAGGAATCAGTGACTCGGAAGCAAACTTGCGAGGTGTTGTACCAGGAATTCTTTTACAGGCATTCTCGCTGAGGGGTCGTAATAGCTGCTCAAGCACGGCGAATGATTCCAAGATAAGAAAAATACTTGACGTGAAACACCGCTATAAATTATGTAAGTTTTTTAAGAGAAAATTTTAGATATTATGTTGTTCTCTGCTCCTCGTTGATTACGCAGGGAGAATGGCTGATGAGTTTTTTCGTACGCGGACTGTTTTAGTGCTTTTTTGATGATGAGTTACCTAATGGCGACTTTCGATAATTTTAAATGACTATATAAAAATTTGATAAACACAATAGAATGTAAGCAAATTAATGCATGGCTGAAAGAAAAAAAATGACGAATGAAAGTAGAGCAGTTCATAGGAGGGTGTATGATGGGAAAGATTTGATAATCTAAAATATCTGCACACTTACGAATGAAAGAGCGGAAATAAAGAAGAAACTAAAGAAAAAAATGAATGAGGCAATTTAGGAACAATGACGAATGATGACTGATAGAACAGAAGTAAATTAAATAACACTAGAAAACTAATGCAAAAGAAATTAAAACCAGACGATGACCCAAATGATTTCAGTTGACAGTTTTTTTCCTTGTCGACGAGCTAGATCAACCATCATCGCTTTTAGTCCAAGAGTTGAACAGGGTCCGAAAAATAATAAAAATTTACTAACTCTAATTAAATTTGGCTCTTCTTTACATATATTGCATTCATTTACGAGGGAGGTCTGTCAGATTGACGAAAATTATATTTATTATAAACATTTTAACATCATATTAAATTTGCCGAACGGCATCATTGGACTTGCATAACCTAATTTAATCATAGTCTAGGATATCCGAACTAATACATTTTTAGTTTTTAGTAGTTTAATTAAAATTTTGAGCGACTGATCCCATTAATTCCCGCCCTATTAACTCTGAACTTTCGAACGTCTTTTCAAATAAGAGTCTGTTTTTTTTTGGTCTCATTCAACCCGCAGTTTTTAGATACCGATGTAATCTACGGAAGAGCAGTGGATCTGAGATGAATTTCGACTAGGCCGAGAAGCGGTGATGTCTTCTGAATAACAAACGGCGGAGAGCGGGTCGAGCTCTCAATTAAATCCCCTTGAAGGACAGGTTGTAGTGGGGGGTTTTATTTGAATGATTTTTAAAGATTTTTTCTATGTTCTTACGAAGATATTAATAGAGGTTAATATGGACAATTTTAATCTCCTGGTTGCCCAAAAAAACGAACGCCGAGATGAATCAAAATAAAAATGTGAACTTTACTTTGTAATTAATTGACGCTAAAAGCGGTATCAGCTTATCTGTCATCGAATTAGAGACCGAGGGCAAATCTTCAAGCCATGCATATGTGTTTGTAATATGCTAACAAGATCTCAGGATAATTCTAAAAAGTTTTCATTTTGAGAGCTGCGATGTTGCATCACTAACCAAATAAAAATAAGAGTGGCGCATCGATGATTATAGGTGGCGATGGTAGATTACATGTGGCGTAACGGTAGGTGGCCAGATCTGGCAGAAGTCGAACATAAAACACCTACAAATCGAGCGGGTGGCGAGCATAGGTGGCAGTCATTGATGAATAATCAATGACTGTCATCGATGAATCATCGATGATTTAGAGGATCTGAATCATTGTTGGCCCATTACAGGCAAATCTAATGTAAGCTACCGCTAACCGTCTACCCAAACTGCACAGTGCTCGAAGGCATTTGCCACTGTAATTATCCAACGTAGATAGGAGTTATTGGGTTGTAGTTCATTCGAGATCCATACGAAACTATGATTTCGTTCTGCGTGCTTGACTTGTAAGGTTTTGATTCAAATAAATTTAGCGATAAATTAGCGTGAATTCTGTAGGTACGAGTAAAACTGAGACAGTTGTAGGGTGTTCGAAAAATTTTCACGGTAAAGTGAAGCAACTCGGTATGTATCGGACTGCTCCTGACATAGACTGTCCGAGGAACAGCAGAAAATTTTGTTGCGAAAATAAAGTTTTCCAAAAGATGATGGCGAAGCCAATTTTTCACGTTCACCTTATATATTGCGTAAATTTATTGCGAATTATGTATATGCGCCAACTTGCTGTGCTTAAAATATTACGATCAATTGAGACTAATTAATTGTATCATTAAGTATGAATTAAATGGTTAAATTATGCGTGCTTATTAATATTTATATTATTCTCAAGTTGCCGCATTTATCTAAAGCGACGATTATGTAGTCCATATAGCGGCTCGGCATCTCTAAAGCGCAGCGAGCAGGTACACGTGTACATTGTACACGTACAGTATATTATACCTGTCGGGTTGGAGCGCGTCGGCGCTGAGCTTCTTTCTCGTTAATCTTTAACACGTCCTGCTTGGATTATGTGCTTTCCGGATAATTTGCTTGCCAAAATAGTAGCCTCTTCAAGCAGAGGGATACGAGTAATAATTCGGTTTTCTATCGCTGACTTCGGGAGTGATATTAAATTATTTTAGGGAAATTTTCTTAAACCGCCAGATAATTATTTTGATTTTACGTCTTCATTTCTAATTAAGTGGTGTCGGTGGTCTTTTCTACGAAAAATATTAAACATTAGGCTAGAGAAAATAGTGAAACAAAGTGATTAAGGTATTACACGCCTAGCATTTTAAAATCATCGATTGAAGATTCATTAAAACACGCAAGAATATTCTTAGTGCAAATAGTTCGAATAGAACCGCTGTTAAAATTGGTGTAATGTTCACATTATGAAACTTCGATACCAATCATGCATTTTCCCGTAGCCTTTGCTCTGAGCTGAACCATCGTTCGTTATTGATAAACGAAGTATCTTTGAGTGACTGCTTTCTCGAATATAGGATCATGTTCATATAAAACGGCTAATGGAGCCATCTAATCATCACGGTGGTAGCATTAACTTCTTTCATTTATGAAATTATTATTTACAATACTTCAGTTAAATCTTTTAAAATTACTCGACTGCTATGTCCTCTCCGATGGCTTGGCTGCGCCTGAGGGAGATCGGAACTCGAATTAATCCTGGTATGTGTATGGTACTCTGATAATTTGTTCCTGCTACATGTCTGACACTGATACTTGTACTGCCAGGGTGGATTTGCATGCAAATGTACCGGATGTGAAGCTAAAGGAAAAATTTTTATCTACTTCATTTTAAGGTGGCCATCGGTGACTCATCAATGCGCCACCTGTGCCAATGGGCAGTTATTGGTGGAAGAAGAGTTTTTCAGGCAGGGTGGCCATAGGTAGGTTATAGATGGAACATAGGCCGGACACGCCATCGGTGCTCCCCCTACAATTTCCGCCTATATTCACAAATAATCATCGATGCTCCACCAATAATTTTTATTTGGGTACAACGTCTGCAGTACGCTGCGCCGAAGCTAAATCCAAATAACTGCATCAAACCAGTACCTACAGATCTACAGAGCAGCATCATTACAGCACCTGCAAAACCACGAAGCATCATCTAAGCAGCATCTGCAGAGCTGTGGAACAATATCTACAGAGCAACATTTTCAGAGCTGATGAGCAGCATCTAAGCAGCATATTCAGAGCTGCAGAGCAGCATCTTCAGAGCTGCTGAGAAGCATCTAAGCAACATCTGCAGAGCTGCAGAGCAACATCAGCAGAACATTACCGCGACGCTTGTTCTAAATGAGGTGGGCAGCGGCTGCTTTCGTGCTCCATTATTAATGGTTGCCTGTAATCCGCCGAACTAATGGCGTGATTTGCTCCTCTCCACAACGCCTCGAAAAATGGGGGGACATGATCGTGCCCTGGCACTGCTACCATGATGAACTGGTAGACATGATCGTGCCCTGGCAATGCCGACATGATGAACTGGTGGACATGATCGTGCCCTGGCAATGCCGACATGATGAACTGGTGGACATGATCGTGCCCTGGCAATGCCAGCATTATGAACTGGTGGACATGATCGTGCCCTGGCACTGCCAGCATGATGAGCTGGTAGACATGATCGTGCCCTGGCACTGCCAGCATTATGAACTGGTGGACATGATCGTGCCCTGGCACTGCCAGCATTATGAACTGGTGGACATGATCGTGCCCTATCTTTTAAATTATAATGCTGTCTTGCGAAATCATAGGTCTTAATGATCATCAGCGTTACTCTTTACTCGAGAGAAGTACATTATAAAATAGCAATGAAATACGATTTATCATTATTGAAAACTAATATTCAGAGTGATATATATATAATATTTAATCCTGCATCAGCTATAGGCGACCCGGAACCTCACTTGTAAACAACAAGCGCGTTCCTGGCTACACCGGAGATGGTCCAACAGTTTCGTTCGTCCGGGATTCCGCAATCACTGCCGGTGAACGGATGAACGCAGGTGCAAACGTCCGGAGCAGTGCACTCGCCTCCATTGAGACACTCGGTGCTGCAGCAGACAGCAATAAAGACACGATCAAGTTGTTTGCAAAACCGAACAGGATATGGTTAAATGGAGGGAGAATTTTGGAAATTTTAATATAGAATACGTAAACTTTTGAAATTTGAAAATAGAATATATATCATGTAAACGATACAAAACTTCAACTATTTACTACTCGACACGCTCAGATAACCTCAGATGCAATTATGATAGGAGCGACGCAATAGTTAGTCTAGGATTAACAAACTTAATACACAGAAGTACTGTCAGTACGGATTTTATTGTCTTTAAAAAACTTACGTTAGTACTAGCAAGCCAAGGATACCTAGGAAAAAATTTATCAATTTAAGAGTTTCTGATATATCCAAAACTTAACTAAGCTACAAATTATTGATGCAAGAGACGTCAGCCACCGTGAAATATTTTTATTTTCGGAATGAGATGGATTTCGATTTTATTTCGATTTTCTCAACATACAAAAATTTTTTCGTCTAAATTCATTAAGTAATACTTCATGATTTCGCCAATTAATTTTCTAAATTCATTAAGTAAGACTTTAAGATTTTGCCAATTAATTTGCCAAAAACGTATTAAAGTTTTAACTAGTCAATTAATTTCGCAAACAATTATTTAGTTCGATATTACAGAAATTCAATACATCGAGAAGCTGCTCACATCTCTAAATGATTCTTAAAATAATTTTTTTTAAAAAGCAATCTTAATTTCGATCCTTTATAATAAAAACACAAGTGACAGGCTTTAGTTTGACAAGCATTGTCAAACTAAAGCATTTGACAGCATTTGACATTTGACAGGCATTGTCAAATCTATAGGATTCAATATAAAGTAGTCAAACCATTTTTCTAAATACTTCAATGATGATAACAATTAATTACCTACCTGCATATAGGATAGCAAGCCCTCGTCCTCTGAGACGTGGACCTCGTCTGGAACATCCACTCCCCGTCTTTGCACCAAATTTCTTCCTTGAGGCGGTCCGATAAAAACTTATACCCTCGAGCACACACCACGAACTGTCCTCTGGAACTGGAAAATTCGAAACTATTTATATAAAAAAAGTATATTATATGGAAAAAATATAACTCAGTACTCACTGCAGTGAGTGACAGAGAGCGCATTTTCTCGTCGACGAACACGTGAAGTCATGGACGGACAGACAGACAGACGAACGGAAATGACGAGCACAATATAGCGCCTTTTTTCCATAAATGAGAAAATGCGCTAAAAAGTTAATTCTAGTTGCATGATGGAAATGTCGAAGAAGTATTAAAGAACAGCTGTTTCAGTTGAGAAAATTTTAAAGTTATCTGCTTAAGATATAAAATAGGTGTAAAAAAACAAGATGAGAAACCATATAAATCCTAACCAAGTTGGAAAGCAACATGAGTGCATTGGGGTTTAAGTAGTTATGTCAATGAATCCACAATCCGAAAATAGTAGAAATTACGATAGCAGAATTTTTTATTGCTGTTCTTTTGCAATATACAATTTTTATTTATATTCAGGGCTCCTCCGTTTTGTTAGTCTACTAAAACGTATAAATGCTGTAACTTTACTGCAAACTCCATTTAAGTAATTTCAATTTGATTTTTTAATATTATATCATCGGTCCTGGAAAGCATGTAATGAATAATTTTCACAAAAATATTGCCTTGTTAGCCAACCTGATCTGCACGGCCGCGTTGGGCACGGGAGGCGGAGGCGAGACGCAGGGCAGTTGTATTTTTGCCGAGCAATATTTTCCGGTGAAGCCTGGTGGGCAAGAGCATGTTTCCGGACCAGTGCATTTTGCTCCGTTCTGACACGGAATTTTGCACCTGGGTTCACAGATCGGCGGATCGTCGGTATCGCATTCCGGATACGCCCAGACGTCGCCCCGACACTTGAATGGCGTCGAAGCGCGACTATTGTTTAAGTAATAGCCTTCGTCGCACGTTACCATTCCTCCAGAGGAACTGAAATTTTTATTTGAAAAATTAAAAAAATTTTTGGAAATGTCGAGATGACGGCGACAAATTTTTTTCGAATTAAAAACATCAATTTCAACGCATAGGTTATATAGCACATCGAACCACATACTTATAACAAAAAAAAAATTGCGCTTGATTGACAAATTGATAATTGGTGCATTCCACCATCTACAGCTATTAATATATTATTCAGTCATTAAAACCAGCAAAATTAACAAACATAAAACTTATACAAAAAAATTAGTCGCTCACTTGTACGAAACAATAGCATTCTGGATTTTAGGAGGTTGAATTTCACATTGAGGATCGTATAACATCCCGCAGGACTTCCCTTCCTTTGGCTCGCACACTTTGCCAGTCATGGGCACACATTGAGGCAGCGATGACTGGTTGGCATAGCCTGCATAACTCCAGTTACCGAGCTGACAGCGCAGTTCCAGCCACTTGACGTCGCTCGAGAACACGAATGATGGCTCGCACTTCACGCGGTAGAAGCCACCGCCTCTGTCAGAATTGTGGGGCACAATTGAAGCAAGTGGATCAGTTCAATTGACTTGGGAATTTTGCTGTACAGTTTTAGAGAACGCAGTGATAAAATGTATTTTGATTCTTTTTTTGAACGCAGAGTATTTTGATTCTTTTCTTTTTTTGAACGCAGAGTATTTGATTCTTCTTTGGGACGCAGAGTATTTTGATTCTCTTTTTTGAACGCAGAGTATTTTGATTCTTTTTTGAACGCGGAGTATTTTGATTCCTTTCTTTGAACGCAGAGTATTTTGATTCTTTTTTTTAATGCTGAGTATTTTGATATTTTTTTGAACGCAGAGTATTCGATTCTTTTTTGAACGTAGAGTATTTTGATTCTTTTTTGAACGCAAAGTATTTTGATTCTTTTTTTAACGCAGAGTATTTTGATTCCTTTCTTTGAACGCAGAGTATTTTGATTCTTTTTTTGAACGCAGACTATTTTGATTCTTTTTTTTTTTTTTTTTGAATGCTGAGTATTTTGATATTTTTTGAACGCAGAGTATTTTGATTCTTTTTTGAACGCAGAGTATTTTGATTCTTTTTTTAGCGCAGTGTATTTTGATTACTTTCTAGCAAATTTTATTATTTTCGTTAAATATTTTGCTATTATTTAGGTACGACATGAGCAGTTACCTACGCAACGTTGCCGTGTTATTCATCAAAATTCTCATATATTAATATAATTGTGTCCGCCATTCAACTAAACAGAAAATGAAGTCCCACCGCAAGCAGAGCACCAGTTAAACAGCGGGACAACTACACGCCATTTCACTTACACGTTCTCAGTTAGGGAGTGAGGCAGCTGCGGCATGCCAGAAGCGCAAGCCTCCTTGTTTTGGCAGTGTTGCCCTGAATAATTCTCATCGCAAGCACAAGTGCCCGGTGCAGTACAGATGCCTCCGTTCTCACAAGCCGGTACACAGACCGCTACGCAGACCAGCGCTTCGTAACCTGGCGGATAGACCCAGGCTCCGGCTTTGCAGTCCATTGCTATTGTAGACTCGCCGTTCTTGAAGATATAACCGTGTTCACATGAAGCAATCACGCTGGATTCTCTGGAATTAACCCGAATGTTTAACAAATTAAAAGGATATGCTATTGTAGACTCGCCGTTCATGAAGACATAACCGTGTTCACATGAAGCAATCACGCTGGATTCTCTGGAATCAACCCGAATATTTAATAGATTAAAAGGAAGAAGGTTAATGGCTGTATTAAAAATGACCATTATATTGATTGCCGCCCACGATAACCTCGAGTTTAAACACTCTAAGGAAACATCGTTTGTAGGTAATGATTTAGTCAGACAGGGAAGAAAATATAGAAACAAATAGAGAGACAGTGAACTCTATATATTTCGCGCATCGTGCAAAAATAATTTAATGAATTCAAGTATGAAATTGAAAGGAAAGAAGATTGCACAAAATCTCATTAACAGATGTATTCAATTATTGCATGAATTTCAAGTGCACTTGATATTTGCCAGGACAATCATGAATAATGGAATAAGGTTGCTTGTACTGAATTTTCAGGTTGCTTGTACTGAAGTTCGTAGAAAGGCAATTTTTATTTTCTGTCAAAATATTTTTTATTTGGAGCATGAATGCAATTGTAAATGAAATTAATAAATCATCAGATTAAGTATAAAATTATTTTAATGTTATTCAGCAAACTGAATACCTATTTTGGACTGTTATATTGTAATCAGCGTCAAAAACTCAATTTTATCCAATTAATTTCGTAGGTATTTGAATAATTTCATAGAATGAATTTGAAAACAATAGTCTGTTGGCCTATATTTGATTTCATGGTGGTACTCACCTTACAGTTACAGTTAAATTATTGCCTCGTATAGGCTGCAGACACAGCTCGTTCTGACACTGAGGGCCTCCGTATCCCTGCTGGCACTGACACACCGAGGGTGCCACACACACTCCCTTGTTCTGGCACCCAAGAGGGCACTCGGGAAGGCACCCTTGCTTCTGGCTTATCGTCAGGACCCAGTCGCCGTTCACGCACGACGGTGCAAACTCTTTCTGAATATTCGGTAGTAGAGCAAAACTTTACAGAGTATTTCTGAATATTCGATGGTAGAGCAAAACTTTACAGAGTATTTCTGAATATTCGCAGCAAGCAAAACTATAGAGTATTTGTAGATGTTCGGTAGTAAAGCAAAACTTTACAGAGTATTTGTGGGCTGTTCGGTAGTAAAGCAAAGCTTTTCAGAGTATTTGTGGATGTTCGGTGGTAAAGCAAAACTTTACAGAGTATTTCTGAATATTCGTAGCAAGCAAAGCTATAAAGTATTTGTGGTTGTTCGGTAGTAGAGCAAAAATTTACAGAGTATTTGTGAATATTCGCAGCAAGCAAAACTATAGAATATTTGTGGATGTTCGGTAGTAGAGCAAAACTTTACAGAGTATTTCGGAATATTCGTAGCAAGCAAAACTATAGAGTATTTATGGATGTTCGGGATCGAGGAACACTACAGACTATTTGTAGACATTCGGCATGAAGGAAAACTATATAGAATATTTTTTACTATGACTATTTGGTGGTAAAGGAATGATTCTCTTAGTATTTAAAGTAATAAATTAACTTTAATGTATCTAAGCAATCATTAACGTGAATGAAATTTTGAAAAATTGGAATTTCATTAACTAAACTAAACGAACAGCACTAGTTTCCATAAAGGCTTAAAATACGCGCACCAATGCGATGCAATCACTATATCCTCAAGATTATACCTTAATATATCTTGACCTGTATAACAAAATTTAATTTATCATCAACTTATGAAAATAATTACAGTCATCAATGAACATCATTAAAATATCGTGCACCCTCATATCTTTTCACAAACAATCAAGAAACTTTACTCAATAAACGAATAAAAATTGTACAGAACATTTAATACTCCTTATCTTCATCAAAAACATATTATGTTCATAGCATTAAAGAAGTGGTCATAGAAAACATGTAAGGTTTCCCCAACAATAATGATGAAAGTTTAATTCTCCCTACCTTCATATAGAACAACCAATGCTTCCCAACAATTATAGTGAACACCCAAGCTTCCACTACAATGTTAGATAACATTTAATGCCCCGTCTCGTCAGGGTCGAGTCAAACTCTAGATGCAGTCATAAAGCATCTTACGTTCGAGTCTACATTGCGCTTACGTCTCCAGTTAGCAGCGAGTAGCCTTTGTAGCATCTCAGCATCGGCGTCTCCAAGTCTGACCTGGAATGCAATACGTCCGTATAACGACACTCATTAAACCAACAACTCGGATGCATTTACAAAATTGCTTAAGCGCGAATGGCGTGGAATAACAGCAGGTACAGACAGTCCCGTCGCTCTACTCTGATTAGGTTCAAGTCTCCAGACCAGATCTAAAGCATGGTGGAGTGAGAAACATATTCAAAGTTCATACGGGTAAATAGGAAGTGTTAGAATATTTTCGTAATCATTGTCATTGTTGTTGCTCATTATGAATAAGAGAAAATGATCTCGCAATTCTGGATTTAATTTATTCATTATTCCAACTATGAAGTTATTTATCAACTTGAAACATGTCCGTCTCTGAAATTTTATCGCAACTCCAATTATACAAATTTCAAGCCCTGAAACACTGGCCATATGGAGTGCAAAATCATGTAGTGAAGGCGAGCACTACAGCTCAGAATTCCATAATTCCTTTATTTTCGCAAGGAATTAAGTCTTCATCAACTCGGCGGTAAAAATGGGTCAGCAGTGAAGAAATTTACCATGGAATTTTAAATTGAATTTAGTCATGCAAGAAAAACTAGAAAAGGCAGCCCGGAACTTGAGCCAGAAGTCGGTGTGTTGAGAGATTTGTGAATTCAAGTTTTTTATCGTCAAGTCTGCTGCAAAGTTTCTTGGAATAATATCGGCAGATGTTTATTCAAAGTTGCGTAATTAAAAGTTCTTCTGGGAGCATAGCGTTAAGGCAACAAGCAAGGATAACTTAGACAAATTTTTGTATAAGCTTAGCATATGGAAGACAACTAATAATAACTATTTTAACTGGGTAGAAAGCGAAAATTATGGGTTTAAGCGTATTATTTGTAGGGCTACAAATTTTAAGTATTTAATTGCTTAGAATACGGACATTAATATTTATATATTCATGTTATTTGTGAGATAAGAAATTTTAACTATTTTAATTACTTAGATTACGGATATTTACTCTGCATGAGCAAGGCAGAAAAAATATTGACTGGACAAATAAGTGAAGCTTTTTAAAAATTTGCTCAATAATTGTGATCATGAATTCTATTACATTTAAAATAGCGCGAACAGCGATCAAAATATATAATTGTATAGCCGCTAACTAAAGTCCAAATCCTCTAAAAACAATAGAATTTGATTTTTCAAGTATTTTCTTTTGTTATTGCTAGGAATCTTTTCTTCCAAACAAAGTTTAATGACTTTTCATCACCACTTTATTGTTCAAAAGTAGCCAAAGTCAGAAAACAAATACCATTCTAATCACGTCTTGGACATAATTTATTTGCTAAGGTTTAAGGAGAAGTTTAGTTTATTTATATGCATCACATATACATATATGTATATATAATTAAAAAAATAAATATAACTTCACAAAATATAAAAATTCGGAGGATTTCGATTCAAAAATTGAAATCATTCAAACATAATTGACCGTTGAAGTAAATTCATTCGATTACCACTTTTTTAATTTATATTCTGCACGCAATCATTCAAGTCATTTACAGCGACAACATAAGGAACTCTCACCCCTTGTACTCCAAAGCCGAATTTTTGACTGCCGGTGGGGGATCGATGCAGGTTTTCGGTTTTTCGCAAACCAAATTTTGTGGTTGAATTTTTGAGACCTCTCCATCCTCCTCCACGAGACTCCAGCCAGCCTCGAGGCACTTGAGGAGAGATCTCGAGAGACCCGTGACGAATCTATAGCCTTCGTCGCAAAGGTAAGACACTTCGTTCGTGCTGTAGGAAAATTCATTTATTTGTACTTAGATAAATTCAATAAAATATAGAAAAATATATATAAACATATATTTTTAAAAATATATATTTAATAACATATTTATATTACATATAAAAAATATATATATTAACTCAAACAAGTCGTTGGGGAAGACATTATAATGAATAAAAATTGATTAATCCTAACGAAAAAGTGATGGGTATGGAAGTTATTTTATTAATAATAATTCACACCAAAAAGTTCTAAAGTTATTAATTTCAAAAACTTTTCTGAGACTTCCATTTTCGTTCCTTGCATTCTCCTTGTGTATTTGCCAATGTGCGTTAATGGGATCCTCATCAGCTGGTTTGGTTTTCTGTACTTTCAATTTCGTTTGAAAGATTAATTTCAATAAATTATATTCAGTTACCAGCGTTTCTTTTCAAAATATATCTGCATCATCAGATTGTATCAAAAATTTCTATTGAAAGTATCTGTATAAAAGTAATTTGTACAAAACATGTTTGTCACAAAAGTAATCATTATAGAACGTATCTTTATAAAAAGTACCAAGTAAAAGATGCAAGGACCTTTGACTCAACGTCTCAGAGTCTAAGTTCCGTGAGATGCTCATTTCTTTTCACTTAATTTTTATAATTTACTTAGCTCATGTCAGGAGCAGGTTTATTGAAATTATTTTCGAAATTCCCTTCAAAATTTAATAGTATGATATTGTAGCAATTTATTCTAATAATTTTGCATCATTCATAACATTACAGCCCTGAAATATCCTTTTCATAATAAGTGTCTATTCACATTAAATTTAGGTGATTAAATTACAAACGAAAAAAATTTCTTTGATATTTCCAATTATTTTTCCTATAGACAAATCTCATTTCCCTCAATTAATTATACTGTTCCAGCTTTTTAGAACCTCTCTTTCGCGCCCTTAAAATATTCCGGGAGTCAATTTCACAATATGAATAAATTCCAACTCTCTTTTAAACCGTGGATGAAACTCTCACCTCCTTTTCTCGATTTTTGCATTCAGCGGAGCCTTCGGCGGTTCTTTACTGCATATAAAATCTGCACATCTCGGACCGGTGTTCTCCGGACGACACTCGCAGCGGTCAGGGCTCACACAGACACCGTGGTTCTTACAAGGGGGATCACACTTTGGTCCGCACGTCACATGAGTCTTTGAAGACGTCGTTGAAGTCCCTTCTGAAGTCCCAGTCCAAATGCCGGCTTTACAGTGGACTTGGGCAGTCATTGAACCGTCTGGTCTGCTGTAGCCCTCATGGCATACGAGATACCGAGATCCATCGCCACTGAAATTGTACATTGAATGAATTTTATTGTTATAAACGAAGCACACTGAGAAATACAACATAATACCGAAATGATATGGAAAACAATGGCAAGAACTACTTTGATATTTAGATACAAGATGGACATTTGCTCTTTTTGCATTCTATTCTTGTAAACAACTTTTATATTTATTTAAATTTAACACAAATTTATTGACGTATGAGACAACAAGAAAGAATAATTTCAAAAACATATTATAATTACAGTGAATGGACATTATTATCTTTACTAATATCTAACCTAACAAATGAATACATCACATTTATTATTTATGAATTTATTTTTAATTTAAACGTAGGTTGAATAGGCACTGCTGCATGCAGCGTAAATCTTCCGTCAATTCACTATAAAATAGGAGCACGTGACTCTACTAACAAATTTCACGAGCCCAAATAAACGTTTCATATTGCAAATCAGGCTCATGATACAATAGAAGCAAGACTTAATTATTATATTCTGATAACTCGATATCAAAGAAATACTCTTCTGGTCATAAATCTGGTCAATTAAGTAACTTTGTTTTCGTAAATGAAATTTTATTACGAACAACTGGTACCAGTGAGCAATCTCAAGCACCATTGATCAATAAACTCAGCGATTATTCCGCAATCTGACACTCTATATCAATAAGGAACTAACGTGTAATTGTGTCATCTTGAATCACAGTGTAATAAGATACTTCGAATACATCCAAATTGCAATTGCTACAGCTTGAAATGTATTTATTTGACGTGCTTAACTCATAAATCTATAGCTTTCCAGATCAATTCAAGATGAACCGAAGAATGCTTAATAGTTGTAACACACATAGACACCAGCCGTTTATATTATGCAGCTGCAGAGCGGAAAACATTGTTCGGGAGAATTTCTATATAGTTCAATTCAAGCAAAGAAACTCAACTCAGCTCATAAAGATAGTACGATAGTAAAGTCTCATAAAGATAGTACGCAATAGACGTCAAGAAGCTGTGAACAGAGCGATGATTGTACGCTCATTCTCCTTGTTGAGAATAAGAGCTTGGGTTCCTTGGAAGTCCATTGGGTGTTCAGCAACTGCCTGACTAGTGGTTTAACGGAGCCGCGCTCAGTGCCCTTGTACTCGTATAAGTCTGTTGCTATAGCGTAGCATAGTCAGTGCGCATTACATCTGAGAACTGCATCTCATAGTCCTTTACATTCAGGGCAGGGCCTAAACCTCATTGCTCTGTCGACATCAACCGTGAATACACGAAACTCAGTTCTGAGGAGAGGGCCATCGGAGACAAACAAGTCTCTTCATTGAGCGTTAATAAATAATCATTCAGTGCTAATAAATAATCATTGAGCGTTAATAAAAAGATTGCTTTAGAAATACTCGAGTATGGCTTGATCTTATATTGCAAGGTCAAATCCTAGCGGAAAGTTACTGATAAATTTATACATATCTGGGCTGAGTCCCAGTTCCAAGAACAGCTTCGACATATCATATTTTTTGTTTTCGTAACCACACAAAAATTCCCACCTAACATTATATCATCGATATATAATTTGTTGATATATTTTCAGAGGTGATGCACAAAGACAAGATGAAACTATTCTCAGCTTGGTTGCTTCTTTGCATTCTATTCTCTTACTGTTTTTTATTGGGAATGTCTGATGCAAAGACGACGTCGATTCTTGCTTATCATCCATGGCAAAAATCTACAAAATATTTCGGCCTGCCTGCTTCCAGCGAAGAAACCACGAGTTTTTACAAGAACACTGTAACACAAGTGCAGTATTTAACTGAACCTTCTGTCATCAATGAAGATATACAAGGATACAGAAATATCTTTCGGAAATCCCATGCACATATAAAGGTGAAGCGAAGTAATGGTTTGCATCAAGCTAGCATCACAAGAGACCAAGAAGTGTGCGGGGCTTGCCCGAGACGATGTCAGGTCAGAGACAGAAACTGTGACTGTGTGTTAAAGATTTCATGTATTTACAGAATACGCGGCTAGGTTGCTGTTTGCTTCATACATACAGTGTAGAAAATTTTTGCCTATCAGGAGCAGAGAACTGCATTGTAATGCGGTACTGAAAATCTAAAGTGAACTGATCGTGAATCAAATTTTTTTAGTTTTAGTTTACTTTGAAAACTATATTTGTTTTAATACAAGATTAGTTTTACACTAGATGGCTTTAAATATAGATAAAAATTAGTTTTAAAACGAGATGGTTTTAATTTTAAGGCCTAAGCCCTAAAGGAGTGAAGTACTGAACATAGGCCACTGATTTAGTCTGCAAATATGTGTTTCAATTTTCCTGTTAATAAAATACGAAATATTTTTCCCACTATCATTATTATAATCACATTATTAACTTTAAGAATATAATATTATGTTTTCTGTGTTTTGAACCAATAAAGGAACCATGAAAATATGTGTAATATCTACCCTTAACATATGCTGAAAATTATAAAAAATATTCGTGTATATTTTTATCATATTCAGGGATATTATCATCAACTCTCTTATAGTAGTCTATTGATTTTTCCTGAATCATTTTGCCATTAATTACCAAAGCAATTTTTTGGTAGGTTATGTACGCAAGTGCGCAACAGATTTATTATTTTCTACTGCGAGGAAGATCAACAATAATTATCTAAATTATATCGATCGATCATCTACTGTAGAGATATTTATAAATTACTTAACACCGAAACCTTAACTCATCTCTACTTTTGTTTAATTTAATTTTGTTTTATTCTCAGAATTTGAGCAGTTAAGCAACTGAGAGTAAAACGAATGAAATTGAAACTTGTTCTAATTTTCCTCATTTTAAATTAATGTGATTCCATAAATGTACCCACCCAACAAAATTAGAATTGCGCATTCGATTCATAAAGAAGGGAACGTGAAATCCTCTAAAAAAATACAAATACTGGGCGAAAATTAAACTTTTCTGCCAATAAATCAAAAATAAAATTGCAACGGCACCACAAATTTATAATATACGGTTTTTCACGATATGCGATTTTCCTGTCATACATAAAACTTATGACCCTATTAATTGCGAAAAACAAATTTGGACACAAGGTCAAAATGTCCCTACTACGCCAAAATTATTACAAAATTTTACTATACCTAGTTCATTTCTAATATATGGAAGCTTAAATTAATTGTCTTAATTTAGCATTTTGCCTGAACATGGAGCATCCATTCAGTTTGTTATTGCTGTTAAAATTATCAACCGAACTATAATTAAAAAATCACAAACTAAATATTATGAGAGCCAATTAATACTTGGTAAATAATATTAACAAATATTATGAGAGCCAACTCACTTGGTCATGATGTTGCCATTAAGTTCGCTGGGCGAGGGAATTTCACAAGCAAGGTTCTCACAACGTTCTCCCTCGAAACCTTTAAGACAAACGCAGGTATTGGGACCCATACACGACCCTCCGTTGCCGCAGCCTCGTGGACAGCCTTCCGAACACTTCGGTAGTTCGGTAATAGGGGCGGCGATGCCGGTATCTTGTATCACCCAAATCCCGTTCTGGCAGTAAATGTGCTGGGATTTGGCGCCGTTATTGAAAAAGAAACCATCCAAACATTGGTAGGTCTTGAGGAAGGGGTACACGGTCGTCCTGGTGATAGAAAAATGTTCATTAAATATAAATTTTTTGCATCACGAAGCATGCATTTGCATGCTGAAGAATGTATACATTCAATGATACGTAAATTCTTTACAGTGTTTTGAATCTTTTAAAAATCGAAGAATGAAGCTAGCAATAATTCTTGAAACAGAACTAAATTTATCGATATCGATTTGATTTACTTATTACATCGATAATAGAAATAAATCAACAATATATACTAATAAATAGATGCCTTGTCCTATAGTCGACCGCAGCAGCAGAAATTTTGTGCTTTTCCTGCTGATGAATGTTTTCATAAATAACCACTGCATTTATCTGATTTCGAAATTGCAACTTACTTGTATTTACCCGTGAAGCAAACAAAAAAATATATATTATGGGTTAGAAAATTCTAGTTATCTTTAAAGTTAGTGTTCCGAATAAGTTTCGCTGTATCTTTCATTCTAATTCTTTTCTAAAGTAAACAAACTTTACAAACTCCAAGCTCATGATACAAATTAAATAACTTTCGTAAATCGTTCCCGGATGACACTCACTCCTCCGTAATGTTGACAGGCTGCGGAATTTCAGGACGCGTGTCGAGGCAGCTGAGGTGCTGGCAGTGCCGCCCTGTGAAGCTCGTGGGGCAGCGGCAACCTAACGCTTCACCCAAACACGTGCCTCCGTTGTGGCAAGCGACTGAGCAGTCTATCATGCAGGAAAAATATTTATATTCTGGCGATTAACTTCAGTTTCTAAAAGAATTTAAATTAAAACCTCATGTTTGGTTGTACATTATCATGCAGGAAAAATAGATATTTTTTAAAAATATTCTGCATCCATAAATAATTTAGATGAAAACTTCAGGTTTGGTTGTACATTACTGCGTCACAGCGCAAGTAGAAGCAGAATTATTGTGGTATTACGAACGGTAATTCGAAGAGCAACGGTGAAATAATTCATTTAGATTAGTAAACAATATCAATTTTAAAAAGTTATTTTAGAGAAACAATCACGCAAGTTGTTGCGCCAAAAATATGAACAGATTCATCAATATAATTTTAAAAAAATAATAATTATAATTCTTATTATAATTATTATAAAAAATTAATAACTATAATCATACATTATAATTATAAAATTATTATAATTAAAAAAAACTTCACTTCATTCTACATTGAATCTGCAAGTCAGATTCAAGTTCATTGCGTAACTAACTTCTATATTGTTATAATACGGCCGACAAACCTAGCTGCAAAAAAAAAACAGCTAGAAAAATAGCTGATGAACTGCCATTTCATACCTGGAATACAGTCTGTGATTGCACCATCAGACTCCGGATCTACAACTCGGACTTTCCAGCGTCCGGCGTCGCAGAAAACTTGCCCGGCATTCCAGTGCGCAGGGAAGATGTAGCCTTCGTTGCAGTGAATCATTGTACCGTTCTCACTGACAGAAATTAATCAAATATCGCAACACATTTAGTTAACTTCTGGGATATTGGGCAAAAGTATATTTATAATTATGAATGAATTTAGAGCATCTCAATGCATAATATCACTGAGCTGTCTCAAAATACCACTCAGTATCACAAGAATTAATATATACTCGTATGACAACGTGTAAAATCTTATTAAATGTAAATTTTCACATTGAATGGTACTGTAATTATTGAGCCATGACTAATTCTTTGTAAGCTATTTGTCTTTTAGAATAAATTTGTGTTATAAAATAATCTCACCGATATTTTGACAAAAATGCAGTATAGATATGTGTATCAGCTATAATAACCCATGAATGCTAGCATGACCTGCTATCAAATACATTCAATAAATTTGTGCAATTTATATGGAATCAATAATAAAAAATTTAGAAAATGTGTGATAGTGCTTAATATTGGAGAAATGGATGATAATATATAACATTATAAGATAACATTAATATAATATAACATTAATATAAGATAACATTAATAATAATGGATGATAAATGTGTGAAGAGTGAACACAAATTCTGCAGAGAATTAGTCTGAATTGTATGAAAAATAATTTTTAAATTCATAAACACCATGAATCATGTTTCAAAGTGACTTAAACTTATAAAAATTAATGAGAAAAATAATTGTAGTGCAGGAAAATGTGAGGGAAATTATTGAAAATTCATGAGACGTGCTTGAGAAATGCTTATATGCCACACCTTTATATTCTATAGATAAAAATTTATCTAATGCAGATCTAGTAAAGGGCGCTATATTTTAGTTTTTACCCTTGATAGCATGGGATGCTTCAAACTAACAACCGATAACGGAACAGGCCCAAGAAACCACCTGACATTCTACAATATAATATAGGCCCCTAATTAAAACTCACACTCTTTTATCAATTGATGTTCAATTTTTTACAGCTCGCCTGAATTTCTCCCTGCCTGAGAGCACGATGCATGCAGATCGGAGCAAAATATTATATATTATAACTCCCATATCAATTAATGTTCATACCTCGACTGAATTACTCCGTGCCTGAGAGGAGGATGCTGATCGGAGCGAAATATAATATCGGTGCTTAATTAAAAAGCAAACTCCCATATAAATTAATGTTCATACCTTGACTGGATTACTCCGTGCCAGAGAAGAGGATACTAATCGGAGCAAAATATATTATCGGCGCTTAATTAAAAGGCAAACTCTTTTGTTAATTAATGTTCATAACTCGACTGGATTACTCCGTGCTTGAGAGAAGGATACAGATCGGTGCAAAATATAATATCGGTGTTTAATTTAAAAGCTAACTCCAATATCAATTAATGCTCATACCTTGACTGGATTACTCCGTGCTTGAGAGAAGGATACAGATCGGAGCATCCTACGTCCTGACACCGCTCTCCGACATACTCCCCGCTGCACTCGCACGCCTGCAAGCCCACGCACTTGCCTCCGTTCAAACACTCGGATGGACAACCTTTCACACACAAATAATTACTCGGTAAACAAGCAAGATGATAAGGAATAAATACTTAAATACCATAAAGCACGTGTAGGGAAGAAAAGTGGTGAATAGTCATAACGGGGAACAAAATTTCCGGGGATGAAAAGGGGCTACAGAAGATAGATAATATCACTGCCAGATGATGAATATCTGGTTAATAGAGTAGAGATCATTTTTCAGATAAAAATATTCGACTGACTTATGTAAATTAATCAGAAATTATATATAATACATTTATTTGGTGCTTCAATGATTTTGCACCCTTTAATGAGGTAAATGGTCCATATGGACTAACCTTCAGGATAAAATAAAACCAAAGCATTTAAATGACAACATGAAATATAAGTAATGTATTCGGATCGACGGACACGTGAACGATTTCTCATGTCAATCATTGGCCCTGAATTCAATTTACTCCAATTTCAAACAATGAATTGAATGCACTCTTCAAATTAATCGATATCACATGTAAAATTTAACTCACGTTCTTCCGAATTGGTGCAATGCTCATTTTTAGGACTATAATAAAATTAGTTGATAATAGACTACTATACTTAGTTGATGGATTAAACTATCAACTCTATTGACTATAGTAAGTTGATGGATTAAACGAGATTTTTTCCACCTTTAATGCACGAAGGGAGGATCTGTTTATTTTGGTCGGATGATGGAAACTTCCACAGTCTGTCCTCGCACACAGCCGACATCACCGACAGCCCCGAGGCGAAGAAAAATCCTTCATCGCATGTGGCCTCATACCCGCCAGACCTGATGAGACATGAACGCTGAAATATTATAAAAAATATTATAAAAAATGATTGCACAAGTGAATCATCGGTTGAGGAAGATATTAATTGTTTTAAGCGATTTCTCGATGAGCATCACTGATGAATTCAATGATTGAGTCAAATATATATCAACATCGAACTTGCAATCTTTTTAAATTACGCCAAGAGGTACGATTTTGCCTTACAATTCCAATATAATCTCGCATGTTAGCGCATTTTCCCATTTCTGGAAAAAAAGCGTTGATGTGCTCGTCATGTCCGTCCGACTGTCCGTCCCTGACTTCATTGACAGACGAGAAAATGCGCTCTCTGTCACTCACTGCAGTGAGTACTGTGTTGTATTTTTTTCATTTATGAACAAATGCACGCATTTTCATCGCAATTCAGGAAAATCTTAGTACATTGCACCGATTTAATGAACAAAAAATAATACCAATTAAGCTTACGTTTCAACAATGCTCCCGTTTGCAAATTCCATCAAGTCACAGATTTCGATTTCGCACAAGGTGCCGTGAAATTTTTCCGGACAAGCGCACTTGTCGCGAGGTACGCATGTTCCCCCGTTCAAGCACTCAGTCCTGCAATTCGCTGTACAAATTGTATCCAGCGGATAGAATATTTCACCCCCATTGATGCCAGAATCAACTGGATTTTCATCACTGGCAACCAGCATCCCCCAACTGCCGTCGCGACAGATGACTTCCACTTCCATGTCTCCAGTCTCAAAAGAAAATCCGACGTCGCAGGTTAGATTTGCGGCTCTTGAATTACTGAAAATAAAAACAAAGATGGATTAAATAGATAGATAACGTTTTAAAATATTATTTTGAGACATAGTTCATGTAAATATTCTTTGAAAATATGATATATTTTTTGTGGTAGAATTTCACTGCTATATAGTATAGTCAGTCAATGTGCCATCAGACATCTTCTGTATTCCAAACTACTAAATTTCACTTTCTGATATTACTATTTGTTATTACTAACTAAATTTCACTTACTGATACGAAAGCTGTCCTCTGATGACATGCGATACCTGAGGACATTTCTTGAGTTCACATAAGGGCCCATCATATTCTGGAGTGCATTTGCAAGTGTTTATACCCGAGCAAACGCCCCTGTTTAGACAAGACGTTCGGCAGCCTTCGACGCAAGTCACTTCTGAACTTATTTCTGCGGTATTGCGAGCTCCGGAGTTTGCGGTGTCCACGTCCCCGAGCGCGATTGACTTACTGTCAGCTAGAAAAACACCGTCGGAACACACCACTTCGACAACGCTGATATTCCTTGAAATGAATTTGCCTGCTGGACACTTCAGGTAGAGCGACTCTCCCTCTCTGCCCAAGAAATGCTAGTTTCAAAATTCGATCAAAACTTCAACCTAGAAAATATCGAAAAACGTTCCACTTGGATCCTACTTCGGTAATCAGTATGAATGATGATGGACTGGTCAATCATTTATTCTTTAACCTCATCCTGGAGATTGTCCATCTCTTTCACACGAGGCATATTAGGACAATTACGAGTAATAACAGTAAACAAAAATATAGCCGTGACTGATTTAATTTTATTCCTTATCAATGCTAATCCTGGTAATCCTGGAAAATTGTCAGGAAAAATTCAGTGGAATAAATTGAGGGAAATAATAAATTGAGGAAAAAGAAAGAGAATTTAAAAGAAAAAACAATCATCAGGAATTAGAGCACAGACAGTAAATTATAAAATGAACCTATATGCAACATTTTTCGTTGCAATACGTGAAAATTCATGTGAACCGAGTCAATAATTTCAGGAAAGTTCTCTTACCAAATTATTTCATAATATTTGAATGACTCATACTGCACGGATAACTTTTGTGAAAATATTCACACGATACATAATTTAGCAGCAAGGTCTGCTGCGCTTTGCTTAATCCCAGCCATTAACATATTCCACGCCATTAGAAGAGCATCCATTAATCAAAGTGGCACCATAATCGCTATAATTCTCGGCAATTTCTCAAGTCTAACGTCCGCAAACACGTAAAATTTTCTTGTCTATTGCCAAGACAGAATATAACTCAACTGGGAACTTGCCCGGCCAAACCTCGTTGCTAGACCAAACTTTCGTTCCTAATTTTCAGGAGAATTAGTTTCGGAACGAAGGAAGTGCGCTGTCAAGTCCCGCCAAGATTGAGTTTTGGTCAACGTAGACGGGGTTTAATTAGATGCGAATGGGTGAACTTAGCTCTAAATGTGATACTTTGCTGAGAAGAAGCGCTTTCATTTCATGCGGTAAGCAAGATAACGAAAATTTTATTTATTATTTGGTTCATGGAAATAATTTTGCATTAAATGTTTGCGATTGAATGTTATCAAAATGTTGAAATATTTTCCGGAATTTAATTATTTTCTGCTTAGCCAACTAACGAGATATAGTCTGTACAAAATACTTTATCACAATTGAAATTTAGATCTGCGGAACAAAACTTAATCGCTGTAGATTTTTGACTATCGTTGAAAAACTAGAAAAAATATTCAGTAGATATTGACTGCATTTGCTTGTCGATTATTTTCCGGTTTCGAAATTTGATCATTCGAAGCACATAATATTATTGAAACGATTTAATTTGTGGTGATGGAAAGAACGCAATTTAAATAAATTACCTCTAGAATAATAATAATTTTAATAATAATAATAATAATGATAATAAAAATATTAATAACAATAATAATAATAATATTAATAATAATAATAATCGTCTCGAGTATTCTTACCTGATGAGAACTTCATCCTTTTTAACAAAGCAGGCTTTTTTCTCGCAGGATTTTCCAGTGAACTCTTGCGTGCATCGACACGTGTTGGGGGCCTCGCAGGCTCCCCCGTTCTGACAAGGATTCTGACACCTCGGGACGCATGTTCCGCTTGTCACCTCTTGGCCTGTAGCCTCTAGGATATGCACTCCTTGCCTGCATAAAATTCTTGACTTTGTTATCAGGATGGTTGTGTTTTGCGTGGCTTGCAGACCAGGGATCATGTAGCCTTCCGAGCATGTGAGGATGTCGATGGTTTTTGGTTCTGTTGCATTGTCACTCTCGGTGACTCTGTTCAAGATGAAAATTATAAGCGAAAATGTTATCCTCGAAGTTAACTATTCTTAGGAAAAATACATTAGAGGTAATAATATTTGTAACATTGGAAAAAGTTTAAAGAAAACAAAATCTGCGGCCACATAGATCCAAAATATTTGTGTACAATATACACCAAAAATCGGGGCAAAATTAAAAAAAAGTTATTCCATCAATTCCATGTATCCTAAAAACTGTTTTTCACTTGAATCATAAGACAACTTGGACATTAGATATCGTGTTTTTACTAGAAACATCAACGGGAAAGCCTTCGAATGCCACATGAATATCCATGTTATAAGTTCACGTACTGGGATACGCTGCCGTGCAGGATTATCGACGATATGTCTTTCATGCAGCGCCGGTCTCCACAATCCTTGCCAGTGAATTCAGAAGTGCACAAGCACAAGTCGTTGCCAACACACTGTCCACCGTTGACACAAGGCACTGTGCACACGGGTGGACACGTGCTGTTGCTGGCAACAAATGCCGTGTAATTTTCCTTGCCGTTGCTCAGCGTAAGAGAAGACCACACTCCATCACGGCAACTCAAGTCATAAGTCTTGAGTTGCGTGTTGGTGCACACGATGCGAGCTTTAGGCGGACCGTTGTGGTTCTCCGATGATGTCCTATCGGAGAATATCAATGATATTTGCGTCTATGATTTATTTTAAAATGAATTAATTTTTTAATTTATATTATAGGTGATGTTCACTTCACTTTCGTATACAAAGTTCACTTTGTATACGAAATGCCTTCATAAATATCATACAAATATTATTATTATTTTTAATAAAATATATCTTTATATCTAATAATAATAAAATCATATTTTACATTATTGTCATAAAACCGATTACTGTTATACCAGGTAGATATCGAATACGCATATGTATTCTTAGTAGCCAAAGTTTGAACAAACAATCGACCCTAACACCTTACGCTGCTTAGGTTATTAATTAATTTCACCGCTGCGGATAATGATAGGAAGTTACTCACTTGTATTCAATTTCTGTGTTGATCATGAGGAAGCTGTCAAGATCAGTCGGACAGTCGATATGTTGACAAAAACTCCCAGTAAAACCTTTTGGACACGAACACAAATTAATATTTTCACACACTCCTCCATTCAGACATCCCGTGTTGTTTTGAATTGTTGCCAAGGCTCTAGATTTTGGACCAAGAGTGGACATGAAGCCAGTTTCATTTTTTTCCATGCTTCCATCATCATTGAACATAATTGTTTGGTCACATTTCGGGTGGCAAGTTTGTGTTTCGTTTACGAGTTTGTTAAACTTCCATGAACCTTGGACACATTCGCCGGTTATCTCGGAGATATCGTCGGCGAACTTGAACCCCGTCAGGCACGAGATCTTGACCGAAGCTTGAGTTTTGGCTTCCAAAAAACTGCCAGCACAATAGCCCGGTTATTGAGAGTAGGGATGAAGAAACATGAAAAGTTTGTAATTCATCACTAAATTTTGGAAAATGTTTGCTTCACGGTCATCGTCACTTTGAATATGTTTTAAAAATATTGAAAATAGAAATGAAGAAAAAATTAGGCAATATCAGTTGCACAGCTTTCGATGAATATAAAAGCTCAAAGGCATGAACAAATAAACATATGAATTACAATCGGGCCTCATTAAATACTTGTTGATTTATTTACATATTAGACGAGTATACCGAGAATTGGTGCGTAGCAAGCAAGTATTCTAGTGCATGAATTCCTACGTTCAGTAATGCAAGAAAATGAGCCAAGTACGGACAAAAATTTACACCCAGCAACGGTAATACTTGGGAAAACCCTAAGAAAGAACAAAAGCTTAAGTAGCTAAGTAAAGGTGAATAAGAGTATGAGAATTGCAATTATTTCACTATCAATGATAATTAAAAGATAATTGTACTCCCGTTCCAGAAATTGGAAACTAAGTCATTCCCAGTAGCTATCAGCTTACTATAAAATTCCAGTTATTAAATTTTAATTCCATAATTAATCAAAGACATGCATTACCATCACTCACAATGGTCATACCTTAGAGTAGTGAGTCCAAACTCGATGACAGCGATATTATTTAAACAGGACCTAATTTCACATTTTTCTCCGGAGAATCCTTCCTTACACTCGCACGTTCCGTGTTCAGCGTCGCAGGTTCCGTACGGCTCGCAAAGTTCGTTGCATCGCGGCACGCATTGCAGAGGCCGAGCATCGTCCGTTAACATGTAGGTCATAGGGACACCCAACTCTAGCGCCGTCCTTTTCTGCCGTGAAATTGTAATCTTGTCTTCTAGGTTAATTCCTACATAATCTAATAGATTCTCATAGTCGTTTTGCATCGGTGAAGATTCGGTCTTTCCTGTAGATCTTTTCAAGCGGGAAATGGAGTATTCGTCCTGCAGATCGGATGTTTCTGCATATAGTAAATTCTCAAACCTTTCATTATTTTTGGCGTTCATAGACGAAACAAAATATGCGTGATTCCCAATGAAGACATATCCGTGAGAGTCATTTTCATTCGTCATTTTGTGCAGGAGTGATATGACAGCTCCACTTTCATCCGTAGCTTTTGATAACTCGCGAGCGATGAGCATGTATGTGTTGTTCAACGAGAACGACGTAGATTTTGTTATTGTGGGAAGTTGTGACTTAGCGACGTAAAATTTAATGGCTATTGCCCAGTGTCCGTCAATGCATGTCAGTAATCCTGACGAAGTCCTCGGGTACGGAAAATTCGTTACTTTGTCTTTGTTGCATGAAAAAGTTGCCAAGTTACGACTCGATAATCTGAAAATAATACAAATTATTATACAAAATGATATTGAAAATAATACAAATAATACCTAGTAACTGGAACATTAATGAAAAAATGTTGTTTCGGTCTAAATAAATACAAAAGAATTATAAATTTCATTCCAATCCACAATTCATTTACATGACAAGGAGGCTTCAAATTGGATATTTCTCTACATTTTATTGTTGAGAATTCTGATCGGTGAAGCCAAAATGAGGTTATACATCATCAATAAACTTAGCAAATTCACACACTTCCTTGAAATATAACTTCCCAGAGAGTGTTGTTGCCCATCCTTCCTATATAATGTTCCATCGCAACCCTACATTCGAAAAAATGTTAGGTATGATGAATTGCTTTTTAAGAAATGAATTATTTGAGCCTTTGAATTAAAGTAAAATTTTCCTGCCCATAAAAATTCTGAATTTAAAGAGAAAATTAAATCCGTGTCCATCCCGTGGAACCAAATAATGCGACGCACCACAGAGACTAAATGATTTTAGAAGAATATTTCCGGCACATTTTTTCCGCCGTTATCACCCTTAATTATTCATTGAGGACCGAAAAGTAGGTTTAGTAACACATGTCCTGGTAACGTATTAGTCTTTAATGAGTAAAATATTATTAATTAGAATGCCTCTCATAACACCTACGTGTGTTGCAGCCATCATTAACATAGTGTTAACCCCGGCCAACACCTACCGCTCATAATCGGGCGTCATTTGAATTCCTGCGGATCTGAAGCAACAATGGAAGCTGACTGGGAATGTGATTTGTGTTTGTCAGGCGACGTTCGAAATAATGGACGGACCAGCCAGAATAGTGACTAGGCTGTCCGGACCTGAATTATTCCGTGCCGTCACTTGAGTGACTCGCATCTGCCAATATCGAGCGGTCTAGGGCCTCGAGTCGACAGAAGAGAATGAACAGAGATTGACTGAGGGCCGACGAGGGGCGTTTTAGGACGACGTATCTCACGGCGACTTCGGTGCCGTGATCACAACCAGCATGAAACTTAACACCTGAGTTTCATTTTTCTTCGTGAAAACTGACCTTCCTATTAAAATATTAACTTCTCTTGCAGGAGATTTATTGCTCGTATGATCAAGGTTCTTCATTCGTTCATGATATTGTTGGCATGCAGAAAAGTTTCCTCATTCAGCAAAATGTGTTTTGCCAACAAATAAGTTTTATATTTGAGCAAGCGTGTTTTCTCGATACTTCAACGTCATTATATAATTGAATTAGTTAACAACAATTGTGTGCGTGGCGACAACATGTTTCCTGCTAAATTAAGTCCAGAAATAAAATTTTCATTAAGCGAACCTTCTTGTGGAATAAAGCTACAGCCTGGAATCACGTGATGAAAATGGAACTAAAATCCAGCAATTGAGCCCCGTAAGTTAGCGACCTTAATCTGAAGCTGGACGGATCAGCTTCCCTTCTGCAAACGAGGGAACACGAACTGTCCATTACGTCGCCATTATTATTTCAGCGACGGCTTAGCTTTCCTGATTACCACAAATAGATACAGAAATGCTCGGTTTATAGAGAGGGCTTAGTGGATCAAACTTGTGGGGAATGGAACACTTTGATTGTGGGAGGCATTGTGGAAATGGGGACAGGGAATAATAGTCCCGGACAGGATCAAATAATGAAAGGAATCAAGATTATGGAAGCAGAAGATACGGAGAGGAATAAGAATATACGAAACAAACTAACATATATGTGAAGTGTAGACGGTTATGAAAAAAAAATAATTATATGATTATAAGCCGTGATTTTATTTCGTGATTATATTTAATCACGAAAATGTAAGCGAAATTGAAATGAAGTGATAAATAAAAGAAATTCGGGTCTGTGCAAATTATTCTGTGTAACAGAAATCATTGTTAATTTTTCAAGTTAGTAATAAATGAACGGAAAGAGAAGTTTAGTATTACCATTACAATTCAAAGATGCGATCTATATGCTTCAACTCGGAACAAAAGTCAAGCAATCAAAATTTATTTCATTTTCTAAAGTTTATGGGGCAAATTTTTCGAACTAACTTGTCCTGTGTGCATTATACCGTACTCAACTCGCAGCTTCATTTTGAGACGTTACACGATCTTTACATTTTCAAAACTTCAAGCTCTCACACTTTGAGGATTCGACCATCCGCGATATTCGGCGGTTGAGAACAGCGTACTTCTTCACAGCGCGGTCCGACTGTGTTTTGCGGACACTTGCACTGTTCCGGCTCAACGCATAACCCCGGTCCGCACCCTCCACTGCAGGACGGCATGCATGCCAGTGAAGAGCTGTTCACGATCTGCAGCAAAATATTAGAGCAGGTAATCTTAAATAATTTTATCATTAAATGTTTCAGGGAATTTTAATTTAATTAAAATACTGAATTATCAATGTAACTAATTTTTGCTTATCGAATGCTTATGGGAAATTGCCTTAGAATACCCTATTTTTGACAAATTTTTTCCTAATTATATGAGATTAAATTTTTAAGACCAATAATTATTTCGTATTGGAGGTGATTTTTTGGAGCTACACAAACTTAAATACTGATTTAGATTGATCGTTGCTTGATTTCGAATGAAATCAAGCAAAGAAAATATATATGCATAAAAATGTATGTATATGTATGAAAATGCATATTCGTATGATGTATAATGAAAATTCCACTGGGGACTATCTTTTAATAATAAAATCACTTTTTAGAGTGAAAGAGTGAAGTTGCTGAAGCACAAGTTTCAAGTTAAAAATCGATTACTAGAGCGTACTAGTGCTCCAACTCTAGGTTGTTTACCAATTGCATTTACAGTAAAATTTAATTAAAATGGTTTAATAACATCTACAGGAAGCTAAGGGTAAATTCTTCACCTTGTAAATTTAGAGAACAAAAACTTTAAATTAAATCCCGTTTACTTTTTCCGTAAAGATTTAAAATTCCTTGAATAAAATAAAATTCGTTTCAATGATTTGATTCGATTCGACCATTCTGAAAATTAATAAGTTTTATTCATTTTCAGAATCTATTTGTATGAATTATATATAATATTCATATTATAATTATTTATGTGAATTATATTTATATCTATATATTATATATGAATAATAACTATTCATATGTAATATAAAATATATTATTCCTTTTCTGAACATGATCAAAAATTGTACAGACGCTCACACATCCTCACCTTTTTACCGTCCAGCAGCCAAACATCATCAGCACACAGCAAGTCTTTCTTGCGAGCTGCGTCTGAAAATTCATAGCCTTCATCGCAGGTCAGATGAACAACTTGTGGAGAGTCGGAACTATTCGGTAAAAATAAATATAATACATTATATGAATCATGAGAAGATTAAGAAGCTGACCCAAAGTTAGAAACTAGACTAACTACTCTCTCTAAAACTTTTCCGACCATTTAGTTACTATGCAGTATGCATGGTCACATAAAATCTTCTCCTTAAAAGACCTAGAAAAGCCTCCAGTTTGTGTGCTGCTACATAATCATTCCTTTACCATCGTTCCACATATGGCACCATCCCCTACAGTGCTCAAGAATCAACAAAATATCAGTAAATTGAGGCTTGCTATTTGAGTTTACATTTGCATCTAAAAATTTAAATTATATAGATTTTTGTTAGCGCGGTGTACGTAATTTAATCAATTTTTCAATTGCTATTTACTCGTTCTATATGCAGAATTTCAGAGAACCCATATGCCAAATATTTCTTAGATTGGTTTATACATGCTTATAGTTTTTCATATTTCAATGCTTGCCCGCGAAAGGGTTAACTCCTTGTTATTTGTTCGTACTGTACAAAATTTGAATGATTTCGTCAAAAAATTCCAAATTCATGCATTACCTCAACATGAACTTGAACTGAACCTGTTTTCCAAAGAACTTACAAAATGTTTGTGCCTAAATGACATCATTCCCATTTTAATAAAATTTAAATTTGATTGTGCTCATTGAATTCATGAAGCTTCCATACATAATTTTCAAACGATTAACAATCAAATTTGTTGTTGTTAGGTCAAATCTTTTTCAATTAATGCAATCTAATCACTGTGCAGGCAGTTTTGCTCAAGAACATCATCATTATCTTGCTTTAATTATATTTTATCAATTAGCATTTTATTACCGGTTGCCATTTATTTTCAGGGACCGTATCTGAACCGTCCATTTTTCTCTAATAAAATTTCCATGACACTTCTACAAACCAGGAAATTCATAATCTATAATCTATCTACCTATAATCTTTAATCTATAATCTTTATATAATCTATAAAAGTATCTGTCAAAGATGTCAATATCCTTATAGTGTCGAGAAGTTTTTGTGGGATAATTTTTTGGTACCTGAGAATTTTTGCAATGTTGAGTACAGTGTCATTTGAAAAGGAGTGGAGAGATATATTAATATTCATATATAATTTTTAGCTTAGCTACATGTAAATTATGTTCAAAAAGAAAAACTTCATAGTTCTTTGAATTTCAGAGCGAGAGTTCCGTTCTAAATGTGGGTTTCAAAGGGTCCTTCCTTAATTATTTTACTTTGCACTCAAAATTATTAACTGGATTGGGAATGACAAAGGTTTGGGGCGAACGGATCAGGAATGACTCAACCCTAAAATTTTAATTCTTATATTTCCGGACAACCAAATCCGGTCCAGTCCAATCTGGCAACGTATATAAATTAATATTTTATAAAATAATTGTATCTTACTATTGAATAGTACCGCGTCTCAATGCCACCTCTGTAACGCGTCCCGAGCACGTTTTTGCCACGTTGTATTCGCAGGAGTTACCGGTGTACGAGGCCGGGCAATCGCATGTGTATGGCGAGGACTTGCATGATCCTCCGTTGGTACAATTGACTTCACAGTTGTTCAAGGCACAAAAAAGGCCTTGCGTACAGACAAAGAGAAGGAAGTTTTGCAATTAACTCACTTAAACCTACAAAAATTGTGCGCAGAGAATTGCGTTACATCAATATTGCCTTAAATTTTTAATTAAATATAATGATAATTATATATATATTACGATAAATTCATTTTCCTGGTCAATGTACCTTCCGCCAGTTTATTTTAAACAATAAATTGGTTTTTACACCGCTAGAAATGCTGGTCACGTATGTTCGCTAAGCGAGTATGGGATGCAAATTATTAGGGTTGAACTTCAAAAGACAAATATTTTACATCTAAAACCAAAAAATATTTAACGGAATATGATCAGGAATATTACGTTATATAATATTCAGGAATATTATACTGTGGCAAATATATTGTAAATAAATAAAATATATCTAGTTTGTTATTATGATCACAAATAATACTTCAAGAAACAACTATTTGTCTAATTCCGAACGTCTTTCACTCCGTAGATTACCTTCGTAAGCTATTGCATCATTTGGCTTCCATTCTCCATGGACGCAAGACAAATTAACGCCCTCAGTAACACCTTCGTAAATATCTTCTTCGGCAGCTGAACTTGCAGCATCTGTCCTCAACTGGATCGACAGTTTATAGTTCGGAGCACAAGTGAAGTAGAGATGTTCGACGTCATCGCTGTAAAAGTATATCTTTTAATATTGTATCTCTCGAATACTCTCATTTACTAACCGCTGATTGCAACAAAAGATGTTTTTACTATAAACTTTACTGTTCATTCTCCTATATATTTATAAAAATCTGAGTTGTCATTGATATTGTATTTTCATTCGAAATCAACTGACTATACTCGCTGCCAGACGCCATTGGCCACCGAGGGAGGTGGAGGACACTTTACGTTGCTGCACGTAGGGCCGTAGAACTGTTCGTGGCAGACGCAGCTTCCGTAATAACAAAAGCCCCCGTCGATGCTGCACGGCTCAAAACATTCACCCGTTCCTTCGAATTTGAACGGAGCTGAAGATGTAACTGCAAGATTTGTTGGCGAAGTATTATTGAATCAACATTTTCCTTCAATGTATATTTGAAAATTATTTGGGCCATAAAATAAAATTTAAAAATATCAAATAAGAAAATATAACTCAGCAATCACTGCAGTGAGTGAAAGAGAGCGCATTCTCTCGACGAAAACGTGAAATTGCGGACGGACGGACGGACTGACAGACGGGCAGACAGGCGAACAGACGGACAGACAGACGGACGGACATGACGAGTACAATAGGGCATTTTTTTCCATAAATAAGGAAATACGCTAAAATACAATAAAAATTGTTTCACAAACGCCAACTTATTAGTTCTGAACTAAAATTTAAACAGGAAGCGAATTGAAATAACATACTTTATCGAAACATCAGCTCACCATCAACTTGTCGTTTGGGCTTGATTGTACTTCCGTTGTCTATCCTTGCGATAAAATCCTTTCCGTCATCAGGCGGAACTAAATTTTTAGCCCCAAATTCAGACAGCCAATCAGAGAAAACCTCGTCTACCAATCGCTGCTCAGCATTAGACTTATTGAAAGGTGAGCTAGAATTTCCGTTGAAGTTGGAATTCAAAGTTAAAGTTGCAGCTGCGAATTGGTCATCCGCTGGAAGAATGGATGGCTGCTGCAAGTCGGCAGCATTGCTGGAGAATAACAGAAAAATGTTTTTGAAAATTAATTTGAGCAGAAATTTGTTAGAATCGAGGTACTTTCGAATCAAATTTTTCAAAAATTTCATATTTTCACATCCCAATTGAATAAAATTCTAACTATTAATTTGTTCTTTGTTCTGATAACTGATATTGTTAGGACAAATTCTACCTAACTCACGGTGAATTTACATGTATGAATTTCGTAAACTTGTCTAAATGATTTGAAATTGCTGCGCTGAGTTATATGATTTCATCTTCAGATTGTAGAAATATCAGAAAAATAATTTGGAACTAAACAACAGTATTGCATGTGTACATGAAAAATGAAAGATCAGTTCATCACTGAATGAGCATGAAATTTATACACATGATAGGGAGCTAATTTCACGAATCACTAAAACAACCATATCAATCTATCAGCACGAATTTACTTATTCATTCGAATGTTGCTCTCTTGAATCTGACAGCAGTCGGAATAAATCTTATTATAATATAAATTATATTCAATATGAATCTCATAATATATATGCTATATGATAGGTTGACAGAAGTTTGTTTCGTAAGTAATCTTATTGATTTAAACAGACAATACTGTTCTTTCTCAACCCATTGGATTCTTCAAGTGAGTAATTTTAAATAATTTCATATGTTATAATCTTTTCCCTAGTCTGCCCTTGCTTCCAAGACCGTTATACCTGGTTCACTGGCATACCACTTAAACATGTGGTTGAAATTCTTTCATCCACGAGAAGAATTGCTCGTTAAAAAATATTTATTAGTTAGTTAGTAGAATCAACACTCCGAGAAATTCAAAGTTGAAGTAAGTCTGTGGAAACTACGAAAAAAGTAGCATTTGTTAAGCCCTCACCGCAGTATATTGTATTGGTGAACTTATAATAAGTACCAATTTAAATTATTGGAAAGTATGTACAATAGTTCAATAATATTATAATTAGTTCTTTGGGTCTACGAAGGCCAAATTTATGGCTCACTTCAAGAGAAAATATAATTAAATGTCCTCTTCTTCATTATTCAGCGATTTACAAGATCTTGACGACAAAAGTTCTTCTCCAGATTTTCTCTGGTAGGTAATAATGAAATGTTTAACTTTCAGTAATGTATAAGTAATAGAATCATGTACCGCCAACTAGAATACACTCACGTGCAAAAGATTTTACAAAACTTTTTAAATGTACCAAAAACTAGAATAAACACAAGGGTAGATTTAAATTAACAAAATTAAATTTAAATTGACATATGATTTACTTATAAACTTTTCCCTTACCTATAAGTTACCACTACAAAGCTAGACAGAACTGTAGCATAGAGAGCTCCCTTCAACAACACCATCATGGAAGGCTGGAACTGCAGGTAACGTCTGATGAGAGGGGAGAAAATTGCTGGATGAGTTGAAAAAAATTTCAGTGAAATCGCCGTAAAAATATATCGAGTATTAGCATTTTAATGGGAAGTGTTCGAGGATAGAATCAAACGTGAATATTTTCTAATTATCACTTCTACGACAAAACATGAATTATTAAAATTCAAAAATTATTTTCAGTCTTTGCATAAAAGTTCTCGCCATTTTTTTCATAATCACTCGTATTGCGTAGTATAAACTTACCAACATTCACACCGCTACCTAAAACCAATCACAACTATCTGATGCTAGTCAGCGAACAAGGTTAATGCTACTTCCATCACCGACGGAAGCTCACTAAAAAATCCTGCAAGTGACAAACAAGATTAGTGCGTCATTACAACACCTAGTGTAGACTAACAAACTTGAGCAGCAACTTGCCCAACCCAAACACCTTCTGTTAACCAAGACTTGCTGAGAACGAGCGAGTCCAGCTAGAAGTTCAACAATGGGGCTGTTTTCCAAACAAGATTTCTCCACTAGGTGTTCTCAGAAAATCGGAAAATTTTCTGTTGAGTGGTGGAATAGTTTAAGAATTTCAGGTCATTTTTATGTTTGTTGTTCTAATTATTAAACTTCTGTAAAATAAAATGTGTGACGTATATATACAAAAGATGTGTATGTTTTTTAAACACTGTTAACAATAAAATACAGTGAAATTTTCAACGGTAAGTTTTTGATCTTAGAAAAATTAAAATGCAAATTATGGTGCATTGGTGACCATCGGAATCTAAAGTTCAATATATTTTAGGTTTGTCTTACCGGTTAGGACGAAACTAAAATTTTATCTAACATATTTCCTGTCAATTTTTTTAGATACTCGACTCTGCTCGGATCTAAAGGCCTCCGTCGCATGAATTTAATTTTGTTCCAATTTCACGTCCAATTTCTTGCAATCTGCTTCAAGTTGGGCAAATTTCTTCCAGCAATCCAGTCTTGCTGGAGGTAAATCGCCAGCTTCTGGAGGCGTGGCCTTGTATTATGAACTTAACCATAGAGAAATGCACAGAATATACTGAAATAAATCGTTCACATAGTTGAAAACAAATGCATCGAAGAGTCTCCCTTGTTAAACACATCAATTCATTTAAATTTATTTCACTTTGCCGATTTTGAATCACCACATGATTTTGACTCTAGCGGCACAACGACTATAGTTTTGATAAGTAATTAAATATATTCAAATAAAAATATTTAACAGGAATTTATTTCTAAAGGGAACTTATCGCAATCATGAGCGACATGTAGAAGTAAATCAGAAAGGATTTAATCAACACCATTGTGGATTAAGAAATAATAATAAGAAACATTAAACTCACTCATGCATATCACGGGAGAAGAACCAAAATTATGCAGCAATGCGATGATGGATACACTAACTATTTCTTAAATTTTCAAAATCTTCAATTCTACCCAAAGTTCTAACTACAAACTGTTCTAACTACAATACTCCGCGCGAGTATTTCGCCCTATGATAATGAAAACAATTTTCTAATCTCCTGACCTTGGAGGCCTCTTCTAATTATCCAGTACATTGCAAATGCCACCAAGACATAATTTTTGGCGTTATCTCACACGTGGATGGAAATTATGGCTGCGAAGCCTGTCTTGCCATAATCTATTGCTTGCTCCGCAGCCATAAAAGCTAAAGTATTACCTTATTACGCTGCTCATGTATGCAAATCTGGGCATTTGCAAATTGTTTTTGTATTCGCCGGAAGCGCAAGGCGAGAAATTCATCTAGCGTCAAGATGATGGACGACAACGAGTGGTGCGAAATCGAGGAAACGAGTACCTATTCTTGTATAATAATACAGTAATACAGGCAATATATTATTGTATAATAATACAGTCAACAACATATATTATATATATACATATATAACAACATATTGTATAATTAGAGTCAACATCATACAGGCAATAGTTTCTCATAGGTGAGAGGGATTGAGAACCAAGGAACAAGTTTTTTTTTTAATTTCATACATACGAGCAACAGTTTTACGAGTGATTAAAAAATGAAATTCATAGAAGCAATGTGGTAATTAAAATTGATTGCAAAATTTCACTGGAACGCGAACATTTCTAGTTTTCTGATACAATATTAAAAAAACAGTATTGACCTCGTAAATCCATTAGGCAATTTGTAATATTTTAGCTGAACTAGGAAATTGCAAAGAAAGAATCCAAATTTACACAGAGCAGATAAATAACGAACGTAATTATACATCGACATTCATTTTAAATTTTTTAAGAGAAAAGAAAAGATTCCTCTATCATTGCAGTAATTTGTCACGGATAAATAAATGACGGTTGAAACACGCCATATTTGCAACTATATTGTAAATGACATAGCCAGGTCACTAAAAATTAATTTTCGAGTGGCAAATATATTTAAATTGTTGCCTTTTCAGAATTGAAATTTAATTTACAAAATAAAGCAATTTCAAATCAAAACCAAAACATTAAAACAGAATTAAGTAGCGAATAAAAATCGCAAGGTTCTAAACCAACTGAAATTAATTCTAATGATTTTTACCAATATTAAAAGGCGTACGATAATATATTAATGCCGATCTTTTTCAAACCGGAGCACACTTGCCACAAATGCCTAATTAAATCAAGTCAAGGTAAAATACAGACTAATAATTACAATGGTTATTATATGAGAAACATGCAATGCTCCGAATAAAATTTTTATTGCGCTCTCTATATCGTCAAAAATTTTTACATGGATATATAATGCATCAGAAGAGTCAACATCACACTTCAGAGTCAACATCATACTTTAGAGTCAACATCACACTTTAGAGTCAACATCACACTTTAGAGTCAACATCACATTTTAGAGTCAACATCACACTTTAGAGTCAACATCACACTTTAGAGTCAACATCACACTTTAGATTCAACATCACACTTTAGAGTCAACATCACACTTTAGAGTCAACATTACACTTTAGAGTCAACATCACACTTTAGAGTCAACATCACACTTTATAGTCAACATCACACTTCAGAATCAACATCACACTTTAGAGTCAACATCACACTCTAGAATCAACATCACACTTCAGAATCAACATCACACTTCAGAGTCAACATCACACTTCAGAGTCAACAACACATTTTAAAGTCAACATCACACTTTAGAGTCAACATCACACTTTAGAGTCAACATCACAGTTCAGAGTCAACATCACATTTTAAAGGCAACATCAAACTTTAGAGTCGACATCACAGCTTAGAGTCAACATCACACTTTAGAGTCAACATCACAGTGCAGAGTCAACATCACACTTTAGAGTCAACATCACACTTTAGAGTCAACATTACACTTTAGAGTCAACATCACACTTTAGAGTCAACATCGCACTTTAGAGTCAACATCACACTTTAAAGTCAACATCACACTTTAGAGTCGACATCACATTTTAGAGTCAACATCACACTTTAGAGTCAACATCACATTTTAAAGTCATCACACTTTAAAGTCAATATCACACTTTAGAGTCGACATCACACTTTAGAGTCAACATCACACTTTAGAGTCAACATCACACTTCAAAGTCAACATCACACTTTAGAGTCAACATTACACTTTAGAGTCAACATCACATTTTAAAGTCAATATCACACTTTAGAGTCAACATCACACTTTAGAGTCGACATCACACTTTAGAGTCAACATCACACTCTAGAGTCAACATCACACTTCAGAGTCAACATCACACTTTAGAGTCAACATCACATTTTAAAGTCAACATCTCAATTCAGAGTCAACATCACACTCTATAGTCAACAGCACACTTCAGAATCAACTTCACATTTTAAAGTCAACATCACCCTATAAAGTCAATATCACACTTTAGAGTCAGCATCATCATTTACAGTCAACATCACACTTTAGAATAATCATCACAACATTAGAATAAACATCACACTTCAGAATCACCACCCCACTAACATCATCACTCAGGCTCTTAACTCGTTCTCAGTACAAGAGGTTTTCGTTATCGGCAGCCGAGGCCTCCCGAGACATATCAGTGCCGGCTTAGCCCTGCCAAACTTCTCTGGCGCCACAGACGTGGTCACTCTCACTGGTCAGTCACGTCAGTGAACTGTCGGGTACCATGGGTGCTGTTGTGTATAAATTCGCTCGTAGATTTGTCTCGTGTTTCGCGACATTGAAATGATCCCATTCATATTATTCGGTGAAGTAGAGACTCAGTATATTTGTGAATAAAATCGGAGTTTGTCATTCTAGGTTTTGTGAATCAGAGCAATATAGAAGCGGCAAAATTGAAGGCATTTTGAGCATATATGTAGGCCAAACGTAGGTCGAGCCGACAACTGCTTGACAAGGACGCGTTGCTGGGCAGCAGTTAAAAGGAATATAAATTGGTCTCCCGCATAGCTTGGAATTTAAACCACTTGATCGTTTATGTACAATTTATGGAGTATTTATGTTTTAACTTTTTTCTTTGTCAGGGATAAAGTGTGGACTTGAACAGCACAAATATCAGTGTGTCGCATGAAGATTGCGTAACTAAGATTCTACTCCTGAAAAATATTTATAAATTTTATGAATAAATATTATGATCGGTCTATTCATTTATTTCACTACAAGGCTTTCATGGGTAATTCATTACTGCAGCAGAGTAAAGCAGAATGCACTGCTTTGATCAATTAAAAATGACGTCAGTAGCATATCAATTTAAAATTTTAAGAACATTTTTACGTCCTATTCACACTGAATAATCAGATTGAAATTAATGTCAGAATTTCCGAATATTGCTGTAATAACTGAGACACTCGTGGTGGTTTTTATGCTGGTAAAATGTATTTTTTAGCGCCATGATATATGTTGATCTAATTGAAGTCTGTTTTCGGTAACGATTTTTTTTAGTTTTTGGATTTAATCCATTGTGCAATAATCGAAAAAACGGTTTATTATTGCGAATTTCAGAGGGAATTTAGCAAATCGATTTGAGGTGGATTTAAGGGATGTTGTGCCGATATACAAACTTTTATGACAGAAACTGGTAATTTCTAGAATTATGTTCACCTCCAGTTCATGCGTCAGCACATGAAGAGTTTAATGGTTTATTGGGACAGTTTATTGAAGATTACAACTGTCCTATATACAACAACACAACATCCAAAAAAATGTAAAAATAATTTATAAATATTTGATAATTAATTATTTTGTCCAATATGGATCTCAATAACTTTTTCTTTGTTGATTAAAGAAAGGATTAATTCAGAAAATACCGGCAAAAATTATAATATCACATCGGAAGAATTGATAATTATCAATAATAGACAAGGTAAATTTAACAATATGTATAAAAGTGGCGGAATAAGCCCGGATGATGGAGACCATAGAAGTAAAATAAAAAATAATATTCCTTCAAATGTTAAGGTGAGTCTTAAAATTTCTTTTTTATGTTTTATTCAGACTTGCAAGCGAATCAAGTCTGTTTATTCATCGAAATTTATTGACTGCATAAACGTGTGTAGTTGATAACAATTTAGTATATCTATATGTGAATAACGTATCTTTCGTTCCATTTTTATCGACTGATATCAATAAATCATTGGTGCCCGAGTCCATGCACTTAAATTTTCCACTTCATAACCAAGGCTGCTAACTACATGTTATTTATAGATTATCTATTTATCCTACGCTTTCCATCGAAGGTTTTCATGATGATAATCAACATACATGAAAAAATGAAGAGTGGGCATCATTTTCATCTAAAGATGGGAGTTTATTGATAATCATAGCGCAATATTATACTGTAAAAATTATATACATGATAATAATAATTTCTATGTATCGTTTTTACCAGAAATTATTAATGCGCGCTGATAATATTTATATAAAAGTCAATTTACACGACCAACTTAAGTCTGAAACTGAAACTAATGCGTGTTGACCGTTTTCCCTTATGAATATTTATCTGATCTTATTATTCTTATTTTCTGATAAGATCACTTTCGTCCAAATATTAGTTTGTTGATTATTTTAATCTAAAAAATAATACGCGCAGAGCATTTATTACTGAAGAATAATCAGAGCACATCAGTTTTATTCAAATATTAATTTTTGCAGATTATTTTGAAAGAACGAATAATTTATTTAGATTGATCTAGTTTAAAGATGAATGCGTGCACTTCATTTTTAATTGATGATTGATGCTTGTAAATATTTTTTATCTCATGATTAATGTGTACACATAATTTTTATGTGAAGATTAGTGAGTACGGATCATTTTTATTTGAGGATTAATCTTTGCCGATCATTTTTATCTGTAGATTAATAATCCACATCATTCCTATTGGATGATATATACGGGCAGGACATTTATAGCTAAAGATTTATGTGTGCAAATCATTATTATCTGAAGAATAACTAATGCAGATCATTTTTAACTGAGAATTTAAGTGTGTCGATAATTTTTATCTTATGATTAATGTGGGCAGATCATCGATTTCCGCAGCGACACAATTACGAAGCCGGACGCGGAGATGCGACGCGTGATGGCCGAAGCCGAAGTCGGTGACGACGTCTTCGGAGAAGATCCCAGCGTCATTGGTGGGAGAAATTCAATAATATTGCTGTTTTTTGCGCATTTCTCATTTATGGAAAAAATGCACTATTGTGCTCGCCATGTCCGTCTGTCCGTCCGTCTGTCCGTCCGTCTGTTCGCCTGTCTGTCCGTCTGTCTGTCCGTCCGTGACTTCACGTTTTCGTCGACGAGAAAATGCGCTCTCTGTCACCCACTGCAGTGAGTACTGAGTTATATTTTTTTGTCAAGGCTGCTGTATTTTTTAAATCAAAGCACTGCATTTCTTTGATCTACAACTAATTTTCTCATAATAAAAGTGACGGTTGTTGTATGATCAGCGAGAGAGAATGAGATTATTGCGCCTGTGATTCCCAGCTTCCGTATTTCAGATTAGAGACTGAAAATTTTAGAAATAATCTGACGGCAAGTCAGGAAAAAACTTTTCGTGCTGTTTTCAACAGTCTGATGTCTTTATTTTTTAATTTATATTTGTAGTCTTCATTATCAACGTATCAAACTTTTTCATTTGATAGAAATATTGTAAGGTATTATCAATATAGTTATTATGCTATGATATTACAGTAGAAAAATATAAAAATGTGTGTTACAATGCTTTAGAAAAGTTTCATAATGTTTATCAGCTACTAAACATGAAATCATTACTTTTCCAAATGTCATTATGCAATAAAAAATTCTGTTTTCAATTCAAATTTTCAAGCATAAAGAATTTTATAACTCTATCTAGAATTGTTAAAGTGGCTATCAAAAAACATCTAACCGATAAATCTCCCAGCCAACTTCAAATGGGTTTTCTATAATCTAATAGTCTTCAGTGCCTATTTCGTAATTTCAGAAAGTTCTCATTGGTATCCAGAAAATTTACCTCGCCATCTCAAACGCGCACTTTTGACCATCTTATGCCATGGCTCGTCTTATATAGTCTAGCCTACTTGCTGTGTTCTAGAAGTGCTCCTTCCCAGCGCATTTCCAGATTAATTGCAATGTCAAGAAAATTGTGCCGCCTATTTTTCTCGAAGATTATTTCGCAGAAAAAAAAAAGAGCTTCTGAGGCTTAGGCTTTGAGCTGTGAAATTTATCATATAAATTACGAGCCGCTTACTTAATTACTGAGTGCGACAGCGCGGTTTCAATAATTAGCTAGTCTCTTCAAGTGTAAAATTTAATTCTAGCATACATAACGCTTGAAATATATTTTCCCCTCGTTTTTATTACATGTTCGACAGCCATGAATTACATTAGCTTGATTAATTCCCATAATCAAAACTGAACATAGACGCTGAATGTCTACTCGCTGTTAATATAAAACCTTTAACATCGTATCAAGTTTAACGGCCATTCTACGATCTGAGATAAATTTTCTTTAATTCTTTCAGGAAATGTTAGGCAAAAAAGAATAAAATGAAAAACGTGCCTCTGGGTATATATCATCATTGAAATTTTATTTTGAATTTCTCGGTTTTACAAATCCCGCCATCCCGATTCCAGTTAATTATTTCAAAGCTAATACAAAATAATTAATGAAAGACACGCACACATTTGCAGTCAAACATGTGTGCAATCACACATTCGACTCAGAACTCCCATTCCATACCCGTTAATATATTTGAAGGAAACTTGAACGTTTTATTCCTTGAATACATTCACAATTATAAAATTACACATATTTTAAATTTATAAATCTAACCTTTCCCCTATTCCTAGACGTGCCATGATTACACGATTAGAAATAATATTTTATTCCAGGTTATATCTCGGTGCGATAAATTCCCAGAATCTGCCCCGTAGTACGAGTACGTATTTGGGCTTCAAACAAACAAAGTTTAACACAATTATATGAGATTACAGTCTGTACACTACATCCCATGCCGTCAGAATGAAGTAATGACTGTGGAAGAAATAATTTTTGAAATTTTCGTTTATTTGTTTTATCTTGTTAAAATCACATAAGGTTCAGGAGCAGGTAATGCATAGTCCCGACAATTGACGTCTATCAGACTCCAATAAAAGGGATTAGGAAGTGAATAAATTCTGTATTCTCTGTGCCCTGATTATTGATGATTTATTGGGGATTTATAATTAAATTCCATATTGTAGTTTTCTAAAATAAAACTTCAACATGAATTTATTGATTGGGCGATTTTAAAAGTCAATATTGTACAACCAAAAAGGAAACGAGTCACGCAAATGCTTAGTAGAAAAAGAATGAAATATGACTCTGAATAGAAGTTTATAAATTTTGTATAGCTATTGCCTTACACTAAAATTCGTAAATCTTTCATAGTAGAACATTCAATATTCTTCATAATTGGTAAGTAATTTATGCTAATCATTTTTAAATTTCCCGCAGCGTTGCAACAGCAAACCGCAGAGCTGCTGGGCAAGGAAGCGTCCTTATTTGTCCCGACTGGCACGATGGCCAACCAGATAGCAGGTGAAGGCTTAGCCCTCTACTACAGACTGGTCAAAAAATGTTCACACCTGCAGAACGTAAGCTTAAATTTACAAAGAGCCTCGGACACTCAGATCCGCGTTTTAATGATAGGCCTACAATGGCTAAAAACTGCTCCGGGATAGAGAACGGAATTGGGTCCGGGATTTTGTGGGAAAGATGTAACAGGTTTGGGATTTGGTTTGGTATTTTTCGGCAGATTGCCATCGGGAGATTTTTTCAGTTGAGTACCGATCTTGAATGAGTAGAAAACCAGAGTACATACTTAAATTTTAAAAACAAATTTTGTTCGATTTCATCTACTAATGAATTTGCACGCAAGTTAAGCAACTTGCCTTGTTTTAAAATATTTAGAAGAAACTGATTGCATCAAAAATATTATTTTTTAAGCAGTCTCACCTAAACTGGCTTCTCAGGATAAAAATTAATAGTACAAAAACTTTATCTAGAGTTTTGCAAATAATCTGTGCTGCAATAGAATTTATACATATCGTCACGATAAAAAACTGTGGACATTCGTAAGGCATTTATTCCATTAAAAAATTAGCAACTTACAACTTAATATTCCTAATACCTTCAGCATGTAAATTTTCAAGCTGAACTAACGTCAGTGCCACTCGGTATTGATGATAGAAAATGATTGATTGAAATAATTTGCACAGGTCATTTTGCTGGTCCCTCCATGAAAAGACTTCAATTTTTATAGTGAATAAATTTGTATTAAATAGTAACTACGTTATGGTGAATAAATAACGAAGATTACGACCGTGTTACAGTTATGAGCCACTGCTGGACAAGAGGAGCCGAGATCATCGTGGGAGACAAAAGTCACATCTTCCTCTACGAGCAAGGCGGGGCGGCAACAGTGAGGTTTTATAGATTTAATTTTACCATGAGAACATTTCATAAATCCCGTACATAGAATATCCACGGCGAAGTCAGCAGTTTCTAATGATATTATTCTTATTGTTCCCGGGTTATTTCTTGTTTACTCATGATGTCATCAGTATTTGATACCTCTCTCTTGAAACCTGAGAACGTCGTAAGTTCTTATTTTAGTGGATTTCGTAGGATTATGAATGAAAATTTTTTGTAATATTAGGAGTTTATGTGGGTAAGTAAGACTGATATTTTTTTAGAAATCGAATTACGTATGTGGAACTAATGAAATTTACCTTCTTATACCCAGTTAAGTTAAATCAAGTTCATGATAGCGTTGTCAAAAATTGCCCAGTGACTGCATTGCGAATAATATTTATATGATTGTTAATATGATTGGTAATATGATTGTTTATGTGATTGTTAATTCGACTGTTAATACGACGGTTAGTATGACTGTTAATGTGATTGTTAATATGATTGTTCATATGATGGTTACTATGATTGGTAATGTGACTGGTGTTGTGATTGTTAATATGATTGTTGATATGATTGTAATATGATTATTGTATGATTGTTATATGATTTTTAATATGACTGTTAGTACGATTATTAATATGGTTATTAATATTATTCTTAACTTGATTCTTAATATGATTGTTTACTTTTCAACAGTTAGGTGGCGTTCACACTCACGCAGTCAAGAATTTAAATGATGGAACGTTTTCTCTCGAGAATTTACAATCCGCTATTCGTTCAGATGACATACATCATCCCATCACTTCGCTCGTGTGTATTGAAAATACCCACAATATAATGGGCGGCAAAGTGCTGCCTCTTGCTTGGCTTGATGAGGTAAGCAATTGCACTGTCTAAACACTGAAATTCGGGGAACTTTGCTGGTTTTCTGTCTTTCAACAAGAAATTAGTCAGGATATCTATATGTTTCGCAAATTTCAACAGTTTTATTCTGAAAAATTCTATACTATATCCTAATAATTATCTTCTTCATTAACCTAATCTGAGACTCGTATAACCTCGAGAAGAATATCGGTACATTTTTCCAATATAAAGATAGAGGGAATTATTTTTTTGCCAAGTCATGACCTAGAAATACCCAACCTTGCAGCTTGGCAGGAATACGAAGAACCTTGAGAAGAATATCGGTACATTTTTCCAGTATAAATATAGGAAAATATATTTTTCTGCCAAATCTTAACCTAGAAAGACCTAACCTTACAGATTCCAATATAAAGATGAAAAAATATATATTTTTCTGTTAAATTATAATCTAGAAATACCCAACTTTGCAGCTTGGCAGGATTACGAAGAAGCTTGGCCTGCCGGTCCACCTCGACGGCGCTAGGTTACTCAACGCTGCAGTCGCTCTCAAGGTCCCGCCTGCGCGTCTTACCAGAGACTGCGCCTCGGTCTCGCTGTGTCTCAGCAAAGGGCTTGGGGCTCCTGTTGGGTCACTCATTTGTGGATCCAAGGACTTTATCCAGCGGTAATGTTTAGCTTGATATTTAATGAACTAAGATCATTTCTAGGACCTGAGCGTCTGACCAGAGACTGCGCCTCGGTCTCGCTGTGTCTCAGCAAAGGGCTTGGGGCTCCTGTTGGATCACTCATTTGTGGATCCAAGGACTTTATCCAGTGGTAATTCTTTAGCCTGTATTTAATGGAGTGAGATCATTTATAGGACCACAGAGTTTGAGCAATATAGTATTTTCCAGTGTGCATTCCATAACAGTGTTTCGAAACTAAACTCTTACAATAATGAATTATAGTGGTACCATGGCATTCATTAGTCGTTGTGTGCTCAACAATCACTGGAATTAAGTCATAGCGCAATCTGGGCAATCACAGCAGCAGCCACAAAGTCAGGCACAAGGTCAGTGCGATCCTGAAATAGACAGCCCAACCCATTCCATTAATGTTTGAATTCTTTCAATTTTACTTTTTATTTGTGTTTCAATTAATCCGGTTTATGTCAGAAACACGGCTGCTTGTTAATAGCGCATTTTTTCTAAAATTTGCAAACTCAACAGAACTAATTGCTTCGGTCAATAACTATGCCGAATCCGGATTTGAAAGCTACAGAAATAGATATCAAGGGCATTTATAATAATTATTTACAATTTGTTTTTTAATGTCAGAGCTCTGAGGTTGCGTAAAGTCCTTGGTGGCGGGATGAGACAGTCCGGCATTCTAGCAGCAGCGGGATCTCTCGCACTAGCTCGGTACCAGGCCACCCTCAGCATGGACAATGAAAATGCTAAAATTATTGCCAAACGTGAGTATATAAGGATTTACTTTTAAATGGTGATTGTTGCCGTAATATCCTTAGCACCGTAATATCCCCAAATAATCACTTTAATATGCCCTATCACATATTTATTTCTACCAAGTAAATATGCATAAACATCGCTCCTGACTGTCACCATAGGATGTATTACAAACTAGAAATATTTATGTTTATCGCGTATGGAAATTGTAGTTTTTATTTATGGGCACGCTGATTTGAACACAATAATGAGAGGTAGAGCTTTTTGTGAAAGGGTGTCTTTATTTTTTTGTTATTAAGATTCCTTGTTCTCCTAGCTCGACCTAGCTTGTTTTTAAAACCTGATGACCTTAGCAGCCAGATACGTCTTTTTATCAGATCCACCGAGAAAAAGTGTTTAAAAAATTTAAAAAGCGATAACAGTTTTATCAAATCAACTGATTAAAAATTATCAACATTAATAATGCATTAGGAAATTTTCCTTGTATGTCATTTGCATTAGCTTATATACCACCAACAGGCGTAAGTGAGAGTGCGAGTAAGAAAGTAACCGTGGATGTTGAAGGCGTTCACTCTAATATAGTAATGCTCAACTGCCTTACTGAGGAACTGGGACCAGCAGCACTGCAGGAGAAACTTGAACAGGTAACAGCAATTGAGGTAATATTATCTGATCATTTCAAAACATTAAAGTTTCATTTACTAATTGGAATTTTAACGTTTTGTATATAGCGTTGATTCAACGTACATTAATTCAACAGCGTGAAAAGATCACCAGAACAGTGATCATCACGGAATTTTTATTTTTCAGCCATTTCCAACGGAAACATATTTTGTGAAAATTGAAATGAAAATATTCCACAAAAATTCATTATATCTTTATAGAAACCTTTCGGAGTACATCTTTGTCGTTGGCTCGAAAAATTTAGTACTGTCGAAATTAAATAAAACACACAAGTTAATACCTGAATAATATATACCTAACTCATTCTTATTTTTGAAAGGGGCAATTACTCATGAATAATTACCATTGAAGTAAATACCATGATTTTAAACTCTATTTACATGCTTCAGGTGGACCTTCCCCACGACGCAGTTTCTGTGCGGTCTATGGCAATCAACGAGTCTCAGGTCAGGATCGTTACGAACAATAGCGTTGATACCGAAGCTATCGTATTAGCATGCGAGAAAATTATAAAAGTTATTACTTAATTCGTATGTTTTACAACTAGAAAGATTTTAATTTTATTCTGCTTAATTCATATGTTTTAAAACTAAAAAGATTTTAATTTTATTCTTTAATTTTATTGGGTTTTTATTGCGTTGCTATAGGTCGCATTAACCGTAATTTTTTATAGTCAGACTAACTTTTCCATAACTATTCCTTATCACGAACGAATTCATTTGGAATGATACAATGGTTTGGCATAGTTTTTGAGCAGTTGTTCTCTTTTTGGCCGTGCAATTTCCAACTAAGGGCATTAAACTTATACGATAAATTTGATGCTTTATAGATAAAGGTGATATTATAGCATTTTTTCACATGAGTAGCCTACTGCCACATGTTTAATTTTAATTAGCTTCTTATTACTTCTACGTATTTTTGTGTTGATTTTATAGCTATATAAATCATTCTTGATGTTTTACTTCCTTATCATTCATTTGTTTGGGACAATAAAGAAAACAGTGAAAGAATTAATTTTGTTTCAATGAACATCAAAAGCACTTAAGAGGCAATTTTTTATTCCATCTTGTCATATACAACAAAATTATCGAGAAAAAATATAACTTCATAACAGATGACTTTATACAGATTTAGATTATTTAAATTTAGACAGTGTATTAAAACTGCTCTCAGTGGCGAGGAAAAAAGCTTCCAAATTATCGTGTTTGGCGTTGATAAGCAAATATTACTGATCCTAAAACATATGATATGGCTTAAAAATTGCTAACTTTGAACGAGAAGAGAACTAAACGACAGAGCATTTTCTTAAATTTTTTATATAGAGGTTAAAGAATTAAGAATGTACGGAGGCTGCAAAGCAGCAAATAATTTATTGTGCGATATGAAACTTCATTTGGTGTACAGACGAAATTATCCAAATTCATTTCGCTACAATTAAATGAGTCATTAATATAAAATCCAAGATATGGCATTCCTCTAAGATTTCCTGACGTTTAAAGAAACTTAAAATTAATGCAAGTGCCGACTTTTGTACTGGTTTTCTGCATCAGAACTCCGTGCATATGTGGCTTGCACTTCTAAGTGTGGGGTTTTCAATTCTTGATTAAATTATGTAATTTTTATGATTGATCAAGCAACCATCAAACATGAACAAAATGACCTGTTTTAGAAAGTAAATTATCACTGTTATACTGATCGATCAAATGGATAACATATAACTATTTATGTCTAAATAAGCCATTAACTTTCATTCTAAATCTTCTAGGTTAACCGCAGAGTCGGTTCCCCTTCACCATGTCCATGTCTTAAATTCTTGACGATAAAAATCACACAATAACTAATTGAGGATAGAAATATGACTATTACAGGGTTATTGTGCAAACCTTATACAGTATTTGATATATAATTATTATTATATACTTTATAGATCTATATGGTTTCGGGATATACTACTTACAATTCATAAAGTAAACAACGTTCGATATCATATACTTATAGATTAGTTCTTTATAGATGAACCGTTCAAATTGTTTGGTCGAAGTGATTTCTTATTTCAGCTCACATACTTCGGCTTCATATTTCATAGCAAACATTTTACATGCAGTTGGAAGCATTCCAACTTTTTCCAGATTTAGAAAGAGTTAATCTATTACAAAAGTGAAAGTTACTTTACAAGGAAAGAACCTACCTTAAAATTGTTTTTCTACTCATGTAAGATAAATAATGAGTACAAATAGTTTGCTAAATAAATAAAATAAATGAGCATTGAATATATCGGAAGAAGACAGAGAAAATGCCATACAAAGATATTTCTTTTCATTTGTTTTCGCCTTTTCCGCGACATACAATTATACAAACGATTTTATGATAGAATTTCGATTGAATTACGATTTGTAACTAATGATTACATTTCTTTGTTCTTTGATAGAAGAAAATTTCAAATTTATCGCTGGAAGTCATCTCGCTATCGAGTTACTCAGCACAGAGATCTTTTTAGCGCATTTTCTCATTTATGGAGAAAATGCGCTATTGTGCTCGCCATGTCCGTCTGTCTGTCTGTCCTTCCGTGGCTTCACGTTTTCGTCGACGAGAAAATGCGCTCTCTGTCCCTCGCTGCATTGAGTACTGAGTTATATTTTTTACATAGGAATAGAAATACCCAATTGTTAACCTCCACGACCAAACAACGCGAATTGTTCATGCCTCGATACACAATCGATGTCTAGCAAGTAAGAAAATAAATTTGCATAAGTAACACGACTCTTAGAGCAATGATATCTACATACAAGTGCACAGAAAATCAAGCCAAATATTGAGAACAAAATAAATGAAAATCAAATCTGGTATTGACTTAACACTTCAAATTATCTTTAAAGAAGCAACACTCTATGATAATTTAAGGAATTTTATGGTGATCTAAAACATTATGGGATGCTCTGTAATATCCAGTGTTTGTCTGCAGTTTCATTTGATGCTCTACAACAACATATGATTCTTTTGAACTCAATGATTCACTAAAACGAAATTTAATGCTCTAAAACGTCAAATATAATGCTTGGCAAAGTCAGATGATGCTCTACAACGTAATATGATATTCTGCAACGTCATATGATGCTCTACAACGTAATATGATGCTTTGCAACGTCATACGATGCTCTACAACGTAATATGATGTTCTTAAACGTATGGGCGATGCTTTACTACGTAATATAATATTCTGCAACGTATGGGTGATGCTCTACAACGTAATATGATGCTTTGCAACGTTATTCGCTGCTCTACAACGTTCAATGCTACATTGCGAAATTAAATGTGTGTTTACAACATCAATTGCCAGTTTATTAATATAACGATGGATGCAAAGTTGAAACTGTTTGCTAACAACGTCATGCTTCTTTTCAAACATCAAAGGCTAGTTTGAGGTATCAAATATTTTTATTACAACACCAATTGCTTGTTTTTAGACATCAAGTCATCGTTGAAAACATCGAGTGTTCATCATACAACATATAGTGATGGTTTAACACGGTAAAGGATGGTTTTTACGACATGAATTGATAACTCACAACATCCAGTGTTCGTTTGCAACAGAATTTTCTTAACAATATAGAATAATTGTTTACAACAGAACCATTTGCTTCACATCATCGCATGATTCAATATTGGCTTTCCAATATGGAATGATCGCAGATCACTCACCACCAGTAACAAGTGATCATTGGCTAATGGTTTGTCCCTACAAAGACATAATTGGAGACGTGATTTATCATGAATATTAAGTTCATTTATGATATTATTGATGAGATGGTTAACAAAATATAAGAGTATTTGAGAAATGTAAAGAGATTCTTCACCATGCCCATGATGAGGATGGTTCCTTAATCTATAGGAACTAGAATAATTATAATAAGACTTTTATTCGATTTTTCAAATAGTAGGGGGGGGGATAATGTATGGAAATTTTTATGTGCGCTTTATTAAACTTCGACTTGTATTTACCGATTTATTTTCATGTCTAATGGATTTTTCAAAAGCACAGAGGAAAAAATATAATTTTTGATTTTGAAAAATTATAATATAATTTTTTTGCTATTTTCTTCTATGCTGCCAAATGACAAGATTCGATTTTGTCTAAAGACTCCGTACTATTCTTCTTTTGCACCAGTGCAAGCTCGCATCTTTCTAGATATAAATTATTCATGGACACAAATATGGAAGTTATCAATCCACTTGATTAATTTCTAAAGAATTTCTCAAGTAGACAACATTACCCCTTCCATAATTACTCAAATAAGAGTGAAATTGAGCTACGGATTGTGTCTAAGGCACGCCAATCGGGTAATTCAAAACTTAGATAAGCAAACTAATTTATAATAAAGGAATAATTTATAACAAAAGCGTCAAAATTAGGTGCCCCTGAACTGTTAGATTTACTTACATTGAGGGCCTGGAGCTCCAACATTACTAATGATTTATGAACCTGTTATTTTTAATCAAGAAAAGCTGCATGTAAAATATGAAGCGTTAGAGAATGTATGTCAATGCAGAAGAAACTGTAAGTGAATAGTGACCAGGAAACATGTTAAAAATATAAAACTTATCAAAGATGAAGAAGCGCAGGCTTCTGCTTTCTTACCAGCGTTTATGTTATGGAAGAATTTTCCAGGATGCGTAATAATTGAAAACTATTTTCTTTTAATAAAAGAATCGCCTGTATTACCTTCCTAGAAATTTGTTTAAAATTACATGGACCCAAAGAAATACACATCTCCTCACACAAGTTTTTCAATGATCTAGTAAATTCATGAAATACGGACTTTTCTATAGAAAAACATGGAAATGTGAAGTTGAATAAATGTATACATATTTATATGCATCAATCTCAACTATAAACATCCTAATGTGTTAAACATGTAAGGTGCAATGCTACGCAGGAAACTGCATTTCCATGGTGAACACAGACACAGAACTACCAGGATGCACACAGGATCTACGGTACACGGAATCGGTAGCTAGTGTGTGGTACACAGTACATGTATGAGGTATGGTCGCAGGCTACTAGTTTATTAATCGCAGTGATTAATATACATATACTATAGACCAGCCATCTAACAGTTCATCTAACAGTGACGTCTTAGAATATGTATGAATTTTTTAATATATATTTTAATATTCTGCAATTCTTATGAATAGCAATATGATAATTGTATATTACTGTAATATTATACAATTATTAACAGTAGTTATTTGATTGTACGAGAACTCACTTACATAAGACTTTTACCTGAAAAGTCCATTTAAAGCATCAAGGAAAAAAAATCGATCCTATTCTGTACACAATTAGTCTATTAGAATAGTTAAGAAAAAATTAATTTAATATTCAATCCATAAGGAGAAATTCAGAAAATTGTCATTATGACGTGCTAACATTCTTTGCATAGCTAGAAGAATCTCGTTCAAGTCTTTTTATATTTGATAACGAGTTGCTAGACAGTTTTTCTTTTATAAATTTTAATTTCGGTGGCAGAACGAACTGGAATTGTACCCATGTATGTATTGAATTATTTGAATAACTCATTCATTAAATATCGCTCAAATTTAGGCAGAAATCGAACCTGTAGAATGAATGCAAGCAAATACAACTGAAGCAAGTAATTTTGGAACCCGTTAGTAGGTAGTTGATTGTTATTGTAGATACCAGTAAAATTTACAATATTTTTTTACCTGGGAGCGTTCCATTAAACTAAGCTGAATGTTACTTTTAATTTAAATTATTCGTGCGTATAATGATTAACATATTACAATTCAAGAATCAGCTAAAAGAGAACTAATTGCTTACATTATTCAATTGACAAAATTTAGAGACAAAAGGATAATGTTTTAATAAAAAGTTTTTCTTGCGAGTGCAAATAATTCTAGTACAAGAGGCAATAGAATTATTTTTAAAAAAGACTTAGCCTTAAATTTGTAAAGTTTATGTTTTCTTGCAAAATTCAAGTAAATAGAGCATGCAGCTGATATCTTTAGTCATTTTCGTATAGGTGAAGGAAGTGAACGTCAATAACGACAAATCTACTCCATTCTTTGCTTATAAAATTAAATACTAACATAATTTAGATAATTTTGGCCGTGAAAAGCTGGAGACGAAATTCTTTCTTATTTTTCGAAGCCTGAAACTAAGCGCGGCCTCGGTTGTGATGAAGAAATTTTGTTGCACCTCTCGCTTGCTTTACAGACTTAGACAATAAATATTTCCTCTATTAGCGTCTGCTATTTTACAGGAAAATCAAAATTGTCTACAAAAACTGGACACCGAAAACCAGAGAAAACGGACAAACTGATTATTAATGCACGACTCAGGGCACTTAACATTTAAAAAATTTTGTTAGCAAATATTTATATAATGCGAACCCAGATAAGAATGAAAACAAACGCAGGTGTTCTTCGATTGAATAAAATTTTTACGAAATTCTTGCTCAGCACTTTCAATATTAGTAAACAAAAAGTGTTTTAATGCTACATTAATTTAATAATTTTAATTTGTGTTATCAAACGGATGTTTAGTAATAACCGTATTTATTTTCCAATTCTGAATAATAAAAATTAAAATCACAAAAAACTTGCAATCAAGATCCTTCTTCACTTCAGTTACACCAAAAACTGATTGTTTTGGATTGTTTGGATTGTATATTAATTGTTTTTTGAACATATAATTTTCAAGATTTTTATTAGTGCCCGAAAACATAACAGTCTTAAATTTACTTAATAATTTACAGATAGAATTTTACGATGGATTAACCTACATTGGCAATAATAGCAGGTAAGCCCAACAGTTTATACACATTGCGCCTGTCTCTCAACATCCCTTCGATTTTTTCATTCATAAAAAGAAAAGGTAGGAAAGGTGAGTGAAAAAATTTGAGTTCATTTTGAGGAGTGAAAACAACGCAAGATTCAACAACCTGGTCTCATGGATCTAACTTTCGAGACGGCGCCTATTATAATATATTAACAGAACATACTCTCAACAAATGCAATGTCTTTACTTCCCTGAGATTTTATTGGTTTTGTCTGTTAAACCTTCATTAAATTTCAAGATCATTAACCGATGTTAAGTTTGCAGTTTCAAGAGCAAGATGGATTCAAGTCTTTATATCTTTACATAAAATGTATCTGACGCTGCAGAGACACTTTTTCTGTCATATCTTTAGAGCATAATTCTTTCGAATATATCCTCAAATTTTTTCAAAGCGTGGAATAACCAGAGTATCTTGAAGTAACCTCATAAAACATGCAGCATTTTATATATTCTTTGTGGTATATGAAGGAACATTGGCTAGAAGAAATCACTTCAAACTCAGCAAATAAGCTACTCGAAGACAGACATTTTTTCAACTCTCTTTAGCTGCGTCATATCGGTTTTATTATTTTAACTAATCCAAGGATTTCAGCATTAAAAGATTAATGGAGAAAAGGCAGGTAGTGCTATATGCCTAAGTTTAACAGCATTAATTTTTTCGAGGACGTCGCATTTAAGATTCAGAGTGCACAAGATGCCACAAGCCTTGTAATTCCAACGTCCCAGTGGTTGCCAAGTGTAGCTTAACGTCTCAGTGGATGCCACATGCCGAAGCCTTGTAATTCCAACGTCCCAGTATCCCGCCGAAACACTGAAAAACACTTGGGCCCAAGCTGTACACATTTACAACTGGCCGACAAAGAAAAATAACCGTCACACACGATTATCTCAGCGCACGCAACAGTTCCAGAGAGAGAGCGGACACGTGCTTTCTCGACCGCGTCTGACAGGGAAGTGTGACCACCACTCCACCACACCACCACTCGACCACTCCACCACTCCACCACTCACCCTGGTCTGCATGTATAATATGAACCACTCCACCACTCCACCACTCACCCTGGTCTGCATGTTCGTGCTTTTATCAGGCAGGAGGAAGACTCGCACGTAAGTGTCCGGCGCCTGGCTGCTGTCGCTGCCTAGGACGAGCTCGCTCGCTTCCTCGACCAACACTTCCAGGTCACCGGAGTCACTGTTAATTATTTCTTTAATTTAAGCAATAAAACAATTCCATTCACTGTACACAGGCGTTAACTTAAGCAATAAAACAAGCCGCTTACTGTACACAGGCGTTAATTTAAGCAATAAAATAAGTCACTCACTGCANCAATGCCACTCACTGTACAAAGGTGTTAATTTAAGCAATAAAACAATGCCACTCACTGTACAAAGGTGTTAATTTAAGCTCTGTACAATGACATCGCGTGCGAAAATTCGTGCTTTTGAAGGCAAGGTTGTTCAATAAAAATTAGGAATTTTTTGTTTGAATTTAAGTTGTATCTATTCTTTTGAAAAGTAACTCATAAACTATATCGACAGAAAAGTACAGTAGATATGAGGAAATCCTTTTTATTTCCCATAAGTAACTGTATGAATAGTAACTGAATTGCACAATCTGGCGCTGGACAATAAAAGATGAAACTGACGTAACTGAGTTGCACCCAAAATTGCTGTTCATTAAAATAACGGAACGTATGGCAAATAATTTGGTATGCAGTAGGAGGCCACTATCCTGAAATAAATAAATGCTATACTAATATTTCTGTAATATTATGGCACGAACTTATGAATAAACAGCACGCTAACTTGTATATACGTATTAGGGCGTTCAGTACTAGAGCCAATAACACTAACCTGTCGTAAATGAGTGGCGTAGTAATTTATACGTACTAAAATAACACCAACCTGTCGTAAATGAGTGGCGCGCTAATTTATACGTACTAAAATAACACCAACATGTCGTAATTGAGTGGCGTTGTAATTTATACGCACTAAAATAACACCAACATGTCGTAAATGAGTGGTGCACTAATTTATACGCACAAGAATAACACCAACATGTCGTAAATGAGTGGTGCACTAATTTATACGCACAAGAATAACACCAACCTGTCGTAAATGAGTGGTGCACTAATTTATACGCACAAGAATAACACCAACCTGTCGTAATTGAGTGGCGTATATAGTAATTTGTACGCACTAAAATAACACCAACCTGCCGTAAATGAGTGGCGCGCTAATTTATACGTACTAAAATAACACCAACATGTCGTAATTGAGTGGCGTTGTAATTTATACGCACTAAAATAACACCAACCTGCCGTAAATGAGTGGCACGCTAATTTATACATACTAAAATAACACCAACCTGTCGTAAATGAGTGGCACGCTAATTTATACATACTAAAAAAACACCAACCTGTCGTAATTGAGTGGCGCACGAATTTATACGCACTAAAATAACACCAACATGTCGTAAATGAGTAGTGCGCTAATTTATACGCACTAAAATAACACCAATCTGCCGTAAATGAATGGCGCACTAATTTATACGCACTAAAATAACACCAACGTCTCGTAAATGAATGCCGCACTAATTTATACGCACTAAAATAACACCAACCTCTCGTAAATGAGTGGCGCACGAATTTATACGCACTAAAATAGCACCAACCTGTCGTAAATGAGTGGCGCGTTAATTTATACGCACTAAAATAACACCAACCTGTCGTAAATGAGTGGTGCACTAATTTATACGTACTAGAATAACACCAACCTGTCGTAAATGAGAGTGACGGACAACTGAGCTGTAACTTGACCCACAGCTTCTTCAAGTTCTCCCAGAGTTACCGAAGTGTCCGAGTTGATAGAATCGCAGCTGGTTGTTCTCTGCAATATATATCCTCCTCCTCCAAAGGCACCGTCGGCGTTCGAAACGTCCGGGTTGGAGTTTCCGAGGCTATTTGGTCCCGCTGAATGAGGGGGAGTTGGAGCGAAAAATGCCGGTGATGTTGGGGTGTCGCCCAGGGAGGGCCGGGCTCCAGGAGTCCCTGCGATAGCGTCTGCGGAACTCGGCGGTGTTTCTGAAGAAGATATCGACATCGGACAAGCAGATGAAGGGGGAGTTTCAGATGAGGAATAGGACGTGAGTCGTGCTGAAGTTGGGGGAGTTTCCGACGAAGACATCGATACCAAGCGTGATGAAGCCCCCGTTGATGATGAGTAATGGGAGTCCGTAGACGAGGAATATGGAATCTGCTGCTTAATTCTGGCACTTAATGATTCCAGGTAAACACGAACTCGTTTCGTACTTTCAGATTCAATATCGCTTTTTGAACTGGAGGTACTCATGGATGACTTCTCTGAATCCCTGCTATCTCGGCTCTCAGACCGTGCATCCCGGCTACCTGTCTCTAAACCAGCCCACGATTTCCTGTGATCACTGGAAGAAAACGGTTGCTGACCCGAGTCGATTAAAACTTCTGTATTTAACCTGTTTTCAATTTCCCCTCCCAGGACCTTAGGTCTCTCATTCAGAGTTTTGACATAAATTTGCTCAGAACCGGTTTCGACAATCCTTTCCTTTTCCTCAAAGACATTATCGGTGAGTCGAGTGAGACTATCCATCTCAGTCTGTACGCCTTTCAAAGTCTTTGAGAACTCACTGCCCTCACGCAGGAGCTCAGTGGAGACAGAGACCTCAGTGACTTCCTCATCGGAGGGTTTCTCGGCCTCGACTCGAGGCATGATGATGCACTCCTCGACCATCGCGCCGCCGCCCACCGGTGAACCTCCTTCTCCGCTTCCTCTTCGGGCTCTTTTGAACGAACCCCTGGACTCTCTAGAAAGAGGGGGCGTGTCTCCTCGGCTTCCCACCCTACTTGGGCGCCCTGCTCCATCACTGCCACGTCTCCCATCCCGACCACTTCTCTTAAAGGTAGACTCGTCAATTGCAACGACTTGATTTTTATTTTCCTTCTCCTTGAGCTGCTCAGTATTAAAGGAAGCATTACTTGCTGCCACTTTCTCGGTTTCCTTGTTGGAGTCTTCATTTCTATAATTGGTTTTCATAGAGCTAATAAGCGTATTTTTGGAGTTATTTTCCCCTATAGTATCGTTTTCAGCAATCAGCATTCGGTTAGGCGTGTTTTCAAGCCAGTCTGTGTTCGATTTCATGGTTTCAGCAACTTCTTCGTCAAGAATCTTAATTTCGAGTTCAGAATTTAATTTATCATCAATTAATTCCTTAGGTATCTGGAAAATCCGATCGGCATTGCTCGTCTTCATCAAGTCCAAGCTAGAAATTTCCTCTTTGACATTTGAGCTTACGTCGAATGGCCAATTTGGCTTTGCGTCCAAGTCTTCTGTGACTTTATTCTTATCCGTGAACGATGACCACCAGTCAGTGCCAAGCTGGTTGGCCTTTACCTTGTCGTCTGTGTTTGCATCTTTGGATGATTCGTCAAGTTCCTTCTGCTTCACAAAATCTGATATCGCATTTCTCTTAATGTCATCGAAAATACTCTTCACTCTGTTAGTGATACTCCAGTCACTTTCTTTCTGCGTGAAGTCAATCGACACTTTGGGTACTGAAATATTAAGAAAACTCTTTGTTATTTCTGGTTCGACAATGCCAAAACTTGCCTCAAAGTTAGAAGAGGTTTCTTCAATTTTTTTATATTCTTGTGTTTCAGGTATTTTAGTTTCGGGTGTATACTTGAGAGATGAATATTCTTCAGTAAACGGTTTTTCAAGCACTTTCTGTTCATTTTTGGCATCATTCAACCCAAAATCGTTTAGGCTGCTTGCTGTTGCCTCGACATAATTATCACTGAAAAGTGAGTATTTGTCGATGACGGTTGTTGGAAGTCCAGGAGATTCTGGTTCCCCTGCACTCGTTATTATGTCGTTTTCCTCCATCCAAGAATTCCGACGTGCGGCGACAACTTCAGCCAAACGCGAATGCAGAAGTTGGGAGTGGCATAATGCGTCCGTTGAAAAAATTGCCCCTCTTTCAGATCCCAATACAAGGTATGACGAAGACGGGGGCGTTGAAGGAAAGAATTCTACCGACGGTGGAGGTGTTGATGGCACGTAAGAACTTGATACCGGAGGAGTCGAGTTTGGAAGATAAGAAGTTACGGATCTTGAAGGAGGCAAAAATGTTGCAGAAGGAGGAGGAGTTGATGGGAAAAACGCCGATGGGGGTGTAGAAACGAGACGAGAATGGATAGGAGACGATGAGAAATTATTCATACCCATATGAGACGATGCAAAATAAGAAGATGTCCTTGGAGGGGACGTCGCAAGTTGAGCCACAGAGAGCGGAGGAGTGATGGAATGTTGAGAGTCGGTGAGCGGCGGCGTTGATGATAAATGAGAGTCAGTCAAGGGGGGCGTTGACGACAAATGAGAAGTCAAGGGAGGTGTCGAAGACAAATTTGAAGGGAAGCCAATCCCGGTCGAGAACTGCACTGATTGTGGGATCTTCACTGCAGAAACTAAAGCTGCGGCTTCTCCAAGCCATTTGCGGATGTAGCCTGTGTCTTCCGAGTGCCAACATGTACCGCGGATGGAAGTTATGTCGCTAGTCGACCTGCTATGTGGGCTTGATGATACACTGCGACCGAATGGAGGAGGCGCAAGGTGTTGTGGCGTGGCGTGCCGTATAATTTGACTGTGGTGATGCGTAGGTGTCAAAAGGTTTCGTATCGATTGAGAAGTTGACGTCAAATGGTGGATGGGAGAGAGAATTCGGGACGATGCTTGGTCTCCGATACTGAGATTTGTTGAGGAATTCAAGACTCTCTCGGAGCTGATGCGTCTTCCGCTCCAGCCACTTTGGGATTCAACCTTATATTGTGAGGAAAAATTTATTCTTTACTATTAAATAAGTATTAAATCCCATGTAAAGTCTAAATAAAGTGGTAGATTTTGAAAAAAATATAACATTAAATTTATATTTTTATTTTTTGCGTTTAGATCAAGAATCATACATGACAGTTTTTGGTGACAAAAGTTTCAAAATGAATATTTGAAATTATAAATTGAAAAATTAAACCACTCCCTTCAGACCCACTCATGAAATAAATTACAAATTAAAAACGAAAACGTATTTTACCGTCGTTCTTAACTTACTTAAACTACTAAATAATATTTAATACAGACATTATCTACATAATTATATCATTAGTGTAGGCTGGCAAAATTTCCTCTCTTAAACAAGTTTTGTTAAAGACCAGAGAGTTAATTTTATTTATTAGCTTCTTGTTAGTTTTTTCAATAAGTCAATAGTTAGTTTTCAATATAATATAACTTTTTTCAACAATAATTATTTAGATAGCAGAGATAACAACTTTATCTCTGCTCAAGCGCCATGCCGTAGGTCGTTTTCCGCTATTTTATATTCTTTATTTGCATTTTTAATCATCTTTTTTTGCCTGGTATGATATAATGGTATGCCTGGTATGGTAGTAGGTATAGTATGCCTGGTCGAGAACTGAATTAGAGATATTATGGTATGCTTGGTATGGTATATCTGAGGGCCAACTCAGAAATTTTGTGGTAATACCTTCAAACCATCAACAGGGATATTCCGAAGGTTTTTTTGAGCCCATGCACAGCGAAGAAATATCACCAATGCAAACTGATAGTTTAGGGCAAAACGACTATATATCATGAATAAAAGGTCAATAATCAATTACTTGCATATTTAAATAGAAGTTTCCGAAATAACATGAAACAATCTTAACAAACGAACGCAATGGCAGTTATTCAATATTTAAATTGAAGGTGTACAAAATCAGAACCTTCGTTGGTATTTAAGACGATAACTAACATTTCATTGCCTTTTTTCATCGTCGGTCCAAGACATTTAAAATAAAAATATTTAAAATATATAACACCTTGCGGTTTGAACGTCCCATAATCATATCGTAATCCCTTCTATCATAAAAATATTTTAATTGACCTATATTAATTAGAGATAGACCTCTTTACTAATCCTTAGCATGAGCTCAAGAGCAACAAAAAAAACTCAATTTAGCTCTTTTTGAAATTTAATGAATATTAATGTATGGATTTTTCAATAAAATGCATACGCGCTACTTAAAATAGATTTATCCACTGACCCACAAATATATCCTGAGCTTCATCGTCCCATAATAAAAAACAATTAATTAATCTCCCAATACGATAGACATCGTCGTTATATATGTGCTCTGATAGTCCTTATATATTTCCAGTGTCATGTTTCAGACACACAAAAATCCTACAATAAATCTTCGAAAGAAGGATACTTGTTTAGCAGCTTAACCTCCTGCACAGAGAATCCCATTACTCCGAATCCTGCTTTTATTTTTCTAAATTTACTTTTTAAGAGAAAGATCCTTTCTAATGGAAACCCTTATATTTTTCTGTTCGAGCTAGAAGTTTAGAAAAAATCTATTAGATAAAGAACAAATAAATTTTTGTCTCTAAATCCTTCCTTCTTTTTCAAAATGCCGCATAGCTCAAACTCTTTAAATAAAATTTCATATAAGGGCCGATGTCAGGTATTGTGAATATGCGCCAATTAAATCGGGCATTTAGAACGATAGGACATTACACGCGAAAAATCAGTTATCAAAGTATTTGATAGACTTGCCGGTGCCGGTCATCTTGTCATTTTCCAGGATAGATTATTCATGCGATTTGAGTATCACTTAGTTTCGAAGTGAGTCATCCATAACCCTGCTATTCGGAATCCAATTTTGCAATTCACGAGCGGAAATTGGTGAAAGACCCGAGAGTTACTTTGTCGAGAGTCAAGTCACGTTTGGAAATCTAACTGAAACTTCAACTTCTTATTTTTGAATAGTTAGTAAACTCAAAAAATCCCGTAACAATTTTTTAATCTAGAGCAGCAAACATTTTTCACTGTCTCGTGATTCCATCACTATAACAGTGAAATTTTTCCCATTTAACAATCCAACACGATGAGTAAGAAGGATACGCGCCTGAACAGCACCAATATTTACGGTGCCAGGCTTCAAGCACACACTCAAGCGTGTAAACATAACCAAATATTATAATATTATACAATAATGGCTTAAAATTGTACGGTAAACACATAACCAAATATTATAATATTATAAAACTATGGCTTGACATTGTACGGTAAACACATAACCAAATATGATAATATTATACAATAATGGCTTAACATTGTACGGTAAACGTACCTGAGCAGGTGCGAGTGGAGCGGGTGGGGGCGGTGGGTCATGAGGCGGCTCCCTAAGCCTCCTCTCAAATTCGATGGCTCGATCTATCTGCTCCTGTTGCTGCTTCTCTTGCTCCACCTGCTGTTTCTGCTGAATTTGCTTCTGCTGCAGCTCCTTCTGTTGCTGCTGCAGCTGCTTCTCTCTTTCATGAAGCTGCTGTTCACGCAGCTTCTTGGTCGCGTAGTCCATGTACGCCGCAGGAGTTGAATAATTCTTGATACCTCTTCCAGGTATTGTGTGGTACATTCGCATGTTGTTCACTATTGTGGAAGGTGAGTGTATTGGTGAAGATCCTTGGTCCATATGATGGTTGTAGCTGTTCATATGGTTCAAGTTTCCTACATGTGGATCATAAACACTGTTTAGATCGTCTCTGCGACGACGAGGGTCGCTGTGATCTATCCTTGGATCATATAGTGAATACGCGGAACCGAGCGTCTCATGTGGTTTTAATCCTTCATATTTATCGATAACATATTTACTTCTGCTGTCATAAAGTTCTGTTTGGTATTTTCCCCTGTCGAACTTTGAAGAAGGCTCGTACCTACTCGTTGAATCGTATTTTAGGGGCTCGTAGCGTTCTTGGTACGAGTATCTGTGTTGCCCAAACCTGCTTCTCTGGTCTAGCACCTGATGACTAAGATAAGAACTCGGTCTTGGATAAGGTATCTGGGATTCCATGGCCATGCTGCGCTCAGCAGAACTGTACGGAATTAAAGTCGGATCTGAACCCAGGGCAAACGGGTCATGGGGTAAAAGATTCCTATCGTATTTTGAGTCATAACTTGGACTGTAATTGGGTTGGTAAGAAGCTTTGTTTGCACCCAAGTAAGCAGAAGTTTGGTGGTTGTGGAACGGGTTGATATAACGACCATCATCAATGCCCGGCACGGGTTGCCATGCTGGGTTGAACGGGTTGGTCGACCTCGGCACGATTTCATCGCAAATATCCTGAGAGGATGATAAGATAATATTCATGTATGAATTTCCGCATCATCGCTAAAAAAGTGTTCATACATTCATATAAATTTTATTACTGAAAAATGACAGCACTTTGGTCTTCCAATTTCTAAATAATTATAACTCACTATGAATGCAATCATCATTGAAATAGCACACAAAATTATCGTTTTGTTTTGTATGCAAATGAAATCCTAATTTAAAATTTAAAATTCTTTGCATTATAATTAAATATTTAAAATTATTTTTCGCAATCTTTTCTATGAGAATAGTCAAATAAATTAATAAAGTTTCAAACCGCATTAATTTTCTAATTTAAGTGACTTCGAATGTTATATTATTTCAAAGTGACCTTATTTTCAAACTAAAAAAGTAAAGCTACCCTGGAGACGCTCCTCCTGTAGTCGAGGTAGGGATTAGACTTGGAGTATGGAGCGTCTGGAGATGGAGACCCGTCTCCGCTGCTTCGACGGCCTGGCAGTCTGTGAAATCCAGCAAACTTCGTAAAACAAATTATACTGCAAATTTTTCACTATGAATCTTAGGAATTTTAAGTAATTTCAAATCTGTACGCAAGCACTTCACAGATTTGTAAGAAGGCCAGTCATTGACCAGTTAGAAGGCAGTTCTCCGACCTGTCTGAAGTCTCTCTCAACTTAAAGAACTGCATGCTTACTGTCAGGTAAGCATGCAATTCGCGGACCTGTAGGAAGGCAGTTCACTGGTCTGTTTTTTGAAGACAGATCACTGACCTATGAAAAGGCGGGTCACTGAACTGTAAGAAGTCAGGTCACTGACCTATAAGAAGTCAGATCACTGACCTGTACGAAGGCAGGTCTCTGACCTATATGAACTCAGGTCACTGGCTTATAAGAAAGCAGGTCTCTGACCTATAAGAAGTCAGGTCTCTGACCTATAAGAAGTCAGGTCACTGACCTGTACGAAGAAGACAGGTCACTGGCTTATAAGAACTCAGGTCACTGACCTGTAAGAACTCAGGTCACTGACCTATAAGAAGGCAGGTCACTGACCTATAAGAAGGCAGGTCACTGACCTATAAAAAGGGCAGGTCACTTACCTATATGAACTCAGGTCACTGACCTATAAGAAGTCAGGTCACTGACCTATAAAAAGGCAGGTCACTGACCCATAAGAACTCAGGTCTCTGACCTATAAGAACTCAGGTCACTGACCTATAAGAAGGCAGGTCACTGACCTATAAGAGCTGAGGTCACTGACCTGTAGGAAGGTCGCTGCGGTGCAGGTCTGAGCGGCTGTGGAGGCAGGTTAGGGTCGTCATGCAGGGCAGCGTTGGCCGGGTTGTTGGCAGCGTCCTCGAGGTTCGTGAAACGCTTGTAGGAACCTGACCGCGGCCACAGTCCCAGCCAGTCTACCTCGCTGTCGAGCTGCCGGAGGATACGGGCAACTTTGGGGAGAATACGGGCAACTTCGGGAGGATACGGGCAACTTTGGGAGGATACGGGCAACTTTGGGAGGATACGGGCAACTTCGGGAGGATACGGGCAACTTTGATACACATCTAGATGTGTATAAGAGACAGGTGTAGCCTAACGTCTCAGTGGATGCCACATGCCGAAGCCTTGTAATTCCAACGTTCCAGTAGTTGCCAAGCGTGGCTTAACGTCTCAGTGGATGTCACATGCTAAAGCCTTGTAATTCCAACGTCCCAGTGGTTGCCAAGCGTGGCTTAACGTCTCAGAGGATGCCACATGCCGATGGGCTTCCTGAGTGCCGTCATCATCTGATTCCAGTGCGACAAAGCCTTGCCCGTCGCCTGCGTGCCGACGATGACGTGACCAACCGCAACGCCTCGACCGTCCGGCACGTGCTCGGCTACAGTCACCCTCAGCTGGATGGTCTGCCATATTAAAATACAGTCAACCTTCTTAAAATGTACAGCCACCCTTAATTGGATTGTCTACCAGATTAAAACACATTCAAATTACTTAAAATTTACAGTCACCGCAGCTGGATGGTCTGACAAAACAGAAAAAAAAACAAGTCAGCCTTCTCAAGAGGTAGTCACTCGAAGCTGGACTGTCTGCCTCGCTGATAGAGTCAACCTTTTTAAAATCTACTGTTACTCACAACTGGATGGTCTGCCACATTAAACGTACACAACATTTTTTGAAATTCACGGTCACCCGCAACTTAATGGTTGGCCTCCTTGAAATACAGTAAACAATTTTAAAATGTACAGTCACCTTCAGCTGTACAGCCAACAATCTTAATTTAAAATACGGGTTACCACGTTAAAAAATACAGTCCCTCTCAACTGAATGGCCTATTGAGATAGTAATTGTAACTACGAGCTCATGAAGTACTTAATGTCCATCAAACGAGTTCACATTACACAAGTTATCTAACGCCACGCATCGGCACGCGATATAATCTATACCCGCAACCGGAACGCAAGAAACTAAACTCCCGTAGAAGTTAGGTGTGATTTTTACTTCAAATTCAAATTGTTATAGGTGAGATTTTTCATGCATGTTAGCAGCAGGAGAGACACTGCATACTTGGACCATGACATTTACATATTAGGTTCGCTTCAAAGAAACAGGTAATTGTAGATTCACTAAAAAATAACCATTTACTGCAGAGTAACCTTTAATTTCTGTACCTGCTATAAAGTATCCCACATGCTCTGATTTAGTGAAACCCTAAGTTACCAACCCTAAATTGTGCACAATCTTAAATTTTGTACAACCTAAGTTACTAGCAATAAATTGTGTAAAATCTTAAAAGGTTTTGTGCAGCTCTAAATGGCCAACCCTAAATTGTATACAACCTCAAGTTTTGTGTAATCCTAAGTTACTAGCCCTGAATTGTGTACAACTTTAAGTTTTGCGCAGCTCTAAGTTGTCAACTCTAAATAGTGTAAAACCTTAACTTTTGTGCAACTCTAAATTGACCTCCTCATTCATGTTCAACCCTATATCAACGTACGTGCAAGGCGGGTGCAGGGATGTTGAATATCATGGCCTCGTTGAACACCGGCGAATTCGAGTCTTTCTTCACACTTGTCTTTTTCTTCATGATTTTCTTGCCGTGTTGAAGTATGTACACCTGCAAATGGTTGATAAGATTTTAATTCCACGAAATTTTAGAGAAATTTCCACGAACCAAACTGTCTGTTCTCAAACAAATTTCCGAATTCAATATTCAGTCTAAATTTGAAAGAGATTTAAAGTATACAGTTGTAATAAACAACAGTTTTATATAAGATACTTTGTATGATATTTTTTCTTTTATTTTATCCTGCTGAATAAATAAGCCAGCCTAAATAAAAGACTTATTAACATAATGAGCTAATTCAGCACCATTGGCTCAGCATTTCGCCATCAACTAACCAATGGACTGAACCTTGCCTTCGAGAAAACGAACCCTCAAACGAACACCAGTTTGAGTATTCCTATTTTCCACTGCTGAAAAATAGAATAACACTGAAGCCTGGCTTTACTTTAACGAAGGGATCCGCAGAAGCTTTATCGTCGGCCCACTGAAGACTCCTGGCCTTAACGACCACAACTGTGAGACGCTCAGCCGTCGGCAGGTAGGAGAGGGAGAACAAGATGTCGCCGTACCCGACGCCCTTTTGCTGCCGGAAAATTGTTTTGTATTTTGCTTAGTTCAACACCGAGTACATTATTTTAAATATTCATTTCTGAACAATTTACGATATGGAAGCGTACATGAGGTAGGTGATCTCTTTTGGTCACTCGACGTCGAAGACGTGTAGATAATGTAAGTTTATACTTTTGATCAGTCATTGATTAAAAATAGGTGGAATTTTCAACAAAAAACAACATTAATGTCCAGCGAATTATTTATTCATCCATTGAGTGCACACAACCGCTGGTTTGCTAAGCAATTTGGATGTTGGAAAAAAATCGGTAAATTCAGAGAATAGTCAATAATCTACCCATCATAAATACTCAACACGATTCAACACATAAATCTATTATATACTTATTTTTCTCAATGTTCATAATATCTTGGATATTTAAATATTACAGTTACCATGAAGAATCGAAATATATCTCATCTCTTTGACAATTAGAATGAGTAATAATTATTTGTTCAGTGCTCGTACCTGTCCAGTATCGGAGAGGGGTATGGATATGGTGGATGGACTCGTTGACAGAGCCATGTCTCCAAGCTTTATCTCGCCTTCGCCGATGAGTGTGTTAGAATATTTGTCAGAGGAGTAAAGGTAGAACGCCAGGGAGCGTGACAATGTTTCTTCTTCGTCAAGAGCAAAGAGAAACCGTTCCTTAAATGCTGGATTGAAGCTCTTGTGGAAAACCTAAAAAAATTGCAATTGCATAAGGCTTTTCACTAAATCTAAATTATTCTCTATTTTGTAATCGGGTTACCTATACCAAATTTTTCTAAAAAAATGGATTTAATTTCATCTGTTTGTCTCATCTAGCAACAGTTTGCTTTATTTCAGATATCAGATTGAACGAATTTTTTCATCCATACCATCAACTAAACTCTTTTATTTAGCCTACCTGGAAAGTTCTTTTTTTTTTTTCGTAGAAAGAAGCCATCTTCCGAGAACTAGTGTTGCGTTGTAAAACTTATCAGTTCACTCACTCTGCCACTGCATGTATTAATAATTAAATAAACCACTCCACCACTCACCCTGGTCTGCATGTAACCACCACTCACCCCACCACTCACCCCACCACTCACACCACCACTCTCCCCACTCGCTCACCTGGCGGCACTTGAACAAATTTCACGTCAACCCAACGAGGGCGCGCGCTATTGTGATGCTGCAGCACTCTAAGCCTTCACCACTCCACCGCCCCACCACTCCACCACTCCCACACTCCACCACCCCACCACTCCCACACTCCACCACACTACCACCCCACCACTCCACCACTCCATCACTCCATCACTCCACCACTTCACCACTTCACCACCCCACCACTCCACCTATCGATCTGGTGCTCATTTTTCTCATTTTCCCCATAGTTTTTTTTATGCGCGTTTTTCCCATTTTTCTCATTTTTTTCTCATTTTCCCCCCACCATTATTGACCACCAATGATAACCTACAACCCATTATTGACCACCAATGATAACCTACAACCCATTATTGACCACCAATGATAACCTTTATGATTGTCGTGATGATTGTTGATTTAAAGGTTCGGTTTATAATAAAATTAATAGTAAAGTAATAGATAATTTATCTGAAACTTGACAATCATATGCACTAAACGCTAGAAAGCATTGAGAAGAAAATGTTTGAAAGTTGAGTATTTTGATCCAATGAACATTCGTTAACAGGCATTACTGTGTCCAAGAAATGTCGATCAAAATGAAAAATAATGGAAATAATGGTTTAAGTTTAAGTGTAGTTAATAACTATAATCCGGATATTTTGAGCGCAACAAACTATGGATAATTTGATCCAGCGGTTAAAATAGAGTCACGGTTGTTGAAATTAATATTTATTAGAGTGTAAAAAAAATAAAATAATTTTTACCAGCGCCCAAAATTGAGCCACGATCGTTAAAATTAATATCAGAGTGTAAAAAATAAATAAATAAGGTGAACCAGCGCTCAAAATTGAGCCACGGTTGTTGAAATTAATATTAGTGTGAAAAATAAATAAATAAGGTGAACCAGCGCTCAAAATTGAGCCACGGTGGTATAAATTAATTTCAAAATTACTTATTGTTTTGCCGTGTTCAATCCCTGAAAGATAATCGGTCCTAATCACTCATAATCAACCGACGTTTATATACGTGACACACGAATATTTAATATTTAGTGTTCAATTAGGAAACCGAAATTTGCAGGAATTTCGCAATTCCTGCGTGTAATTTTAGCACACTTATTTCAGGCTAAATATTTTATCTTCGTATTCTTGGACCAAAATCTAAATAACCTAAAACGTGTTTCAACCTTTAATGTTTCTGTGAGTTTAAAAGATATCTAAATTAAATTAGTACTAATAATTGGATGACATAATTTTTATTTCAAGCCCTTATTAGCATCTACGAAGTTTTGAATTACATTGGCACCAAGATTACCAAGGTAATCCGAAACTTCGTAGATGCTAATAAGGACTTGACATAAAAATTATGCTGGTTTATTATAAATCGACTTTTTAAAGCGGGCTTTTTCAGCCCACATTCAACCTTTCTTTCAGTATATTTGAAAGATATTTAAATTGAATTTGTACTAATAATTCCGCGGTAATCCAAAACTTCGTAGATGTTCATATAAGCTTGAAGTAAAATTATGATGGCATAATATAAATTGACTTTTTAAACTAAAATCAATCCGACATTAGCAGCCCACATTCAACCTTTGTTTCAGCATATTTAAAAGATATTTAAATTAAATTGGTACTAGCAATTGGATGGTAATCCAAAACTTCGTAGATGCCCATAAGGGCTTGAAATAAAAATGACGTTGGTTTATTATAAATAGACTTTTTAAACAAACATCAAGCCGGCTTTTTCACCCCCACATTCAACCTTTGTTTCAGCATATTTAAAAAATATTTAAATTAAATTGGCACTGATAATTGGATGGTAATCCAAAACGTCGTAGATGCCCATAAAAGCTTGAAATAAAAGTTTTGTTGGTTTATTATAAATCGACTTTTTAAACCTACAACAAGCCGGCTTTTTCTGCCCACATTCACTTGGACGGAAAACGCCACCGCCCCAAAACCCATGAGAACTTGAAATAAAAATTTTGTCGGTTCATTATAAATCGAATTTTTAAACTAACATCAAGCCGGCATTGCACATTCACTTGGACCGAAAACGCCGCCGCCTCAAAGCCCATGATATCTTGAAATAAAAATTTTGTTAGTTTATTATAAATAGAATTTTTAAACTAACATCAAGCCGGCATTAGCAGGCCACATTCACTTGGATAGAAAACGCTGCCGCCCCAAAGCCCATGAGAGCTTGAAATAAAAATTTTTTGGTTTATAATAAATCGAATTTTTAAACTAACATCAAGCCGGCATTGCACATTCACTTGGACCGAAAACGCCGAAGCCCCAAACGGCCGCTGCGACGCGCCGTTTTTATGGCGCTGAACCAACACCGCGACGCGAATTTCACGCCTGCGAACACACGGCGGAGAACAGGTTCTGTTCAGGGGGTTTTACGGAACAGGGGCCATACTTTCAAAACTCGCTAAGTGAACGTAAGTACTTACGCTCTAGTTTCTTGTCTATGATTGGTGGATTTTGCTTGAAAGGCCGTCAATGATTGGCTGATGAACTTACGATCTTTTAACTTTTTTTGAAAGTATAGGCCCAGGTAATATCCTAACAGGGGACATCGGTTAAAGGAAACCCTTACACGATAGCCGGGATATCCTGCCGAACGACGGGTGAATTGGACGAGTTGGGGATTTATTTTGTTACAGTTAATTATTCAAAATTATATTCATCCTCGTCAAGAAGTTTGTTCCTCCACTTAAACTCAACGCTAGCTGATATTTGTCAAGCAGATCATATTTATACAAAAGATAATTAAATTTATATATTATATACAAATATATATGAAATATATATTTACATACATATTACATATTGGTGTAGTTCGGCATATATTGGTGTAGTTATGTGTTATACATATTGGTGTAGTTATGCAAGTTTGATTGAAGACCAGAGCATGCTTTTTATTAACAATCATATATATATATATACATATATATA